TCTCTCTCTCTCCTCTCTCTCTCTCTCTCTCTCTCTCTCTCTCCTCTCTCTCCTCCTCTACGCTCTCTTCTTCTCTCTCTCTCTCGCTCTCTATCTCTCTCCTCTATCTCTCTCTCTCTCTTCTCTCTCTATCCTCTCTCTCTCTCTCTCTCTCTCTCTCTCTCTCTTTCTCTCTCTTCTCTCTCTCTCTCTCTCTCTCTCTGCTCTTCTCTCTCTCTCTCTATCTCTTCTCTATCTCTCCTCTCTCTCTTCCTATTCTCTCTCTCTCTCTCTCCTCTCTATCTCTCTCTCTCTCTCTCTCTCTCTCTCTTCCTCTCTTCTTCCTCCTCTCTCTCTCTCTCTCTCTCTCTCTATCTCCTCTCTCGCTATCTTTCTCCTTCTCTCTCTACTCTCTCTCTCTCTCTCTCTCTCTCTCTCTCTCTCTCTCTCTCTCTCTCTCTCTTTCTCTCTCTCTCCCTCCTCTCTCTTCTCTCTCTCTCTCTCTCTCTCTCTCGCTGTGTCTCTGTCTATCTCTATATCTCTCCTCTCTCTCTCTCTCTCTCGCTCTCTCTCTCTCTCTCTCTCTCTTTTCCCCCTTTCCCTTTCCCTCTCCCACTCTCCCTCTTTCCCTTCTTCTGTTTAGCCCTCCCTCCCCTCGCTCATTCTATTATCGCTTTGTTTTCCCCTTTTTTCTGTGCATAGTCCTTATCTCCCAGTCTTGTCCTGGTGTGTATGTGATCTGCAGCGTCCGCGGTTGGCCAGCCGTGCTGCTGCAGCGCTGTACCCGGAGGTATGCAAAGACACGGGCGCAGGACACACGGCCGCTATTTCCGACCCTCGCTGGACACGGCGTTGGTACCTCGCGAGGCAGTGTGGCAAGTCTGATGGCATTCCTCACCTCACACTAAATACCATGCAATAAGCAGTGCTCATGTGAAAAGAGAGGCGTTGCCAGTGTCCGATTGATTTTTGTCAACCCATCTATTTTCCATTCGTCATCTGCCGCAGAAACTGCTTTGTGGTGCTCATTCCCGCTGATTGGATGGGATTGATATTTATAACCTGTGATATAATTCATTGAGCGTACTTGGGTGCGGTGATATTGGTAATGGGGCCGGGAGTTTGAGTACAATTGGCTGACCTTTGCGGTCGTTTGAGTCAATAAATGATCGGCGTATCCAATTGGCGGGCGAGAACAGCCAATCGCCTGGACGGGCGGTGCGCAGCCAGTGCAGTGGGTCGTACCGTCACTACACACACAGTTCTCGTTTCGACTGGGCCCAGCGCTCCGTGACGTTTCATGTTGACTGCCATTGTCCGGTAAATTTGGGCCGTGGGTTGTGGAGTTTTCTGCCGTTGCTTTTCTTTGACGGCATCGCAGTAAACCACGTCGCAGTAGTTCGCTCATGGCTTTGGGTACGGTAATACAGTGCTTGCGCGAATTGCGGGCATGGGTGACGCTGATTTGCACCGACGTTAAGGCTGGTCGGAAAAATTCTGTCTTAGTCTGCGGCAAGGTTTACTGGCCCAGATTACGACGTGTCGGCGCGACCGCTCGATGCTGGGAAAAAACAATTTCTCAGAGATGTGTTTGTCCGGACAAATATTACCGTTCTCGCAGACGTGTGTGCTGCGCAAATACGTGACAAAGCGTCCTGCCGCGCTGCTGCTCGCCTTGGCAGTTGCGTTTCTAGAAGCAGGCGCGCGGCATGTCATGGCGATTCATGAGACAATCGTGCCATGAACCACTGTGTGTGATGCGGACGAGATGGGCGGCGATTCGTTATCTCTCATACGCCGCTCGAATGCGTATGAATCAGAGATGCTCAGGTGGCTGTGGTTCCTGCTTTTTGTGAAAGATTGATGCGAGCCATGCGGTGGTGTATGGGAGGAATCCACCGTAAAAAGTAATGCCCTCAACCTTTTCGGGCGCCGCTTCACCCGTTCCACCATGTGCTGATAAACAGTAGCAATGGTCAGCGGGATAAAGAAACGGCTGACAAGAACGCGCATTCTGTTGCGAGTGATTCTTAAGCTGTTTTATTCTTACGTCTATATCGGCCATGTGAAATGTTTTGCAAACCGCTGGGACCACACGCTTGGTTATGTACGATTTGTCCGAGTTAAGTTTACGCGTGGCAGTCGAGAGAGAGGGTTTGTAATACGCACATGGTCGCGATGAAAAGCGAAGTTCGTTATTGCGTACCATGAATGACTTCGAATGGCCTTCTCTCCCCCCCCCCCCCCCCCCCCAAACGCTGTAGGACTGCTATTTGCCATCAGCGCGTTTTTAAATTCAATTTTGGTGCGGAAATTTGTCTTCATCTTATCCAGATTCGCGTCGCAAGTTCTGAATTATTCGTTCCTAAGTGTAGCCGTCGACATTATCGGAGAGGTCGCCGACTGATTCGGAGAAGCCACGTCCTGGTCCTCGGCTCCGATGGTGTCATCGTGCCTGGGGGCCGTTTACGGACTATGTGAAAGGCGAGATGGACGGACGGTGGTGACCTCATCTGGCCAGCGTATCGTCTGCCGTGAGGGTGACGTGCCAGCCCCTGCCCGGCGTGACCCTGGCTGCGCATCCGGTGCTTGTCAGATGAAATTGTGATTTGGCCGAGCGATATATAGCCGCATGAGCTCAAGGACAAGCAGAAAATCGTAACTTCCAAAATTTGTTTTTCAGCTTGAACAAATGAATAATAGCGGATATTGGCGCTTACAATAGAGAAACGGGGGGGGGGGGAGGGGGGACAGCTGCTAATACGTTCAGAGCGCCGGCACTGCCGGCAGTGGCGCCGGCAGTGCTGGTGCCGGCAGTGCCGGTGCCACTGACGCGTGTAGACTTCAACTGGGGACGATGTTAGATTCAAAGTTGCTTAGAAACTTTGTGTCGTAAGAAGGGAGCACTGGCATCAATAGGAGTTTCCATCAGTGTGTGGGAAAGAACAAAAACAAGGCGCGCGTAAGGAGACGTGTCGCGATTTTCTACACGTGGAGCTATACTAACGTTGTGGCTGAGACATACTGTCCTCGAAATGAGCGCCAAATAAGATATGTTGGCTTGTTTCCTGAGCTGGAGCTACGCATTCTGTATGATTCAAAACGAAGTGTGTCCGGCAACACAGTATTTTCAGCTCAAACCAATGCTGGTTTTCCGGCATCGCGAGTAGTGCTAAAACACTCTACCTTTAAGCATTGGTATCATGGGAGTATCGCTGGGTTATACTTTCAAATGTTTACGTTTTCAACTGTGCTCGGGTTCAGTTCTCGAGTGGTGCGGGGTAAGATTAAATATCTCAAGTGAATTGGCAAGGCCCAAGGACTATCGTGCTATTGAACGATTTATGAATGCCACAGTCTCTGAAAATGTGTGGCTACTTTGCTGCGTACGTATTCCCACTCTGGCTTTATGACCTAACCTGGCCCAGCTTGGCGTGGATCGCCTCGGCACCCGCCTTCCGCGTTTGCCCAGCATAGTGAATCGGTCGTCCTATGGGTTTTCAAAACCATTTTGGTAGGCTGCTGATGCTGCCGGGTGAGTTTATATGCCATTTTTAAAGGTGGATTGCCGCTTCGCATGGCGAAACGTAGCTTAAAACTTTCTTATGCGGATGAGGCATGTCTGATTATCAATGTCCTGAAAGCTAATTTTACATTTACATAGTATTTGTCGTGGAATTTTTTTATCGGGCTTCTTTCCCGTTGTAAAAGCAATATGACAGAAATCGAATAAACGTGCATGTTTTCATTCGAGAGGAATTACTGTGTGGACCAAGTTAGACGCGTAGTTTCGACGTTTGTAGCTAGATGGCGCGATGCTCAGCATACGTAATGTTAGATTGTACCGCAATGCGCGGCGCCAGCCTACCGCTAGATGGCAGCGTATTCGGCATGCAGTGTAGTAGACTGCGCCGCAGCACATCTACGGGGGGTGGCTCGCCGTCTCCACGTACGTTGTTTGAGCATGGTATTTCGCATCGAATGCACCGCCACGCCTGCTCCAACCCGGTCTTATGTCTTTGACACCAGAGTAGAAGCTGGCAAGTAACTTTGGTCAAATGCCTTGAGCGCTACTACTCACACGCAAAGTTTTTGCCGCACCTGAAAAACAGCAAACTCCGGCCCGCGCTTACGCTCACATCTGCATTGCAAATGCTGAACCTGGGCCCCTAAGCAGCGCGTCCGCTCTACTGAATGACGTATTGATTCTGTGGGGGCCGTGAGTCACGACGTCTGGGCCGTCCGGGCCGTGCCCGGTGACTCAGGCGACGGGCGGTGCGCCCGCTGACTCCGGCGACGGGCGGCGCGCCCGTTGACTCCGGCGGCGGGCGGCGCGCCCGGTGACTCCGACGGCGGGCGGCACACTCGGTGACTCCGGCGGCGGCTGGCACACCCGGTGACTCCGGCGACGGGCGGCACACTCGGTGACTCCGGCGGCGGGCGGCACACCCGTTGACTCCGGCGACGGGCGGCGCGCCCCGTCGCCGGTTGTACGGCCCTGTAGGCGGCGGCGGGCCGCTCTCGGGCGCGGGCGGGCACCGCGGCCGTGACGTCACGCCGGCCGGTCGATGGGCGGCCGGGCGCGCCGCCGCCACCCCATTCTCGGTCGACGCGCGGAGCCTGCCGGTGCCGCCCTTCCCTGACCGGTGCGGAGCTCTCTTTCTCTCGCTCTCTCTTTATCTATCTCTATCTCTCATAGGTGAGGTCGCTCCTGGCGGCCTGGTGGGGCGCGCTGGGTCGTCGGCTCAGCCGGAGGCGGTGACTGGGTCGGGCCCGGCCAGCCCGTTTGGTGCCTGGTGTTTGGGCAGGATGGAGCTGCTGACGGAGGGAGCCATCGAGCGTCCGGCTGGCGGGCGGCGAGACGGCCATTTTGGTGTATCGAAGGATACGTCAGTGAGTTTGCCTGTTTCGTCACCGGGGGATGTCGGAATGGGTCGCCGTTGTCCCTTTGAACCGCTCTGGTTTGTCTGAAAGGTTTGCCCAGTCCGGTTTGTTTGACGGGATCGTCGACCGCCGCGCTTCGATTCCAGGCTTAGCTGTTGGAGGTCTTTTAAACGTCGTCCGCTGAGCTTGGTTTGAAGGTACTGCTGCCGTTGCAGGTCGCAAGAGACCGCCCTTTTGGCAGGAATACGGCTGATTTCGCCTTCTGTCGTTGAGTATTCCTGTCGTAGCTGTTCAGATCGCTAGATGGGGTATAGATTCTGGCACGCCGTCGCTGGCGAGTAGTTTTTGTTTCTTACGGCCGGTGTAATCTTTTTAGGGCTCTCTGGCTTAGGAGCCTTAGACTTTAGAGCCTTTCTAGGGCTCTCTGGCGGAAGGAGAATCACATTGTACGTTGAGTTGCCGTCGGTATTCGATCGATGATAGTGCGCGCGCGTTGGAGTCGAGGAAAACATTTCTTTGGCCAAAAAAGGCAATGAGGGTATTTCATGGCGTTCAGTCTAATCTCGTATTGCACGAAAAACGGATTGTATTTGTTCATCCATTCCATGAAAGGCCACAACCCTTGTGCGTCCATACGTCGGCCCCACGGGAACCTGCCGCCGTGCGTCTCGTGCTGCTTCGTGCCGTGGTGCTGCACGCACCCTGTGGAAGGTCAGCCCTTAACGTAGGCCACCTACTGTGCTGAAGCCAACCGGCCGGCACGGTTCCCCGGCAAGCTCCGCTTCCCAGGCACTCGCTGCCTTTGCTGGTCGGTCACAAACGGCCTCACCTGGACGACGTAAGCACTGGTGTGTGACGTTGCTTATCGCTTACCTGCCCCAGGTGCCTCAGTTCACAGCAACAAGTCCGGCCCGTCAAGATCGCTGATAGAATCTTGGGCGCTGTGCTCACACCTGGCTCGGTCGAGGAGCCTCGAGCCGATTGATAGAAGCAATCACTTAACGCGTCGGACGGGCCGCCGCCGCACGCCGACTCCATTTTATCAGACGCGTTTCAGCGGTTATAGCTTTATTGGGCCGTTCTCTCGAGCCGAAACTTTACGGTCGGGCTTTCTGATCCAAGGGCGCAGTGAACTCTGGCTTTTCAGTGGTGGAACTGAACCGGGATGACTTCTGCCTGGAAACAATGGTCTCGCTAATGCGGTCGATGATCGACCGCCATTTTTTTGTCGGTGCCGTCTCCATGGGACTCAGCGGGGGCATGATTGATCTCGTGGCTCGGATTTAGACGGGTGATCGCCGCTGTCTGGTCGTGGTCGGAAACTGGCAATCATGGCCTTGCGTGTGTCCTGCCGCCCGTCACGAACGGCTCCGTACACGGCATCTGCGCCGGGCAGTGGTCCGGCGCCCGCAGCATGGGGCTGAGGACGCTCCGCCTCGAGCTCCATGTCCCGCCGCGGTATGAGTTCCTTCTGGTTCGGCCTGGTGTGGGTCACGACCTGCCTTGGTAGGGCGCGCTAGTACCGGTGGTACCTTGGCACCGGTCTAGACTGTGCTCACATCTCGCCTTCCCACTTTGGCTTCTGCGGCTCAGTTATTGCCCACGTCTCGCCTCGCTGCGTCTGCGCTCTGTAGGGTCGACCTGTGCCTGCGTATTCTTTCGTCGCTGCTGCGTGCCGTCCTGTGCGGCGCGCGCGTGCCGCCCGGCCGCCGCGTCCCGCCCCGCCGCTCGTGTTTTGAGCCGGCTGCGGCCCGTCCGGCGGGCCTGACGGCATCGCCGCGCGTCTCTGCTCATCCATCGATCCGCGGTCGGCGGTCCGCCGCGCCGGCGAGTCGGCGGCCCCTCCGCCTTCGCCGTCTGGCGCCGGGCGCCGCGCCGCGCCGCGCCGCGCCCACCCGCGCCCCAGCTCCGCGGTCCGGCGGTCGGGCCAGCGCGCTGGGACGTGTCTTGGTCGTGTTTCCAGGCGCGACGAGATGGCGACGGAAATGACTACCTCCCAACGGCGTCGTTATTTTCTGGACATCCATTGTGATAGGACGCCGCCCGTGGTCGGCCGAGGTTGTCGCCCAGGCCGTGCCGTTAGGAAGTTTTCTCCTAAGGCATTTGGTAAGCACCATGCCTTTGGGTGCCGCGTTGCCGTTCTTTTTTTTTGTGCTTTCCCTTCTCTGTGGGATAGCGCTGGCTGCATTTGTCATTTCGAGCGTCTTTTCTTCACATTCTATTAACGTCGCCGTGCCGAGTAGTCGCCGAGCCGGAGCCAATCTGCCGTTCGGTTGCCGCCGTAATCCCGCCAGCGTCCCGCCGCTGGTCGGGCAGCTCATTTCCGTCCGGCCTTTTAACCCGGTGACCTATACTGAACTGGTGTCGGCGGCCGCGTGGGAGGCAGGTATCTTGCCTCGGCCTGTTGAACTCCAGACGAGTGGGCACGAGTAGCGCAGCGCGGCGTCCGGTGCTCACGGTCAAAGGTCGGGGGTGGTCGCGCCTCCGCTCCTCTCGCCCTGGGCCGTCAGCTGCGCCAGTTGACCTTTCTGCTAGCTGTCGCTGCTAAAGAGGCCCAGGGTGCGCGGCGGCCGGCCGCCGACGCTCGGCTCGGACCAGCCGGCGCGGCGGCCGGCCGTCGCCATGGCGACCCCGGCCGCTGCACGTTCATCACGGCGGCTTCCGTCAGCAGCTCAGCCCCGCTCAGCCCCGCTCCGCCGCCAGCCCGCCCCCCCCCCCCCCCCCCTGCGTCTGAGAGCTCCTACCGGCCGGCGGACGCTGGCACGCCGTGCTGACGCCGCTTCGTCTCAGGGTGTCGTGAGTGCCGCGTGCGGTCTCGCCTTCACCTGCCCGCCCACCTGTCCGCCGCCGCGCGCTTCGCGTCCACCCCAGCGGCCGAGCAAGATGGCAGCCGAGGATGTGCGGGTGGCCGAGCCGCCCAAGCCGGAGATGGACGAGGACAAGCCCATGTCTCTGTAAGCCAAGCGCTGCCCGGCGTGATTCATTCGTGGATGTCGCGGCCCTGTCGGCCTTTCTGTTCTTCATCTTGCCGTGCTCTTCCGGTTCCCATTCCCTTCCTCTCCTTCTTTCCGTATCCCGCACGTTGTTCCTCTTTCGTGCCCTGTGGGCTTGCTCTCATCTTACCGGTCCCCAATCTCCTCTCTGCCCGTTACCCTCTTTTTCTCGTTTTTCTTTTCCTGCTTGACCGCCCTTCCGTCGTGCCGTTGCATGTGACCCCGGCAGCAGGCCGCCTGGCGTCGCCGTCTCGCTGACCCCGTCGTGCTGAGATGCTGTGCCGCCGAACCTGGCGACGCGCCAGAACCGGCGGGACCAATCAATGCCACTGCCGGACCGCGGGGACCAATCAGCGCGCCGCACGGCCTGCTGGCTGGCATCCCGTCAAGTGCAGATGCCGCCCGACGCGATTATGTTGACAGCCGTTCAGCCAGCGGCCGCAGCTTTACGCGCGCGGGAACGTTTGCCGATGGACTTGGGTCAGAATCGGATCATAGTTAGTACGAGAATCGTGTATCTGCGCGTCAGGGAGATTTGCTGACCGGTGTGTGACGCAAGGGACAGTCCAAGGCTTTTGGTCGCTGTGGCCATGCGGCCGGAATCCCTTGCGTGCGATTGTGAAGATAATTTAAAAAAGTTGCCTACCCATCTTGGATGAAACGTTGCCACTTCTAGTAATGCGAATAATTATTAGGGCAGCCACGTTTTTCTGTAGTTTAGCTTGATGTCACGCTTTAAGGAGCACTGGTCTCTTTTCCAACGAAATATCATTCTTACGATAGCTTATCCTACACAGATGACCTATGCATCGTGCGCTTTCTCGCAACGATCCGGATGAGCTCTTGGCCTCCTGTAGAACTGTAAACAAAACTCTCAACCATATTAATGAAAGGTTCTGCTGCCCTGTGCAGCGACAAGGCAGGACACACTCTCACCGGCGGTGTGTTCGCTCTCATCTTCTCGGCGCTTTTGTTCCGTCACTGTCGCTGGTTTACCCCGAACGCCGTCTTTCTTGCGTGCTTCAGTGGCGTGCGTTTTGTCACTACTGAAGCCCTCGCATTACCACGCATTCAAAGACGCCGTATGCTTCGTCTCTTTTGGCTACACTGGGATCTCCCTAATAAAACAGGAAAGAACTACTGGGAGAAATACACGGTTTTGGCTGGAGCTAATCCATCTGCAATCACTGGGGAGGAGGGGGGCTGGGGGTGCTAACGAACATAAACGTGGCGAAGAGGAGCACCACCGGCCCAGAATGCCTGAATGTTGCAAGACTACTGTAGCGTCTTGAAATGTTAGATCCAGTTTATGACGATTCATGAACATCGACGGCTGGTGGCTATGGGACAGAAACATAACTAATTTTTACCGTTCAGAGCAACGCAGCACGTTGTAGTGCCTTTATCGCCGTTCTTATTGTTATACCATCCAAACTGCGCGATTCCTTGACATCCCATGTCACCATAAGTCACAGAAACCCAGAAACCCCGAGACGTTATCGTCGCTTGTCTTAGGTAACTTAATACAAGTGATTTTTAGACATGATCAGAGATCTTGCTGGCGTACGAACATTCAAATGCAGGGCAAATTATACAATGTCCAAGACAGAATCTAACAGATCATCGACCCAATGGTGTTTTCATTTTAAGGTTAAGTACGAAATGCATTTTGGGCTCAGCAAACCTCCAAAGGATATGTCTCAGCATCTGAAGCAATTTTGGGATGCATTGGGCGACAACTGAGGAAGAGCGGCTTGATATGACATAAACCCTTACCTGAAATGTTATATTTTAAGTCTTACCCTGAATTTGATCGGACATGCAAAAGTGTTTCAATCGCCCTTTTGGTTCCACCGGTTCCGGGGATGGCGGAAAATAGTTTTCCCTGCTATACTCGCTGGCCCTGCGCCCCGCCATCGGCAAAGTTCGAGCAGCACTGACTAGATCAGTACTGCGTCCGTCCCGGTAGATTTTAAGGGGGTCGCGTGCTTCATTTCAAGGGAGGATTCCACGGTTGTATGGGGCTTGGAACTGAAATGGTCATGTTAAAGATCATTCGGTGCATCGCACAGCCCTGCCCTTTTTATGACCTAGACCCCTCTAGTTTCTGAGCTACACGGTCGCGAAGATGTGGACACTATTTCGTGGAGACTATTTCAAGGCATACTCACGCCATCCATTACGCCATAATAGCGTCATTAAAATGCTGTCATTCGATTGGCCGCGTGGCAATCAAGACAAATAAAATGGAATTGTGTCGTTCATATCTGGCGTTCGTGAGCACGATTTCTAAATATAACGGCCGTCAGTTGGCTATAAATCAATGTTGTGCAGGGTACAATGGCGTATGGAGAAACATATTGACTAAACGGGAAAATTGTGTTGTCTAGAGCAGTCTTTTCCACTTTAAAGCATACCAGTAGTTAGAAGTGAGCTGATTTCATCATATTTGGTGCTGGCGTCAATAACTTTAAATGTAAAACGTTCCCTTTGGGACATTGACAGTAGTTTGAATCAAAAGACGAGCAGGGGAATGTTAGGTAACACACACAAAAAACAAGAGGTGAAAACATCACGCTTACCCACAATCAAGCTTCCCAACCGTGTAGTGCATGTTGTCGTCGTCGAAAGTTGTGTCAAAGTTTTCGTTGTCATCGATCTCTGTCTGATCGATGTAAGGTTGGGTGGCAGCCTCGTCCCAGAGCTCGCACAGGACTTAATATCCGACCTAGTATTAGAGAGCTGCAGTCAAGTAACTCTCCCTCGGCGCCCGTATTTCAGCCGCCAGCTGCCATAGTGTTGCATAAATCACCTCCCGTGTATCCTTATGCCGCCGTAACTTGCGCCACCACCATCGCCACACAGTCCAAACACATGAACCGCCGCGGCGGTGCGATACGTGTCCGCCGGGACCACCGCGACCGGCGGTCTGCCCCCCCCCCCCCCGCCCCCTGCCCCGGTGGTACGAGCTGGGAAGATGACCCGCACGGCCCCAGCCACATCGCGGCCCGTCACTCCGTCAGCCTCCCACTTAGGCAGAACTGCCTACGCAGCTAATGCGCTGTTAAAGAGCGCGTCCAGTCACCGTCCTCGGGACGGGCGGGTCGCGCCAGCACCGGTCCGGGCCTGCTCGATAGCCGCCACCGCCCGAACAAACACGGCCGAGAGGCGCCGGCCGGCCGAGAGTCCCGGCAATGCCCCCCCCCCCCCCCCGCCCCCCCCCCCTCTCCCTCTCCGTGCCGTAGGTCGGTCGGTGGCGCTGTGTAAATAACGAATGGCGCGACGGACGCGGCGTGGGCCATGCAGGAGCGCGGTGCACACCTTGACCTCGCCGTCGCGCTGAGCTCGCTGCCATGGTCCGCATAGGTTGATGTGTTGTGTGCATGCGCAGCCGCACGTACGAGCGGATTGTCCTGTCTGTTTTGTTACCCGGAAGCATAAATCAGCTAGATTTATCGTATAGCGCAGTCGAGTACAGCTGGCACGAGTTGTCACGTCGATGACGACGTGTCATTGGTCATCATGCACGCAGCCGGGCGGACAGACAGCATGTGACCTCCGATCACTGGTGTTGACCTGGGCCCATGGTCTGCCAGCACTACTAATACGTGTCCACGACCACTGGAGCCCGGTACTCACGCTGACGACAGCCTGCGTTGATGCTGACCCTCCGCTCGGCGGCCGTCGCAGCTAGCCTGAGCCCTCCCGCTCGGTAGCCGGCCGTGCTGAGCGCCGCCGCTCGCAGTCCCGGTCGCGCCGCGCGCCGCCAACACCTCACGCGCCGCTCTTCCGTCCGCCAGGTACCAGAAGACGGAGGCGGCGCTGAAGACCACCGGCGAGAAGGCGTCCGGCCTGTTCGCCGGCCTGGGCGCCAAGTTCAGCGAGGCCCGCGAGTCGGCCACCTTCAAGTCGGTCGAGGAGCGGGTCGGCACCATGGTCACGACGGTCAAGGTCAGTCAAGGTCGAGGTCGGCGGGGCACGGCTCAGCCACGGGCTGGCGCCGACACGCGGCCGTGGTGTCCGTCTGGGTGTTGTGACCCGACCCCGCTTTTGGTGAGACCACGGGCCGCCTCTCGAAGGCGGGAACGTTTCGCCGTAAGGCGTCAGTGAACCGGTCTGAGCGCTGTGCGTAATATGCAGTCGGCGACTAAGGAGACGGCGGGCTCAGAGCTCCGCCCAGCCGCTCTCTCGGGCATTGGAGGTGTGCCGTCCCACGCTGTCGCAGTCGGCGTCAGCGCACGGGTGACGACGAGTCGAGTACGCCGGCCGCCGCCGAGATCGGCTGAAATCTGTCGCGCCGATCCCGCGGGGCTGGAGGCCGTCAGGCTGCTCAGTGATTTGAAGCGCTCCCCGGAGCCCGCCGGCTTGAATTGCCGATAATCGACCCACCGCGCCGCGGCGGCGGCCGGCCAGAGGCGGCTTTGGCGCACCGGCCGCGGCGGGGGACGGCCCTATCGTCGGATCAGAGCGGCCTGATTGCTCCCGGCGGGGCGTGTTTGTGAACGGCGCGCGACATGCAGCCCCGGCGAGTAGCCGCAGCTCTGCCTCGCCGGCTGACTCGGACGCCTGAGGCCGGTGTTCAGTCGGCGCCGGTCGCGGGGTGCGTCAGCCCAGCACGAATGCGGTCTGGTCGCCGGCGCTGCGGGCGTAACGATCAGTGCAGCTCGACACGGTCGCTGCCGTGCACGTGAATTGCCTGGCGCCACGGCACGGGACAAAAGGCGCCGGGCGCGAAATGCTGCACTTGCTGCCTCGTGAATTATGCAACAGTTAATTTTGTGAGCACAACATGAATCAGTGGTTCGTAGTCAAATGAAGCCCGGCGCGCCCAGTTGAATGGTGTGAATGCTGTGTTTCCTTGATCTTTCCCTGCTTGCCCGGTCTGACAGCTTACTCTCCTGGTCCCGCTCATTTGAGTCCATGCGTGCGATTCATATGGGGGATATTACCGTGCCGCGTGCGCCCGCTCCAAGGCGCGCACTGTCCTGTCCCGTCAGAGCCTCCCTCCGCCACCCCTGATCAGTCGACCGGGCGGGGTTGCAGAGCCACGTGACTGTGCCGCCGGCGCTGCAGCTGAGCCTCGGTCCAATCAACGAGTACCTGCCGCCACCTCCTGCCCACCCCGTCAGTGAGCCGCCGCCGGGCCGCATCGGCCTCTGTCACCCCACCCCCTCCGTCCGCCGCCGCCGCCGCCGCCTCCTGCCCTCCCCCCCCCCCGCCCGCCTCCGCCTCATGGCCCCCCCCCGCCAGTGAGCCGCCGTCGGGCCGCCTCTGCCTCTGTCACCTCTCCCCCGCCGCCGCCTCCTGCCCCTCTCTCCCCCCCCCCCCCCCATCATCATGAGCCGCCGTCGGGCCGTCTCAGCCTCTGCCCCCCCCCCCCTCCCCTCGCTTCCCTGCCGCCTCGGTGAGCCAACGTTGGGGCCGTCTCTGTCTCTGTCACCCCCCCCCCCCTCCCCTCCCGCATCATGAGCCGCCGCCGGGCCGTCTCTGGCTCTCATCCCGCTACCGGCGCCGTCCGGCCCTCCGGCGCCACCGCTGGCCACTGCTGCCAGCTGTGCGGCGCTCCCTAGTGGCTCCCCGGGCATTGTCACCTCAGGACGCAACACCAGATGCCCCGCGCGCCTGTGCCTCGCGGCTGCATCCCCTGGGACTGGCTGACTGACGCCGGCTGCCGCTGGGCGCCGTGGGGTCACCAGCGCCTGAGGACATTGGGTCCTGGTGCTGAACACTGGAAAAAGTCCTGCTTCGATGTTGGTAGATTGTATGTGCTTCTCTATGATTTGCTGAGACCCGCCGCGCGTCCCGTTAGAACAACGTGTGCCGTGCTGTTTCCCAGCCGCTTATGGTGGGCTCGGGGACAACCGCAATCACGAGAAATGACCGCGAAGGGGCGGGGAACTCTACGATTTTAGCGCGTGGTATTCTTGGATTATGCGGCGGTGATGTGTGAGCGCAGAAGTACGCGGAGGAAGAACCGAGTAGTGTCTTTAAGCGTGCCACGCGTCCAAGCATTAACGATACGAAGTGTTCCACATTTACGGCTTCTGCCTCAGAAGTGATTGCATTGCGTGTCAGCTTCTTCGCGCAATTGCTCTTGTCTTGCGACTTCCTCGCGTGCCCACAGTGCATGCTATTCTCGACCGGAGGTTATCACGCTGTCCCGACACGCGCCGGTGCTACGACATTATTTGCTCCATCCTTTGTGTCGTCGCTCGTGCTTCTGCATCAATGGGCGGGTTCGCGGCCGTTCCGGCCGGGTAAGCGTGCCCCCCCCCCCTCCCCCTCCCCAGCGGCTGCATCTTGGCACCCGTGCCCCGCGCCACTATCGATTTCACAAACGGTCACGGCGGCGGCCGGCTGGCATCCGGGCGTCGCGCGCGCGCGACCATCGATCAGTGCGCCGCCTCTGCCACGTATCCGGCGGCGGCGACGGCGGCGGCGCGATCAATCGATGGGCGCCGCCCGAGCTCCGGGCCTCGGCGCCCACTGACGCGCCGGCTGGCCTCCCTTTCAGAGCAAGGTTTCGTCATCGCGCAGCAACTCGACCCAGTCGTTCGATGAGGCGCTCAAAGAGGCTGAGGCCGCCAAGAAGCAGGCGGAAGGCGCCGCACCCGCCGCCGCCCCAGAAGAGAAGCCACAGTAGTGGCGCCGCGGCCGGTCGGGTCGGCGAGTTCAGTTTCTTCCCCGGACCGCCAGGTGGCCACCTCCGCTGCTCGGCATCGAAAGTGTCTCATTCCAGTGCAGTTATTTCGTTGAAAGTCAAAAGCAGTTTATTTACACGTGCGTGATAGTGAAGTCGGTTGTTGTGTTTCTATTGCAACGTGTGTGAAAAGGTGGCGAAAACTGGGTGTCCTGAGCCCGTCTACGACTGCGTGGGTCACGAAAAAATTAACGCATTTTAACGCCTGGCTAGTGCATGCTTCGCGAGGTGGGTTCCAGCTAAAGTTGTACAGATTATCATGTAACTGGTGCAGCCTTATTGAATGGCATGATATCGCGAGTACATCTGGGTGGTGTGTTTATTATATCAGAGCTAACCTCTGTTTTATCATGGCATCGAAGATCTGAAGCATTGAGCATGAGTTCACCAAAGTTCGACTCTCGTCATGGAGAGGCGGGTGATCTGGCAAAGGTCTAACCGAGCTCGGTCGCCAGCACGTCTCAGATTCATTAGCCCGTGTAGCCCTCCTTTGTTTTTCACTCCTTCGCAGTGGTGTGGTAACTGGGTAGCATGTGATAGATTGGTATTGAATAAATTGATCTAAAAGGGCGTATGTTTTCCGTCGCCGACCATGGGCAGCAGGAACCCCGTCTGTATAGTGCATTGGGCTGGTTTGAAGTTCTCTGAATGGTTTGAGGTGTGCGCGGGGCTAAGAGCGCCAGTCCGAGCCGTGAACGTTGTCGTCGTACGGCTGACTCCCGCACTACAACACGACAACCGAGCCAATTTCCTTTTTAATATACTTTCTCGCCTATGAGAGAGCCTTGCCTAAGACAGCAATGTGCGGAGGCCTTGGATCGAAAAACTCAAAACTGTCTTATTTTTTAGGCTGACGCACGCGAACTTTTGCAGCCTATTTCGCACCGTCACTTGAAAGTCATTGAAGCATGCATAAACGTCGCGTGAATGCCCCACCCCATTAGCCGTATCATGCTCATGGTCGAGAAAAAGCATGGCCACTGAGATGTTCGTGTTTGCATTGCGACAGCTTCAAGTGCCCCAACGGAAACAGGGAAACTGAGCTGGCGATTGCACATCTCGATCACGCTTTGGTCGTTTGGTCGTTTGTATGGCGACCGCTTCAGTCCGTAATGACCATTGCAGGGCTATGGGATGAAACGGAATGGATAGCGGCAAGGCAGGGCTGCATGCACGCGGGGACCCAACGGTCGGGACTAAGTCCGCATAGTGACCCCCTCTGCGTGGCGTGCGCTTGGCGCTCGCACGGGGAGCCCCTCAGGGGCCGTTCGGCCCGTTGGTAGCTGGCGCATGCAGCCTGCTCCGGGTGGGCCGGCAGTCGCGGGGATGCGGACTCAAGCAAGACAAAGGATAAAAGGGTGGATCCTTGGTGACGAATCGCGCTTTATGACATAACACAGACATTCAGGCACCGGCACTAGTAATGGCAGACGTGAGGCTGAGAATCGAACAACTTTAACGGAGTTAGTGATCCACATTTGTATGGGTTTTTAATGGGGATTTTATAGATCATTTGGTGCAGTTCACAGCCCTGCTCTTCTCGAGATCCTACAACCCTGTAGTTTCTGAGCTACACGTGGGCAAAGATGTGTAGGCTATTTCGTATAGGCGATTTTAAGGCTGTTCAGGCATATACGACGCCATAGCAGAATCGTGCCAGATCGTGCCATCCCACAGGCCATGCGGCGTTCAAGGTCGGAAAACATTACCGTCGAGCCGTTTAGAGCTAGCGTCCGTGGGCATGATATCCAAATATAGCAGACGTTAATTGGCTGTCAGTCGATGTTGAGCAAGCTGTAGGAGTTTAAATCACAAATCACGTTTCGTGCTGTATTTGGAGGCCCTTCGGACACCAATCTGAAATTTGACCTTGTTTCACCCTCTTTTACTCGAGGGCTATGACCCAAGAACATCAAATTTTGACGCAAGTGAGTTCACATACTGAAAACTGATCCTGTAAGATAAATATATCGAATTCTTTCAGCTTTTGATATCTCAAGGGGCCAAAATGTGCCCCACCCGAGCGAAAGATATGTACCGGCTACCTGGGCGCGTATTAAATAAAGCAACATTTAACATGGGAGGCGCTGCGACCTAAATCCAACGAAGGACATCTTAGATTGTGTAATTCGGCCAAATGGCTCTGCCGCCAAACCCCGTAACGGGAACCGTTAATGCAGTCGGATGTTTGCCGCCCCAGCGAAACGAAACACATGTGCCTGCCGTATGGAGCAATGCACACACCAACGCTACAGCACCCCTTATCCTTGCAATATAAAGCCGTGTTTGGTCTCCCCGCCAGATAACACGAAACAACTGAGCGGATGAAAGATGCAATAAACTTTACACAGTTGGGCCATAAGACACGCAAAGGTGTGAGAGGCTAAACTGAAAAGCTCCGGAATGCAGGAGCGACCGAAGTGCCTCATGGCTAGCTCTGTCCCCGTCCTCCACAGCCATCAATACGTGCCGTCGCCCCTGGCCGCCACAAAAGTATGCTTTCGGCGCCCCAAGGTGGCTTCTAGAGTGCCGCCCTTACTTTCATACCAGAAGGGCATGTACCTCCAGTGCCCCCTCCCTCTGGATCCGTTCCTGCAAGACTACTATGCTTCTTCAATTGAAGACCTCTTTAAGTGATACAAAAAGTATCAATATAAGAGGCCTTTCGCCAAAGCCTAGTGGGCTAAAATCGTTGAGAACAAGAGGGCTAGGTCATCGGGCCGCGGCTCGGCTTCCCGATCGGTTACATGAATCAACACTCCTGTTCCGTGACGTAATGGAACGATGGCGTGATAAGGAACATGGAATATTTAGTGCAATTTTGCTATTTAGAGCGGTCTTGTACTGAAAAAGCACTACAATAATTGCGAGTGAGTTTTTTCCATCATGTATGATGCTGGCCCCAATATCCTCAAATGCGGAACGGTCCCTTGTCCCCTGAGTTACCCACGCAAGGCTGTCCTGTTTAAAGCGGATTCTCTTTTGCACTGATTTATAAGGAATCTTTGATGAACATTCTTTTGTAGAAAGTAGTTTCTCGTTAGTAGTCTTGGTTGCAAAGTGGGAAGTTTGCCCCAAGTTCAGCTCAAAAGGCTGCTGATGTCGTCCAAGTGTATGTTTAAGAACGATCGTTCATGCGGGTACCCCGCACGGCACAAAAATAATTGCACACCGCTTTGTAGCCTGACCGCGGTCCTCTCACGGGGCCTCCTTGCGCCTGTACCCCGAGGGCTGCGCTCTCGACTCTGGCTCTGAACCTCATACCACACCGGTGCGCAGGCGGCCGGCCAGCACCGCGCCGTACCCGGAGACATCGTATGGCTCAGTCGTATTTGTGCAGCCTTCTTCTATATACTGGTGTACGCGCAGCTACATTCACTGCGCTCTTACGAGGCAATACCCGTTGTTTACAATTTCTCCTGGATGTTGAATCGATCCGCCCGGCGTGGCAAGATGTTCTCAACACCACAATAGGGCGTCCGACCAGTACCACTATGTCCAGGGTGGCCCCAGCGCCCCGCAGGGGAGTACTGCAGAGCACAGTACTCGCCCCATGCTCCCGGCAGCGGGACAGGGCAGCGGGACACGGCCAGCGGAGCTGGACCATTGCGTCATCCGATCAGACCACAGCCCGCACCGCACATCAGGGAACGGCGAGGCAGCGGTGCCGCACGTCATCCGACCAGACCACAGCCCGCACCGCACCGCACATCAGAGGGGCGGCGAGGCAGCGGTGCCGCACGTCATCCGATCAGACCACAGCCCGCACCGCACATCAGGGGACGGCGTGGCAGCGGTGCCGCACGTCATCCGGTCAGACCACAGCCCGCACCGCACCGCACATCAGAGGGACGGCGTGGCAGCGGTGCCGCGCGTCATCCGGTCAGATCACGGCCCGCACCGCACCGCGCATCAGAGGGGCGGCGTGGCAGCGGTGCCGCACGTGTGCGTGCTCGGCTCGGGTCGGAGCAGGTAACATCGGTGACGCTTCTCAAATGCTGTTGCAGGCAGTCGGGCGGCGATTTGTGTGGGCAGCTTGCGGACGGGGGCGGTCATTCGCCGAACTTTGTTAGAAATAGTTCTGAAAGAGCAACGTAGTCGTCACTATTGCTAAATACAGGTATGTTGAAAATATGCACGAGCATGTGGTGGGGAGTTTGAAGATTCATTTGGGTTTGCAAAAAGATAATCACTTAAACAGCAGTAAAGCAAATAGTTATGAGAGCGTTAGTCTTGTGTGGTATGAACTGTCCTCGACTTTTCGCTCCGACAGACGATTTTTCGGCGTATTCCGAGCGGCCTGTGGGCTGGGATCGAGGACCTAATAGCAAACCTTGATGCCGTCGCTCTGACCAGGACTGGGGAACTATGAACACGACTGTACCGAGGTGTTATCTATGCTGTCTCCGTAACTGCACCCGACGCTCCAGACTGTACCTCCGTTCAGTCATCCCATGCGACGGGAATGGCCGATATCCCCCTCCCCCCTCCCCCCCCACACACTCCCGCCCCGCGGCCCTCACCTCGAGCTGCGCTGACGAGCCGGCTTCGTGCTTTGTCTCCGATAGATGGCTCTGGCGCTCCTGGCGCTGGCGCAGCAAGGACCGATTCAACGGCGGGCCTGCGAGACAGTAAAACAGTTATTGCTGGCACCGGCCGATAATAAAATACAAAATGCAGCTGGGCTCACATTTCACAGAAACCATTCTATCGTCATTCCGCTACTCTCTAGGTGTTCTATAAACATCTCCCTCAACCACTTCTAGCTCTCACTCTCCATATTTGCCGCACTCGCCAATGCGCGTTCTGCGTCATTTCACAAATCTGCTTGAATGTGTAGCAGCGATGTGTTTGTGATTGAAGTCCTTGACGATTCTAGCTGCTTGGCTTAGGAAGACCGTAGTTCTACCACACAAGAAGAACGACCCCAGTTCAACGGACAGCTGTTGAAGGATTTCGACGTGTCACGCAGTGCCGTGACACGGCCGACCCTGTCTCGGCCTGGCTCTCTTGGCCAGCTGCCAGCTGTTAAAGACGAGTCACATAGGCTGGATTTCTGAGACGCTGGCCGGGTCGCCTGCCACTGATGGCGGAGTGTTCAACACTACTAGCTAAGCTTCGGGCACCATATTTCCGTCACTTTCGTAGGCTCGGCCGCTCATCTCCACATTCACCTTCAGCGAAGACATCAAACGTAATGTCAAACAAAGGATGACCTACATTGGGTTGATAACGCATCTCACCCTGAGAGCATACAGGAACCCCGTAGACTGATATCGTGTGCGCCATCGTCTCCCCGGCCCAGAAGTGCCACCCGGTTCCTATCCACCCACTGAACGCGCAGCAGCACCGCTGGCCTGTCCGACACCCACCGACAAAGCTGAGTACCACGGGCAGCAGGATCAGACCGTGTGACGCGCCGTACAGCACCACGCCGAGGTACATCCTGCGAAACAGGTCAGCGGTCAGCGGAGCGAGCCTGCGGTCAGAGGAGGCTGCGGCGAATCAGACACAGCGCAGAAATGACGCACCGCATTAGAATTTTGGTTGGCGTTGTTTGCATGTGATTTAATTTTGTATGTACATGACCAACGATGTGATAGATGATTATTAGCCACAGATGGTCACGCGTCTCAATGCAGACGCTGCATTTGACACCGTTAGAACACGCTTTGAGAGCAAAGCCGGATCTGGAGGAAGACAAGATATTTGACGGACCGCTGAACATTTTGACGGCGAATGGTGTTTATCGCACGCAATCCGTCTCCTGGACCTATTCGCCGTACTAGCACGCCCGCTTCTCGAAACCTGAAACCACTTACCGGAAGTAAAATATCTGGAAGATCTGTGATTGGGCGAATCCCAGGACAACGATCCCGCCAAACTTGGTGAGCGTTATGCCGCTAAGAACCTGGAAGCGTGTCAAAATGAGCAAGCTTGTGAGCACCATTACACGTCCATTACCCAGAATGCCGCAACGCATGGGACATTGGTAACGACGTCAAAGGCGTAACACCAACACTAAATGAGATTAGCCGCGATGCTGAGCTGAATATCATCAATCAATGTCTTTTCGGCGCACGAACTTCAGCTCGTTCTCTTTCAGAACAAGCAATGTGACCTAACTTAGTGTCTGTTGCTTAGATTGGCGAGCGTGGCATCAGGCGAACTTAGATTACAAAGTTCCCGTGAAGCCGCCCAGGCCCGCCCATTTGACAGCGGCCGGTCCGAAGCAAGTGGCTGGGCAGCTGGGCGGCTGGCCTCGGCTCGTGCTGGCGGCACGGGAGGGAGCCTGTCCGAAACCGCCCCCGTACCGAGGAGCCCATGTTGGTGAGCGCTTCACTGGCCCGCTCCACCCGGCTCGGCTTCAGTGAGACGGCGAAGGCGCGCGTGATGTGGCTGCAGAACTCCACCGAGATGCCCACCGCCTGAGGGCATGAGCGCGGGGCAGGTCGGCGGCCGTGACATCGCAGCCAGCGCGGCAGCGGTAAGGGGTAGATCACACTGTACAGGGCAATAGCACGTAAAAGCCTTTTCTGAGCACATCAATCACTTTCAACACCGCGGCAAGTTGGCCAGCTTCTAGACCCGGAAATGTTTGAGATCAAAGACCTGGTGCTTAAACTCAGCGCCAAGATCGTCCAATGTTATTTTTCTCCCGTCGCTCCATGCTAGGAAATACTGTGACACCACAGTTAAATCAAACCCATCGCATTGCGCACACACACCTGAATCCCTCTACAGTTACAGGCCGCCATCGGCGCCGTTTCACCAGTACACAGCTCAGGTTTGCCTGACGCGGCGTCCGAGCCTCACCATGATCAGGTTGACGAGGGAGACGGCGTTGAGCGAGATATCCCACCAGTACATCAGGCCGAGCAGGTTGGTGATGATGAGCAGGATCATCACCAACACGATCAGCGCCGAGTGTAAGTCGAGCCCCATCAGGAAGAAGGTGACGAGGAAGATGGTGACGATTGAGATGGCGAGTGAGCGCAGCACGTCCGCCCACATGGTCAGGTACTGCTCGTAGAAGACGTAAAATACACTGAAACAAACGCAGGACCGGTCAGTGAAGAGATTGGCAGACTATGGCCGGGCAGCTGCATCACGGTGAAAAGGTAATGTTAAATGTCACAAAAGTAAAGGTAAAAAGTTAAAAATCAGCGGCATCGATTGAGATGCTGAAGGGAGCAGGTTTCTCAAGGAGGGGGCTGTATTATTTGTTAAATCGACTCGAATTATCTTATTCGAGAAATCATTAGAGTTCGACTCAGTCAATATCATTGATTTAGGCATTACAAGTCCAAAATTTTAATGCTAAATTAATGACCTTCTATGTACCAGCAGGCACTGGATAAACAACGCTGTGATAAATATCGATTATGTTGACGTTATTCAATGTTTCGAGCTTGTTAATCCTCAAGAAGTTTAGAGTTCAACAAAACTGAGGATTTCAAATTGCTCGTAAGGATGGGCACATGTCGAAATATTCAGTATTTACAATACAATTTTTGGTCAGCATTGTAGCTTTGTTCATATGGAATGGTTCACATTTGAAGATATTGAAGCAAGCATCAGATATGCTGAAACGAGCCCACTTATACCTATTGGTATGCCTTTTAAGCGGAAACGACTACTTTAGACAACACAGTTCTCTGTTAACATGGATAAGAGTAGCAATAGCCTTATTCCTCGGAGAAAAACCATGAGGATAAAGATATAGATTGGCTGATATTTGCATTCTCCTACTTTTATCCGAGGAATCAGGCTATTACTACTGTCTTATCTATGTGAATAATGTTCCTCTTGAATACACTGCAAAACCTATAGTTTTCTGTCAAGTAAATATGTTTTTTCCAGGCGCCATGGTTTGATTACGTCATCGTACCTTGCACAACATTGATTGAGAGCCGATGCACAGCCGCTTTATCTGGAAATCGCGCTCACGAACGCCAGATTTGAACGCCTCGGCAATTCTATTTTTTGGCCGTGATCACCGCATGGCTATAGAAAGACAAAATTTGAATGATGTTGTTGTCACGTCATGAGTGCCAAGGTGACCTTGAAATGTTTTCCTCGATATACCTTTCTCCATTTTCTCCATTTTTTTCTCCATTTCTCCATTTCTCCTCAGAAACTAGAGCGGCTTACAAATGGCAGAATTGTGAACAGCACCGAATTTCTTCAAGATGGCTATTTCAACTCAAAACCCAATATAAACGTGGAACACTCCCTTCAACTCCTCCCGGCATATTGAAGGTCGTTAACTTAACATAAAGGCTTTGGACTCATTATGTCGAAACATTATGAGCTGAAGGCCTTTCTTTTTATATGGAATTGATAGGGACGTTGATAATGCCACGGGACAGGATAGGACAGGCTGACATATTTGCGGTCGCCAATAAACCGGAATGGGTTTAAGGATCGATGGCCATCTGACATCCCAAAAAAGTGTGCCTCTTCTACGAGCGGTGAGTGGATTGGATGCAATTGATGGCTTGGACCGAAATCCGCGCAATGCGCAGAAATACATCACAGCGCCCCATCGCAATGTATTGTGAAAGCCCCAAACTGCTCCTGCCTCTGTGGGCTTTAGTCAGTCTTCATGCACACGGAACACCCGCTCTAATGGGATCACCACTTGTTTCACCTGAACTGTATGCAACTCAGGGATGCGCGCTCCCTCTCCAGGGCTGGAAAGGAAGGATTCGTCGTTCGGTGTTCCATACCTCAACGTGGCACCACACGCTTCTTGTAACATAGCAGGATCACCGGGCTTACATGACTTCCAGCATCAAGGTTTGAAATTATCGCTATTTATGGAGTGAAAGAATTTTCTTCGACTATGGGAAATCCCCGGCAAACTAAAGCCTTCTGAAAACTAAAGATGAGCCTTCAGACGGCCTCTCTCAGTGAAGAAGAATCCTGGTAATGTGAAAAGCATACTTATTGTGCGATTGAAGAAAACGATGCCAAGTGCTTGGGGCTCATACATTGCTGACGGCCCTGGCTGCTGGGCCTGAGTGTTGCATGCAGACGTTCAATAATGGTGGCTCGCGGCCCACACAAGCGGCGCCTCCCGCGCTAAGCTTGGCCGAGAACACGGGATTTCTCCGGCGTTCAGACTCAAACTCGTAACCATACGCCGTTATACAGACGCACGCCACGAAAGCAAAGGCAAAGGCTGTTGTGGCTGCTGAGGTCGAAGTGGTGTTTCGAGGCTGAAGATCCCCGCGCTTCGAAAACGTTGGGAAAATCCGCTCTGATAGCGTTACTAAGTGCAGTAGATAAGCATGTGAAGTGTAATCACGGCCACCACACCTGTGTCGCATTTATGGTACGCACCCGCTTGTAACCCTCGTTCTGATTCGCCGCTTTTCAAAACACAGGCTGATGGGAGGGTCAGTGCGACCCCCTGTCGGTTCCAAATTAAGGAAGATATTCCTTCACGGAAAGCACCAGTGGATTGGTCTTAACGGAATCTTGCGATTGGTAATAGTTTGAATGTTGTGAGGTGAATAATTGACTCCATTTTTCCAGGCCATAGGCCAAATTTTCCCGAATTCCAACTTTTCCACTTTAAATTTTCACATGTACAAAACCAAGCCCTGCAGGATCACAAAATCCTACAGGAGCATCCTGTTCAGTTCTGAGTACAATGATTTCAAGGTTTGTGTGCTTTATTCGTACGTTCATGGTGTATGACTCCTTAAACATCACAATGGCAGCCCGTTCCGCGCGTTCCACGGGATCGTCGGTTACCGCCCTGGGCCCGCGGCGGCCGTAGATCGCCGTGCAGGGATCATAAAATCGCTGCTGCCCCGACACGGGAAAGGCTAGGGACACACTAGGGACAACACAGGGACACCTTTTTTGGTTTTGCGAGCAATGAATGCCCCATAGGTTACCGAAAATGTGGGCGCCATTCCACGACGCGTCGAAGACGCATTCGCAGAAAACCTTCGGGGAGCGGGGAGGTGGGGTGGGGGGGGGGGGGGGGGGCGCACCGCCGCACCGCCACTATCAAGGTGAGGGTTAAACATTATCGTGCTCATCACTATAATCAGCGCAACCAATCACGGAGTGCAGCGTGTCCTGTCCGCCCAGCCACAAGCCGTAGCAGGGCTCTGCTGCTGGCACGTCCCTGCGTGGCCGCCCTTGTCAGCCGGCCCTCCGTCTCACCTGTAGGGAAACACCTGCTGCTGGCTGGTGCCGCCTGACGCTTCGTTCAGCGCCCGGGTCATGCCGTCGGTAATGTTGCGCGCCCACTCTAGCGCGCTGTAGAAGTCCACGGACGTTTTCAGGATGGTGTGGTAGGCCATGAAGTAGGACGCACCCACGTTGGTCTTGTTGTCCGCATCCTTGACGACATTCACCGCCTGCCGAAGATAAGGAAGAATACGTCGGTGACGGTTTCGTTATCCTGAGGCCTGATCTGTTTCAGGTCATTTCAGTTCCATTACCCGTCGTGAGGAAATCACCGCCGCAAATGCTATCAACCGACCACGACGTTTCGTTTCTGGTGCTGCAAGCCCATTACACACGCCTGGGTTTTCCATCGCCGCTGTACTCAACATGCATCGCAGACAGTGGTTTTTTGCTGGTTCATCACAACGCTACGGCGAATCTCTGCACGGGTGTTTACGCAACTCATATGGGGCCGAGATCACGGAGCAGCTGCTTACGTCTCCGTATGCGGCGTGCCCACCCTTGGGACAGGTCTCTCCCGGGTTGTCGTTGAGGAAGAATGAGATGTATGCTTGGAACGACTCCTGGTCAGGCCGACGAAGGTTGTCCGTGAAACCCATTTGGCATTTCTGGCAGTCCTTATCGAGCTCTGTGGAAAGGTGTTAGTTTCACTCATAGGCTGATTTCTGAATGCTGATTTTATTCGAACTTTTCGAATGGCATCAAATTTGATTCATCCTTACTGCTGGCGAACAGGAAGGATGGATCATATATCACGAGAAAAGGAATGAAATTACATTTCTGAAAGTGAAACTTTTATGAGCCGTTATGCATAAACTGACACTACACATATGCTGAGGTATGGAGGTGCGTGGTTTGGAAAACAGTGGCAGACCAAGAGAGTTTCCACACGATATGCGCATGGTCGAGCACAGCACCTTAATAATCGCCAGCGGTAATGGTATAACCACTTCATGGTCTGGTCAGAGTCAAACGTTGTCCGCTCTCAATGCAAAAGGCGCGCTGAGCCCGAGAGAGAAAAATAGACTGTTCCATCCATATCTAGGCAGATTTAACAGCCGACGCATACACAAACAGCTCCAGCCCTGCACCTCATTGCCTACCAAATAACGTCGTTAGATGACCCCAAAAGATTACCAGTAGTTAGTCCATTAGGGATGACAAGGAAACACGCCACTCGGACCCTGGAACGTACTATTTCCCCTCATGGAGGGACAGAAGCCGTCGTCGGTCTTGTTACGATAGCAACAGCTGGGACCGGAGCCGGGCTTGCCGTGCTCATAACCGAAGGTGCACCAGTCGAAGAAGTCGTCCACCCAGTTGCTCGCTGGACTGGCTACGTATGTCCTGCGCATGGCCCAAGCGCACGCGGTCAGGGTACTAGAGCATTTTTCAGTAGGTTCCTCTAAAGGGGAAAGTTCTGGAAGGGAAATAATAGGTCAGAAGTATTTGTATGCCAGCATACCACAGGCGTGTTTATGAGTTTGTAACAAGCCAAACAGACCGCTACACGCTACACTATGTCACTTTGAGTATATTCATGTGTGTATGCCTATGATGAGGCATTACGCAATTCATACGGCGATAGATGTTTTAGGAGGTTTGTGAATTGCGTCAAAGAAGTCATCAACTATCATATCGTCTTATATCCCGAAACCTGGAAACGAGATCACGTAAATCATGTCAGTTTTAGACATCCCTTGACAAAGCATGCATCGCGAATTGATAATCCTTAATCAAATGTTGACGCAATCTACCTATCTGGGTAGTCCTGTGTCCGTCAGTGGTACACATCATTAGTGGTATTAGTGGTACAGATCATCATCAGTGGTACATACCAAAGACATCATTCGATATTCAATATGCATTCCCGAATAAAGCTTGCAGCCTGTCGTTTCGTCTACGCCGATTAAACACATCGCGCCATGTAATTCGTTTTGCCCATGGTTTTCCCTTTCTGAATGAGCCGCTGATAGTGTTCAAGGATGTGTTGGCGCAAAGAGGCCTACGCGACCCTGTCATTTTGTCATTTTGAGCCTTCTGACAAGATCGGTCGGGTCGATTTAACTCTGGGGAGGTGTTGTGGGGGGGGGGGGACAAAATACCACTTGCAACGAACTGACGTGAAACTCCGAATGAATAAATAAACACGGATGAAAGAAGAAAAAGTAAAAGTAGAGCTTAAACAAATGCCCCACTAGCGTCAAACGCTTAGAGCATCCTCAGGCATGTCAGTGGGTATAAAGGTCCGCAACAAGATGTTGCCATTCATTGCTATTCAACACGGCACTGCCCCCTTTCCCCTCCCTCCCGCCCCCTCTGCCATCGGCTGGAGACTGCTGCTGACCTGGCCGGCTGCTGGGCGGCCAGCGCGATTTGCGTGCCGATGGAGTTGCCGTCGCAGTTGACGGTCGAGCAGATGCGGTTCAGCACCCGCTCGTCGCTGTAGTTGAGACCATCGCGCACCACGAAGTAGACGGGCGGCCCAACACTGAGGTAGTCCTGCTGGTACTGCACACGGCGAAGACAGGGGACGCTGGTCAGGGATGCTGCTGGTACTGCACACAGCGAGGACGGGGGACGCTGGTCAGGGATGCTGCTGGTACTGCACACGGCGAGGACGGGGGACGCTGGTCAGGGGTGCTGTTGGTACTGCACACAGCGAGGACGGGGGACGCTGGTCAGGGATGCTGCTGGTACTGCACACAGCGAGGACGGGGGACGCTGGTCAGGGATGCTGCTGGTACTGCACACGGCGAGGACGGGGGACGCTGGTCAGGGATGCTGCTGGTACTGCACACAGCGAGGACGGGGGGCGCTGGTCAGGGGTGCTGCTGGTACTGCACACGGCGAGGACGGGGGACGCTGGTCAGGGATACTGCTGGTACTGCACATGGCGAGGACGGGGGACGCTGGTCAGGGATGCTGCTGGTACTGCACACGGCGAGGACGGGGGACGCTGGTCAGGGATGCTGTTGGCACTGCACACGGCAAGGACGGAGGACGCTGATCAAGAGTGCTGCAGACCAAGCTACGGGAAGCGAATGTTTGAGGCGAGGTCGCTCCGCTGTGAAAGTTTGGCTCACATGTAACGTTAACGGCGAGTGCTGTTACAGTCCATTTGTTTTAAAACTCTGTTGTACCACTCGACTCTCCATATGGGTGTGACCTTAAATGACTGCTATACGACAATGAGATATCTTTCACATAAACCCAGACGATCAATGTGTGGCGAGATACACCGAACAGATCCCACCACCGCAAGCTGTCCTAACTCACGACAGAGCCACGCCGACAACATTGGCACATTGAGAGCCAATCCGGCGCTCCGGACCCGCCCTCCCTCGCAGGTAGTCCGCACCCCATGCCGGCGGCCACACCTTGAACATCTTGAGCATGTAGGAGTCCTGCGGCATGGAGAGCTCCTGGTCCAGCCCGACGTCGACGTAGGGCACCACGGCGATGCTGGAGCAGAGCCAGCCGAAGAAGGCGATGATAACGGTTCCGCGCACCGCCGGCCGCATCAGCATTGGCGCGTACAGGTTCTTGAACAGCCGGTACAGGATGCCCTCCTGGCGCTCGCCGCTCTTCTTGGAGCCGCGCACACAGCACAGGATGTCAAACCGGTTGGCCTGAGGGTAGCGAGCGCGGGAGTTAGCGGCAGAAGGCCGTCGGCAGGCAGGACACGCCGCAGGACGGACGGCGGCAGCACGGGCGGAGCAGTCAGACACGGACGTGACCACGTTGTTTGGGGATGTGAGTAGTTCCATTAGGATTCCCTCACAGGAACTAATCGCCACCTTAGTAGCGACGTTTCATATCATGCCATAATTCGTTGCATATATGATAATGCCTAACGAGCGGCAGAAACCTCAAGCTGATGGTTTGCTCTCGCATGTCTGCTTGGCCATGCACATACAAGCTACAGCAGGTGCGCAGCCCCAGCGCCGCCCTGCTCGACTGTCTCCGTGGTAACCGGGGTCGCGTCCGCAAGGCGGAGGGGTGCGGCGGCGAGGCGCGGTGCGGCGCGGCGCGACGGCCGCGCCATCCGCGGGCCTTGCACAGGTGCACTGTGCACGCACGTCTTGTCGGCGGGCGTCCATCGTGAGTAGCGACACGAAGCACGTGATCTGCAGCAGAAAGTCGAACAGCAGCGCGAGGCCGGCGAACAGCGCGAACGAGCGCACGGCCGGCATGTCGATCAGCGCCCCTGGCGGCAGAACGACGAGTCGTCAATACGGTCACGCAGCCGGCAGGGGAGCACCGGGAACTCGGGAGTGGCACAGTGGACATCTTGTATCATATCGGGAAGAGACTCCGACTCAGTTTCATGTTGATAACGCACCTGCGGTGACGAAGAAGTAAATGTTTTCGTCCGCTTTTCGGAAATGCGAAAATGCAGAATCATGAATATCTTGAATGGTTTCTGGTCTTATATCTCCTTTCAAGTCATCTCTTTTCCTTAACTAAGTGTAGTAAGGAATACTGGCTTGCATCCTGTACCCGGCACCTTGCCATGATGCGAGCATGTAAAGATATCACCAGTGCTGCTCAAATTTATGGCGAAGAATTTCGGTGCCACGGAAGCACGTTTCGGGCGTCTGGATACTCCGGCCTCATCGCAGGACAGCTGGGTACACAATTCGTTCACATGCGATCGCGTAATCTATTTTCTAGACCCGTCACGCAAGCATTGGCCCAATTTTGTCCAAAGCTGTCCCTTCACAGCTTGTTTACATGAACATAAGCAGCGCATGCATTCAGCGCTGCGGCAGCACAAATCCGAAGTCGCGTCGGCCGGCTTGGATCGCCGAGACTCGCAAAGACTCATAGGACAGAGACTTTTATAGCCCGAAACAGACCCACGACTGTAATGGAACTGACCGAGGAAAAAGCAGGCCGACTCGGAGGTGGACGAGAGCAGCATGGAGGGCGCCACCTCGCCCACGACCCGTCCGATGAACTGCTCGAGCGACTCGGTCGGCCGCTGGCTCTCGCGCTGGTACGCCTGCACCAGGATGAAGATGTTGTCGACGCCGACGGCCAGCACCAGGAATGGGATGACCTCGATGACGATGAGCGTGCCGGAAACGCCGACCAGGCCGTACACGCCCAGCGAGGCCATGACGGAGAGCAGGACGATGATGACGCCGCCCAGGCCCAGCGTGATCTTGCTGTCGATCTGTGAGGGAGAGAGTGGAAGGCAGAGAGTCAGCCCAGGCCAGCACTGTCTTCTGAGGAAAAGATGGGGGACGTTTGTCGGTGTGATTGCTTTAGGTATGCTCCGTACTCATGGTACGCTAGTGGCGAACTCAATGCTGATCTAAAACGTCATTGTCAGTGATAGCATATCACGTGGGAGCCTCGAAGATGATGCTGAGGTACACCTATGAACAGAGAATGGCTGGATAGAGTCCGAGTGTTTTGCTGGTGATGGGATTATTTTACGTCGCCAGTTCTATCAGAAAGGAGGTTAGGCACTATCATCATGATCACAACACACCCGTGATGACACACGGACTTGGCACACGTGCGGATTGAAGCCATGCCTGAGAGGACGCGGCCAAAACTTCCACAAGCTCAGGACTGAGTCAGCTCTCCTCACCGTCTCCGCTCATGTCAGTCCCGACACCGCTATAGCGGTGGCACAGGCCGGGGACATAGAGCAATGTGCCCTCCCCCGTCCTGAGGGACCAACGATTAATGGCCAGATTTGAGGGCCCAAAGGACCCGAAGGTCTGGCCGGAGGTCGCGTTAACGGGTCCGGCCTGCAATGCCGGGCCCTCAAATGCCAGTCAGAGAATCCTTTGCGCTGACTGTGGGTCCCTGAGCTGATGAGGTCCTATATGTCGATCAGGCACAATCAGTGTTGAACAGAAGGGCTGGCTGTAAGTCACGTTAACACGCGCTCGGGCGGGGGGCAATTTGACCCTCAGAAGGTTTTTCTGCAATGGTTTCCGAACGACGCGGCGTAGCTGCGCCAAATTTCGCATAGCTTTAGGCAATTAAATACCAGATAGCTTGTCACCACAATTTTAGATGAAGCTCGTAAAATGGATAACCTACAGCAGGTTAAAGTCCGGCCATGGATCCAGCGACGACAATTTCTAGGGAATCGTTCAACCTGATGCAACAACGGAGCGCTATACGAAGTCACACATCTCTGAGATAATATCGGAGGCAACACGAAGGTTGAATTAACCAATTTCATTGACCTAGGGTCAGGTATGAAGATCAGGCCAAGGTAGAAGCAACTGTTTTTTTTGTAATGTAGGGTTTTTTGTAATGTTACGGTACGGAGTAGTTTCTGATGCTCATTTTGAAATAATTGAAAACAGGAAGCGCATTATACATCTTCCTTGCACTTTTTAAAGGTCAGAATAGGTCACCGACATAAAATGACCCGAGTCAACATTTTGTCTTCAGGAACGTACTGCCTATCGTAATCCTTAACGCTTCTTCAAGTGCAAAAGTCAAGGAAGTCTTGTAGAATTTCAGTCACCATGACTTTCAAAAGGTCAAACAAGACCACTTACATTAAATGAGCAGATATTTAGGTTCACGATGGTTACGTGAGAAAGCCGGGAGTACATTAAACATCATTCTGGGCTTTGACCTTGTTCGACCCCATGTGACCCAAAGTTCGTGACCTAGTAATCTAACGTTTAAGCACAAGTGAGTTCACACACAGACCAGCACACCCTGTGAATCTGGTGTCTCTAGCTTTCTTCATTTGTGCGAGTTCAGTGAGGTCAAACTGACCCCACCCGAGCGAAGGGTATTTAACCGACCACCTGGGCACGTGATGAGGTCCCCGGTCCGTAGGGTAATGGCCTCAGGTGACATTCAGAGGGTCTCATGCAACGATTGAGAACTCCTAAGACAATGCGGATCTCTATTTCCAGGGATCACCAACACCGAACAGTTGACTCTGTGCCTTGGATGCCCATTTATCCAGCAGGAACAACCTCGGGGCCCTCAATTTGCATTGGCGGGGGTGCAAAAACAATGAGAGGCTCCTGTGTCGGTAAGTGGCCACGATTCCACTCAGCGCTCTCCCCGGCTCCGCTCGGCTCTCTCTCTCTCTCTCTCTCTCTCTCTCTCTCTCTCTCTCTCTCTCTCTCTCTCTCTCTCTCTCTCTCTCTCTCTCTCTCTCTCTCTCTCTCTCTCTCTCTCTCTCTCTCTCTCTCTCTCTCTCTCTCTCTCTCTCTCTCTCTCTCTCTCTCCTCTCTCTCTCTCTCTCTCCTCTCTCTCTCTCTCTCTCTCTCTCTCTCTCTCTCTCTCTCTCTTCTCTCTCTCTCTCTCTCTCTCTCTCTCTCCTTCTCTCTCTCTCTCTCTCTCTCTCTCTCTCTCTCTCTCTCTCTCTCTCTCTCTCTCTCTCTCTCTCTCTCTCTCTCTCTCTCTCTCTCTCTCTCTCTCTCTCTCTCTCTCTCTCTCTCTCTCTCTCTCTCTCTCTCTCTCTCTCTCTCTGTCTCTCTCTCTCTCTCTCTCTCTCTCTCTCTCTCTCTCTCTCTCTCTTTCCCTCTCTCTCTCTCTCTCACTCTCTCACTCTCTCTCTCTCTCACTCTCTCACTCTCTCTCTCTCTCTCCCTCTCTCTCTCTTTCTCTCTCACTCTCTCTGCTCAAGCTCGGCGCTCTCGCCGCCTCCACTCCGCGCTCTCCCTGTTTAAGCTCGGCGCCCTCGCCGCATCCGCTTAGCGCTCTCTCTGCTCAAGCTCGGCGCTCTCGCCGCCTCCACTCGGCACTCTCCCTGCTTAAGCTCGGCGCCCTCGCCGCCTGCACTCGGCACTCTCGCCGCCGGTGGCCGGTGCTCACCAGCAGACGACTGGAGCCGTTGTACTGTCCGAGCGCGATGCTGATGTAGGCGAACATGATGAGGTACGAGATGAGCACGGTGGACGTGTCCGACTCGGACTCGCGCGCGATCTCGTCCTCGATGGAGCGCTCGGCCATGTAGGCGATGTCCATGTTCGGATGGCTGTAGCTGCCGATGAAGTCCAGGAACCTGCCACGCACGTGGGCCTTAAAAGAAGCTGTGGCGAAGATACCGTGGGATGGAAATTTTAAAAAGTCATTAGGATGGAAAACGTAAATGACCATAATGCTTCGTAAAAGCGACTTCAATGGAAGCTGCGATAGAAATATAACCAACTGATGCATAAATTCAGCCACTACTTCTGGATCTAGCAGCGTTCTAGCTCGCAGTACATTCCAAAACGGTTGCATGCCTCATCGGCAAGAATCCGACTACAGCACTCGCATCGCGTGCACTATTTCACGCCTCAACGCATGGCACCTGGTGCAGGCGTCGGACTCCACTTTCACTTACGCCTGCTCCCAGGCCAAGGCCGGGCCCAGCTGGGACGCGTCGTACTCGTTGTGCACCAGGAAGGTGATCAGCAGCGCCGTGGCGTTCAGGTAGTTGACGTCCTCCCCGAGCGTCTGCCCCTCGCCCAGGAAACCACCGACCGCCGTGTACGGGAAGCTGGGGCCACCCCACTTGGACATGCAAGGTTGACTGTTGAAGTCCTGGTCGCCAAGATCGGTGGGGTTGAGCAAGCAGTACTTGATGTGGTCGAGGTAGTTGAACGTGACGTCGCCGTCCTGGTTGGTGTAGTTGAACGCGACCGGGTCGTCCTGGAAGTATTCCGCCACCGACTGGATGGTGCAGTACGAGTTGTCCGGGTACATGGGTCGGAAACAGATGTCCTCCAGGTGCACCGTCTCGTTCTGGTACTTGCCGGTGACCTGGTCGTAACACGGCAAGCGCGGTGAGAACGGAGAACACACCCATTTACGGACGCATGTCTGCAGTGAGGCTTCGGGGTTTACAGCTCACGACAAACCCTGATGCTCAGATCCAGTGTGGGATCCGCACGGACAGATGGGCCGGAACCAAGCGCCGATGAATGGCTTGTCTCGCAAAGTACAATATTTTGTCATAACTTCACAACAGACGTAGTCCTTTTTTGACAAAAAACCTGACTTACAAACAAAGACTGGCCATAAAGATATGCGAAGGCATGCAGTGCCTACTGTTTTTAAACATGCAGTACCTCTTACTGCTTTTTTCATACGCAGAGTAAGCTTGCATCCAAAAGAGCAGATGTCACGAAAAATTTAATGAGTTGTATCGTTGCATCGATACAACTGCAAGGCTTAGGTAGTTGCATTGTTGCATCAAGCAAGTTGTATCGTTCAAGACGATGGCTTCGCACTTGTAAGCCATTTCTCAAATCCGCTCACGCTTGGATACGAGTTGCGATATGTCTGCAGATGCTGGCCCTCACATTATTGGTGATGTAAATCTGCAGGTCCATGGCGGCCAGCAGTAGCTCCTTATGGAAGGCAGGTCCGTACTCAACCAAACCGGTGCTGGATGAGTGGTTAAACTGCAGCAAGACGACGGCATCGTCACGCCACCCCGCTGCTAACACGCCACTCCGCTGCTAACACGCCACTCCGCTGCTAACACGCCACTCATACGCAATACGCCACTCCACTCTGCTGGCGAGCTCACCAAAGTGGTGGGCGTTCGCGTGATCTCAACGAGGGAAGGAAGGCCAATATGCTGTACGCTTGTGAAATGTGCAGAAGAACCATGAAGCAAGGACTTATTTCTCTGGTCTTGATCAACATGCACAATTGCGGCGATGATGGCAACTTTTCAACACCTATTTCGAACGTTAGACACTGTACCAGACTGCAGACATGTATGGTACCAGACATGTGCCAGACACGTATGGTAGACACCATACAATGTACGATGCCCTGCGCGTGACTTGTACTGTACTGTGACTGCCACGATCATGGCAGTCACATCTACATTCACACCGCAGTCACGGAATCACACTTGCAGTCACGGCAGCGGGTCGATATAATGCGGATGGAGTCCACATGCGCCTCGAAGACACACAAGGTCATCGCTTCCAGCATGATCTGCAATACCCTTCGCCATCCCGTCCACTCACCGGCTCCAGGTCCTTGGCACGGATGATGAGCATCTCGGTGCGGTAGAAGGGCCCGAAGTGCTCGTCGTAGTAGTCCTTCTCGAGGCGAGACCGGCTGGTGGGCGCCGCCCAGAGCTCGATCGGATCCGTGGTGATGTTGAGCGTCAGCACACACGCCGACAGCGCCACGGTCGTGACTAGGCCGATCAGTAGCGTCGGCACCGGGTGACTGGCACAGACTGACGGCAGACACAGAATATTTAATCTGGCATAGACTGACGGCAGACACAGAGTATGTAATCTGGCACAGACTGACGGCAGACACGGCATACGTGAGCTGGCACAGTCTGACAGCAGATACAGAACACGTGAGCTGGCACAGTCTGACAGCTGACGCAGAGGATTGAGCTGGCACAGTCTGACAGCCGACACAGAGCACGTGAGCTGGAACAGTCTGACGGCAGACACAGAGCACGTGAGCTGACACAGTCTGATGGCAGGCACCGAGAACGTGGGCTGGTACAGTCTGACGGCAGATACATAACACGTGAGCTGGCACAGTCTGACAGCTGACACAGAGCATGTGAGCTGACACAGTCTGATGGCAGGCACCGAGAACATGGGCTGGCACAGTCTGACGGCAGATACATAACACGTGAGCTGGCACAGTCTGACAGCTGACACAGAGCATGTGAGCTGGCACAGTCTGAAAGCAGGTACTGAGCAAGTGAGCTGGCACAGTCTGGCAGCAAACACCGAGTCCGTAAACCCACGCAGCCTGACGGCAGACACATGGTATGTAAGTTAACACAGTTTAAGGCGGCACACGGCACATTTGAGATTTCAGTCTGTTAGCGATAGGACAGCCAGTAAACATAGCTTTCGTATAGCTGCTTTTTCAAATTGTGCCCTTTCCTGGCAACATTCTCCCAAAAGTGTAGTTGCTTAGGGGGATGAACATTATGTACATGGGGCCAATCCTGTAGTCGTGGCCTATCTGGCTGTAATCGTGGCGTATCTAAACATTACATGACTAAGACTCATTACCGGACATTGAAATAAACTACACATGACTGTTGTCCCCCTCCAATGGCTTGCAATGATCCCCAGCGAGATGAGCTTCGTACGTCACGACCCCGCACCGTACTGAGCACCACCTGGTGGCTCACGCACATGTGCCCAGTGTTCTGAAGAAGCTGACCAAGCTGCGGTCCATGACAGCGCCCCAACGCTCCAGACAGGACGGCTCGCTGACCAGCTGCTCGGAGGAGGCGGCGGCGGCGGCGGCGGCGGCTGGAGTCACCGGAGCTGCTGAGACGGCAGCCGGTCAGGATGGTGGCGTCCGGGCTGGCAGCGCCCGCCGCCGGTTGCGAGCTCGAATGGACAATGCTCGTCTTACACTGTGCGTCTTTGAGGTCACGAAGGACCTTTGCTCCAGCATAGGGGCACCAGATGTTTCCTGGACACGCGCCATGTGACAACATGTGGTGGGGGAGTTGGCGTCTGGTACAGATGTCAGATCGAGGGCTTTGCGACAAACGACACAGAGGTTCCGTCGTATAGGAGACAAAGTAGGACAAAGCCATTTTGTCGCTTAAGACAAAGCGTGGGCTTCGCAAACTCCATGGCATGACCAAAACGCCAATAGCGAGCTTCACGTTACACTAAACGTCGGCTGTCGGGCCTGAGCACATGAAAGGAACGACGACCATCACCCTTCACGATACGACTAAAAACAAGAACCTGCAAGCCTCACAAACTTGGCCTCGCACAGAGCGCTACCCTACAGAACGTGGGAAGTCAGCCCGCTATCCCAAGACCTCATACAGAACGTTTGCCCTCGATCCTCGCGACCTGACAGGGCGCATCGTCCCACTGGCTCCGTGACGCGGTGGGATGTCGACATCAATGTCGACGGAATGTCAACGTCGATGTCGACGGAGCGTCGCGTAAGCTTCACCTGGCGCGGGAGGTCGACATCGCGGCTCGCCGGCGAGTACCTCACCGGTGGTTCTGCACCGCCAGATGGAGCACGCGACGATGAATATCAGGGCCAGGGCCACGAAGACGATCAGCATCACCGCCTCCGAGCCGTACATCGTCACCTCGAAGCTGACCATCCAGTCGCCGGCCGGCGGCGGTATAGGTGGCGCCACCGGACAGGCGCGCGGGCAGTCCGTGCAGGCGCAGGAGTCCACCGGCTTCTGCGGAGCGGTGTGCCAGGGTTGCGCAGGCACTGGCGGTGTAACACATGGGGAGAGGATATGCGAAGAGGGAGATGATAAGAGCAGTGACAGAGGAGTGCAGCATGACAGATGAAACTGACAGATGAAACGGTGGTTGACGCAGAGTGATAGAGATGCTTTTTTAAACCGACTCAGCAAATGTTGTCATGGAATCTTGGGCTTCCGTCCAGGATACCTTTTTCGCACTCCTTTTATCAACTTACTTTGTGATCAGTTACATAACGTCAGCGAAATGAGCAGCTTGGCGACTACCCTTGGAGAAATTCGCATAATATTATTAGTTTGTATCGTGAAAATAGTAATGGAATAACTACAGAATACATTGTAACATGAGAATGAGATGTCAGCTGAGCGACAGCATCACATCGAAAAGCAACACGGCCTGCTTTTCATTTCCGTTAAAAGCTCGTGATGGCAAACACTACGACAAAGCTAGCGGGCTGTAGCTACATGCTTCTTACCCCTGTGTTTGAAGTTGTGTTCGTGTCACAGGTTTGCGCTTCCATCTTTAGATAATGGTAGGGGGCCACGTCATCTGAATCCGTCCCGATCTTGTACGTGATGATAAATGGTGCGTAGATATTGTCTCCCAAGGCTTCGTAGAACCTGTCGCATAGAGCATGAGCATCGGTACGTGACGTCAATATTCTTAAACGTTTTCCGCGGTCATTTAAAAAAATGCACAAATTCAAACACTCTGTGGAAACGTTCACACTTGCAAGTCTGTTGCTCACTTCACTAACACAGTGATGCTTGAGTGGATATGGTAAAATCTTTCAACAAGCATCCGAGCTCGAGTGTACGCCCCGATGCCCTACGCCCCCCCCCCCTAAAAAAAACACAATGCGCAAAGATTTTACGGTGCGCTTTTTCGTCACATATGTTGCATCAAACAATTTGTATTGCTGTAGTGTGAGGTCCTGAACGTTGAGAGGCTGGACCCCGCCATACGGTGCATAAATCAGAGTACCAAGCGCGTCTGCCGGGAGCATCAGCCAATGCCTATAATTGTATCATGACGTCATATCTGACCTTTCTGGTGTACACCGGTACCATCCCCACTCCCCGCACAAGTTGGCAATGGCTGGCGCGTTCGTTTGCGGGTACAGGACCTTGGAGCAGCTGTCAAATGTGCCGGTGGTGTAGCTTTCGTCGATGTAGTAGTCCACGTTCGTCAGGTATTCCACACCTGAGAGAAGACGGCGGAGCGCAGTGTGAGGGAGATAAAAGAACGCAATAGAAAATGAGAACACAATAGGATGTGCTCAGTGCGTTGAGTTTGTTCAATGAGTTCAGTGTGACTGACTTCGCCTAGGATTCCTGTGAGTCCAGCTGCACACTCGCAACTGAGATAGACCAGCTGTTGGTCTCCGGCGGGACTCTGCAATATCGGGACTGGAAAGACTCGGAGCTCTGTTGTGAACGGGAACACGGGCGCTGCTCCGGACGTGCACCACTGGGCGGTGTCCGACATCGCAGACAATCTGCCCCGCTACCTGGTCTTGGAACTCAGTGCTTGCTCAGCTGGGCTGGGCGACGTCAGCGCACCTGTGCCACCGGACGCAGCACGCCGAGTCTCAACAAACGCGATACGTTGAGCCCGTGTCTGGTTCTGCTTTGCTCGGGATTGGCCAGAAACCTACACTGCGTTGTCATCCCAGAGAATGCACACAGAGCGTCACTCAGTTTGGTGTATCCTCGGGTACAGAGGGGAATCTAAGGCCAGCCGGGAGGTCACGATCGTTAAGATGGGCTGCGGCTCCGGACGCTGCTCACAGTGCGGCGCCACACTGTGACGCCACACTGTGACGTCACACCGTCACAGCCACACCGCTGCCGGCGTGGCTGAACCCACGTAGCGAGTCGAGTCACCGCGCTCTCACAAGTCCATTCACAAGTGACCCTCGAGCGCCGTGACGCGTCACCAAATCGGCGTGACGCGTCGCCAGTCGGGCGGGTCGCACGGCGTGGCGGCCCCGTGTCGCGGCGGCCTCACCGTCCGCCGTGAAGGCCGTGGCCGTCACGTTCATGAACGAAGACTGCTCCGCCGAGCACGACATCTCGCAGATGGACTTGCGGAGGTTGTAGTAGCAGATTGGGCAGCGGGAGAACTGGGAGGCGGCCAGCTGTAGGGAGTCGGCCATCTCCTTGATGTTCTTCTCATCGCAGCACAACGTCGGTGGCAAGGTCAGGTCTGTGGAAAGTCACAAGCCGCCTTCCTTGGCCATCATGATGTAGGCGCTTGAAGGCCCTGCCATGTGCTGAGCCGTTATGCATTGTCTAGCTTGGTCAGTGCCTGGCTTTCACGCGTACCCACCATGAGCTGTGACAAAAAGCAGATGACGGCACCACGTGGCTGGCGATTCTACGTTAGGGAATGCCTGTTGTGCTTTCTTATTAAATTGCAACATTATACATGGATTATTTTATGGACAGACCTGGTAGAAAGAGCCGCAAAAATCTGTTTATAGGTCTGTGCAGATCTATAGAGATCCGTCATTCAGCGCTACAGGCGCGATATGAGATGCCACTTCGTTAGGGGGGGGGGGGGGCACTTCGGCGGCTCGAGCTCCCAACATTTGGAACAATTAAGCACCAGGCTTACGGCGATGTATGAAAGGAAACAATTCAAAGCGCCTCTGGGCCCTCCAAGTCCTGGACAAATCCGCCCTTTCCAGGCCGCATACAACCCCGTCGTTACAATTCATCGGTAACGCATATGTTGATGAGCCGCTACAACGCAAAGCTCGGAGCTAATGTGGAGACATCGCACCAGAGCTCAGTCATGCGCTCACTCTCTTTCTCGAACAAGAACGGACAGACGTCCAGGAGTATGTCGATCGACGCCTGGTCGTTCAGCTGCTTCGCTGGTCCGGTGTACGGACAGTTTGAGTGAGCGCCGAACAGGGTGGCCGGTCCGCAGATGCCGTACCAGAGGCAGTGGCCACCTTCCGACGCCGCGCAGCCCTGCCGGTCGGGCAGGGGTAGAGCGGTTAGGCGTTACTGTGTTCAGGTCGACGTGCGGCGGCAGCGTTAGAACAGCTGGAAGATCAGCGGTAACAGAGGGAGGGTGCGCACGTGGCATGCCGGCCGAAAGTGAATGATTGATTTGCTTGGCGCCGTTCCAGTCTGCTAAAGGTTCTCACATTGCGTAGACGTCGTTCCAGTGCGAATATATTGTTTAACTTTGTCTCTATGCACGCAAGCCTACCGCTGCCAATGGTGCTCAACAGCAGCGCCTCAGACTGATGTTTGGTCGCGGCTTGCCTGAGCGCGCATGCTCATGCTAACCCTGCCCATACAACACAGCACGGAACTTGTGGAAAAGGCATCGCGGTGTGTGTCAAAACAAACTAACTGCTTCTTCTTTTCAAGCGATTTTCTTGACTCCGAGCACCCTAAGCAATGCGAACAGGTAAAGCGAACTCTATCCAAATTTGCTCCCGCGCGTGGGGAATGCGGTTCGGTAGGTGAGTCAGCAGGTGACTAACACGGTCACCAACCGATACCGAAATTGGCCCAAATCTTCCATTTTACTATGCAAAGATGTTCGCTCTCAAACTTTTGCCACATCAACCTTTTCCATCCAACACCCCCGTGCTAACGATTAGCACTAAAACATACGAAATGCAACAATGACACACAGACTATGATAATGATCACAAACCGACCACGAGATGAGATGTTGCGCGATTTGGGTGAAATTATGTGAGACGTTACTGACCTCAGGGTTGCGATATTAACGGTATACAGCGAGTGTTTAGCCAAAGGTACTGTAACTGGGGGCATCTATTCCTTCCAATGGCAGAAAACATGTTAGACCACTGAGATCCCTCAAACTCATCATTCTTCCACTCATGTCGTGGAACTCGCCAAGCTGTTTTCACGAGACGTTAATTCATGCAACCGCCCCAGGCTATCCCATGCTGAGGAGTTTCAAAAAGACCTCGGCGCTGTTTGACTCAGAAAGCGCCCTGCCTGCTCCTGCTCCAAACTCTGTCTGCTGCATTGAATGCCAAGGTCAGCTCAAGCTTGCCCAACCGCAGCAGAGCAAGGTCGGCAGATAACGGCCGCGGCGTAGTGATAGTGAGCGCCGATCGGACCTCGTGGCCTATTGGGAGCCTTTGTGCGAGGAGCAAACAGCCTTAGCAACACCAGGATATTTGTCTCTCAGGCTAAGCGCGTCGCGTTTTATCAGGCATCTTGCGTTGGAGGACCGGATTACATTCTGCCACCCCCCGCGCCAGCGCTGCGCGGTGTCCAAGCTTCCTGCAGACGACGTCGCACGCCAGCGATAAAGTGACGCGGACTCATTCACGCTCTCTGACGTCACCTATCGGCCAATCAAATCGGGACTGTCGCGCCACAGCGTCGCAGCAGCAACCTCGCGGCTGGCGTTCAGCCCCCTCGCTGTCGCTTGTTGTTGTGCCAGTAGCATGGGCTAAAGCCAAGCATGGCATGACCTGTCTGTCATTCTTGTCGTCTGCATTGCGGCCACCCTTTTCTGACTGCAGCGACTCTCCTGGAAGAATACATTTTCGGAGATATGCCCACAACTCGACTTCAGTGAAGATGCCGTACCTTTGGCTGATGTCAGACGAGCGTTGTTCTCGTATAACAGCACATCAACGTGAAGGGTGCCGTTTAACGTGCATCGACTTATGCGTGCCCGGTAGGTCCAATCTTCCACAGGACGTTAGTTATGCTGTGTCCTAACATACCCAACTGTACAACATGGATGGTAGCCACATATATCTCCAGACTCGAGGTTGATAGGAACAAGCAATACCCGGCACACGGAGTTTTACAAAAGTGATCGAAACTTAAAGCGGATGCTTAACCTTCACATAACATTTTGAACTTGGATGGCTGGATTGTAGTACCCACCAGAATCTAACCTGATACATTCTTCAGCTTCAACAGACAGTATTTCCCGACATGCGCGCCGCAGCATTAGTCCAGTATTTATCGCGGTCCTCCGCTTCGCGCATGAAGTCATGAACGGCGAAGGCCTGCGAGGAAAAGCGCAATCCACTAAAAGCAATATTGCGCAATTAGTGTTGAAAACAGATCATCAACACCCTAACCTTCGCCACAAAACACCTCAGCGGTAGGGGGTCGATGCGACACCCCTGAGGTGTTTTGAGGATAACTTTCCGGCATGGTGTCCCCCCCCCCTTCCCCATCAGTCCACATTGTGAAAAGGTGAATCGGGGCGAAGGTTCATGCTTGGCTCTGTTTAGGAAGATCCTTCATGTCATGTACCCCATCAACGCTGTAATCCAGCAAAGGTTGTGTATCTACCAAACCTGTGAAACTTTGCCGAGATATATACTATATACAACATTAAGTTTACGCGTGACTTGACTGCGGTCTGTGGCGCTGTACACAATTTCTGACAAACTCAGATGGCACATCTGGCATAGAGTGCTTAGTTAAGTGGCATTTTCCCATTGAAAGGCATGCAAAACATGCCCTTAAATGCAAACCCGGAAGGTGCAAAGATGTAAGTGCACTGAACTCGTCGGCGAGCCTGATTGATGAAACGCAATGATGGAAAAAATGATGAGTTATTGCTTTATATGGTCAAAAAAGGTTTGGAGGGCATGGGTTGTTGGCATCATAAGCTTGGAGTTCCTATGTTAAGCATAATCCACTTTCATTATTCCAGGAATTCGTCGTTAAACGACGCTATCGTGGTTATACTCGAATGTGGAGAAAACTTAATGCTTCGAGGCTATGCTTGTGACCACCAGAATTAGAGCGATTATTTTCAGCACGATAAATATAAATTCAAGGCTTTTCCTCATTATCGCTTTCCTTTAACAGTGCTGTAATTTGCCGAATTGATAGCCTAGTTTGATGCCAATGTTAAGAGAGATGGAAAGTCACCGAGGTGGTAGCCATATTGTTGCCTACTATCAACAACACCGGCCACAAGCGAAGCTCGCAAAACGCGCCACATGTGTCCAATCTAATCCGTCCAGGCTATCTGTGTGGAAGACTGATGCTTCTGATATGATATGTCGGTTTGAGATTGTGGCACCAGTCATAAGCCGACATGCAGCAGTGCTGAGCTTGGACACCACCATCCGCCTGTGCGTAGCAGCAATAACCCATGCGCAAACGGCCTTCAAAAGCGGGGCGTTACAAAGCTTGCGCAGAGGAGTATGACCAACGTGAACGTCAGCATCCACCGTCCGTCGTCGATCACCGGCTCCGTCGACCTCGTGCTGCCATGGGTACGCGCATCGGCTCATGACTGGCACGTGCCGGGCGTACGGCACCACCAGTGGGACGCTCCTCCGGCACGTGCCGGGCATACGGCACCACCAGTGGGACGCTCCTCTGGCACGTGCCGGGCGTACGGCACCACCAGTGGGACGCTCCTCTGGCACGTGCCGGGCGTACGGCACCACCAGTGGGACGCTCCTCTGGCACGTGCCGGGCGTACGGCGCCCCCAGTGGGACGCTCCTCTGGTGGGACGCTCCTCTGGCACGTGCCGGGCGTACGGCACCACCAGTGGGACGCTCCTTTGGCACGTGCCGGGCGTACGGCGCCCCCAGTGGGACGCTCCTCTGGTGGGACGCTCCTCTGGCACGTGCCGGGCGTACGGCACCACCAGTGGGACGCTCCTTTGGCACGTGCCGGGCGTACGGCGCCCCCAGTGGGACGCTCCTCTGGTGGGACGCTCCTCTGGCACGTGCCGGGCGTACAGCGCCCCCAGTGGGACGCTCCTCCGGATACGACAGCGTGGCGGCGTCACGCTGGGACGAGGTCATTCCGGTCATAAGCCGCGAAAGCTCGAAAGTCTGACGCGAGGAACGACGCGGAAAGGATTCATCGTGGCCGAAGCGTATCAGGCAAAACACTTCGGTCGTTGGCACAGGGCGGTCAGGGTATGTAAAAATGAAAACGCCGGCTTATCCACCTCGGCTTGACAAGAGTTGCCACCTTCAGGTCGTCGGAACAGAGTGTCGTTGGTCGTCCATGCATGCTCGCCTTGCCGCCGGGGGAATAAGGTTCGAAATTTACTTTGGTTTTCTCGTATGGTTTGGTAGATCCGGCTTTCCCACCACAATGGTTGTGAGACGCCACAGCTCATGGTACATGGAGAGGTGGCAATTCATGATCATGGCGGTTAAATGTGTGGTGTATATGGAGCCAGCAATAAGAAGCAAAATTATAAACAACCAGAGCACAGATAAGCCCACGGTAACTTGTGAGGCTTTATTAAGCTATGCGTTGTCATGTGCAGAAACTCTGATGCAAATATTTCGATATCGTAAGTCTGCCATGCAAGATATCACTTCAATTCACTTCCAGACATCATGAGTGCAAGGCAGAGTCCTCTGCAAGTGGTCACACTCCTCCTTTGCCCTCATGAGTAAAGGCCCACAAGATTAAGGGATGGGACTGAAATTAGCTTTCCCTGAATATAAAAAATTGCGCTTTTAAAATTTGTTCGGTGCTTCGTGGTAAATTTGTCAGATACTCAACAGGCCGAGACGAGCGTTGGCGAAGGGGGCGGGGGTAGTCTGTCTATTGGAATGCAAGCTTCACCCATGGCCTTTGTTCATTACGGCGTCCATCCACGGCAGTGCTAGAATATTTTAAGCGTAGATACTCATGTGATAATCTCTGTAAGACATCCAAGAAATGGCGCCGACGGCGTGGTGTGCATCCTGTATCCACATCCAGCGGAAGAAAATGTTTTTTCGGTATATAGTCAACAATCACACTACGATCCCTGTCAGCTTCCATGACGCGATGCTACTGCGTCAAACAAATGTGCTTAACTAGTGAAGCCTCGCAGCGGAAGGCCTATCCCAAAGACTGCCAATCGCCAATCAGCCTCCATCGACGCGGGCTGCGCGGAAGCACGCCCGTCAGCCCGACCGATACGTAACGTGAGCCGCGTAACCTCACGGCCACATGGTCCCACGCCTTATCAGCCGGGCGGCGATCACCACGGGGTGTTTTGGCGAGGCGTTATCGCGCCCTCGACGCCGCTCCGAAGTCGAGTCTCGAGTGCTGATACCGAGCGGCGGCGTCGCGCGGCTGCCAGGACGGACCCTCACGCAACCGACCTTCGCACCACCAGCAAGGTGAAACGGGCGGCGATCAGCTGTATCGCGCTTTGCCAGGTGAGCCGACGTGGCGTTGTCACCTGACTACACACGGCTCTGCTGCAGCGCGGCGAGACCGGGCGCGGCAGGCGACCCAACGGGCGGCGGTGGCGGTGACGCTGCACGGCCGCAGTGCTGCGCAGAGGAGAATTATCCCGGCGGAGGTGCGACAATCGGTTGCCAGGCAACGGGACCCGCCGATTCGCTCGGAGACGTAGATAACACCAACTGGATGCCACGTGCGGCTATTGACGGGCGGGGCGATAACGGGATTCGTGATATGTTAACATTATATGTATATATATATATATATATATATATATATATATATATATATATATATAAACAAATGACATCGTGTAAATGATGAAAAACTAAGCCGATGGAGCCAGCACCCTTGGCCATTAATACCAATGGCAAATATGTTTGACAAATGAGCTCAAAAACGCGCCAATAAAGGGAACTTTACAGGTGGAAGTCCGCTGGCAGGTGAGAGTGGGGCGAGTTGCATCACGCCCAAGTAGTATCACGGTGATTCACTCTTAATCTACGCAAATAATGACAACCTTGAGTCACTCAGCTGACGTACAGCAGCATCGCTTGGCTCTCACTGTATTTCCGGCTGCTTGCATGTGCGCCTCTTGGGGTGAGCACGACAAATGCGTGTTTGTTTATTGCTGAAAACTCAGGCAATCCGTGTAAATTCGTGCTGAAGGTCTCACGACATAACCAGGCCAACCTGAATGATATCAGTGATGGGAAAGTACATGTGCTGCACATACGGCCATACAATTGGCGTCTGCTGGCTAAGGATTTTGAGGTGGTACGAGCTTTCTTTCAAGATGGCAGACGGCACATGTTGTGTTAGGTGTGCGTGTGGTATGCTGCATCAGTGATACAATGCATCGAAAAAATGTAATTGACTGATTTACTGTCAGTGATGTCATTGACTGGCGCACTGTCAATGATTAACGGATATCACCGCCATGGCTTTTGTTATCTAGACAATAAATCAATAGCCACAGTACCGATGTATGTAATTCATACCTGAGCAGCCAGAGCCGAGGATGTGGTGACTGAAACAAACACTGGCTGATTTAAAAAGGTCTGAAATAGGTCATGTCGCAATCAAAGAAATTTTGACATCGCAGAGACGAGTACTTTTTGTTCACATATCGTAACGCATTCGGCTTGCTTGCAATGCAGACTACTTGCCGCGAAAAAATCAATGTTACTTTCCCTACCGTTGGATAAAGTTAACCCCAGGAGAAGCTGGTTGTAGCATTTGAGATGGGTGTATTCAGATGTCGTTTACCAAAAAACGAAGAGGTACTCTCTAAAATTTTGCCGCTATAAATGTAGCCTAAGATTGTATATAGCTATAAGCAGATAAATAATATTAGTCCTATCAACATAAGTTATGGCATTGGGGTGTGAAAGTGATTCAACTTCCCCTTCTCTCTCCCTACTCTTCCCTATAGGCTTTGCACACAAATCAACGTTTAACTTCGCTCGGCTATTGGCTGCTTCGGGAGTCTGGCCCGACCTACGTGATTGGATCGCTGCTATTATGCTGCGGCTTGACAACAATTGGCAGTGATGGCCAAAAATTGCAACAAAAAATAGGCAAATTTGGTGGATATTGGTCGCGATGAATATACCATGCGCATGTATACTTTTCATGACCGATCTCTCTCGGTTTATGTCATAGGATTCTGTATTCGAGAGGAATTTCAAAAAAGGATGACATCCGTTATATTTCAACCGATCACTGGCGCGCCTATTGATCGAACAGTTTTGACAAGCTCTCGGGTGGGGTCAGTTTGACCACGAAGGGTTTTTGTCACAATTACTTTCAAATGGTACGATAAAGCCACGTCAAACTTTGCTATCTGTAGGCAATCAAATAGCAAATGTTTTGGCACAAAAAATAGATTTACCTTGTAAGGTCAATGACCTGTGGCTTGCCAAGGCCAGACCCGCTCTCCATGCCCAAAATCCAGTCAGGGCTCAGCTCAGTAATGGGGCCTCTTTCACGTGACTTTGTTGTGAGATATGTGTACCTGCATGACCTCCAGTTTGAGTAATAAGTTCAAGCCAAAATTTTAAGCGGAAAACTGGGTTCTTGCTGCCCCTGTCCCTGCTGGCAGTGAGAGGGAGGGGCAGCTGTCCCCCTGTCCTTCCGCTTAGTCACCCTTGATTCCGTGGGACATACTTCAGCACCAAACAGCGCCTGCCATGTAGCAGTAAAACAGTAAAATAACAGTAAAATATGCTACGCGATCTGACGCAAAAACTCCGGCCTTCCGATTACAAAAACAACTTAAACCTTCAACAAGCACTGTCAAAGCCAATGACGTTCCATGCGCGTCCATACCACCCTGTCGGCTATACTGTGCCGCATTGCTTCGCGGCGTGGCGGGTCGGGCCGTAGCAGGCGACTTTGGTCAAGAGGCGCGGCTACCGCTCTGGAAGCCGTATCCCATTGCTATCGCTATCCTGACATTTGTCTGCTCTGACCGCGAACTGTGGAAAAGTGCACCACACTTAGCTGTATGATTGCTGATATTGCTAACTTATCATTGTTTGATGTACGTGATGGCAAGTTTTGCTATATTATGTCTATAGTTTCTCCTTTGCTTTTGTTTCCTATACTGCGTTTAGTATCTCCACAGCCATACGCACATTTTCACGCCATGGGAGCGTGCAACCTTCCACCGTTAACGTGTATCACCTGTCGCACAACGTATATTCTACAGTATAACCGCGACAGCATGAGTCGCAGACTGGGCTTCAGTCGCATGCCGTCCACTCACCGCCAGAAGACATAGCGCCCCCACGAAGAGGAGTCCTTGCGGTAGATGCATGGTCTGTCCAAGTTTGACGTCCTCCTGGAATTAATGCAACATAGGTTAGCGCGTTAAACCGGAAGAAGCTGGTCGGTGGTGGTTCGGGTGTGCGCACCCCATGACCACAGCCAATGAGGCACCCCTTAACTAAATTATCCTTATAGCCGTTTGAGTGTCATATGTTTCTCTCAGTCTCAGCAATGCTTTATCAAATTTGTTAGAGTTGTGCGGCAAATGGAAAAATTATTTATGTCTTTTAGTGAACTTTGTGGTTAGTTTAATGTCCGCATCGTAGACGAGACAGACACGGGAGGACGCAAGACACCCAAGGAGTTAGGTGTAAAACTCCACACATGTCTCCAAGACAGAATGATACGGGTTCTCTTGGTATCTTAGCGAGTTAGATGCGTAATATAATGGTCCCTGCATGCACCAAAGCCATACCACCAATGGCTCCGAAACCCTTGTTATTCTAGGCGCCACAACGGACTAAGTATTCATATCACGTCATTATGACAATGGGCCAGGACATAAACAGGTTTTAAATGTTTTTGGTGTTTATGTATGTTTTGGTGCCATTTTTGTCAAATATAAAACAGGTTCGATCTGTTCGAAAGTTACTGGGGTTCCGACCGGACCGACCCCAAGGGCGATAACTCCCGTCGTCATGGGTCATACCAATGGTCACCGAGTCAATTTGACACAATAATTTGTCATTTGTATACAGCTTTGCTCTAATCACTCGTGTGTAGAGACCGGTCGCCCAGAAGTCGCACAGTTTAAGATGCCGTAGCCGCCATCAGCGGGCCAGCGTCACTCAGGTGCTTCAAAATTCGAAAATTGAAAGTGTTGTTAACTCTGACACACCGAATACTCCGGGACTTGTGAGACGCTCGGTCCACAGGCAAAGAGTATACATTTGCGTTAAAGCCTTGTTTGACTTGAATAGCAATATTTGATCAGACCCATTTTCCTAATATGCTTATGGTGAAAGTGTCTGCCGCCCATATCCTGTAAATTGTTTTAAGCAAGCCGTCTTGTTCGAATAGCCTCCTAGGTTCGAGTCACGGAGTTTTGTGAAGCAAATACCAGATCTTTTGGTGTCATTCGACCCGATCAAACCTCACCATGGTGCGACATATTACGGATAAATTGAGTTTCAAGACATATTCCAACCAGAACATCCTACATAAGTTGCAAATTCTCCAACGCGATATGATAAATAAATGGGATGTGGCATGATTCAAGTTTAAAATTATGTGATCCCCGAGTAAAACAGGTTGTTGGGATAGGGCGATGCGATCATAGCTGCCTTGTGAATATTGTCGAGCCACTGGGAAAAAAGGCCAGTCATCTGTAATGACCATTTCCAAAGCGCATTGCATCCATCACCACACGCAAGAGTCTGACAACAGGGGCTCATGTCCAATATCAAAATTTTTGACTTGAAGTTTCTTAGGTGAATGGGACGTGTATTGACGCCACGCACTTGAACTCAGACACTTCAACAGACCATGCCACTAAAGCAATCACCGGCGTTTACCTTTCGTGACGTGCACCCCAGCGGTGCGCGGGGGAGCGGTCTGGCCGTCGCTAAGACCGCAGCAGGTCAGTCGGCCCGGCGCGCCTCGTGCCAACTGCGCCACGATCGCCGGCGGCCTGCCTCCGCGTCGGCTGACACCCTAGTGGCCGAGGCGGCCGCTGCTTCCGAGCCTCCCGCTGCGCGGAATCAGATAAGCGGTTGGCACACGCAGGGAACGTGCCTCGTTACATCCGGGGGCGAGGAGAATGAACCGTAGATTGCGTGTTACCTGACGAAGTGGACCGAATGCATCCGTCCTACGCCAGCTGACTTAACGTGTGACTCAGACTGGTACACCAGATGTAACAGCGCAGAGTGGTTCTGCACGTTTTAGTTTCCTCTGCTTACGGTAATATACCTGCGGAGTGCACTGATCCATGTGCTGTGTATTTTACGCGGACATTAATTTGTGCATGGCTGATTAGGGTATGGTTCTAGTGAGCCGCTCGCAAAGTTGGCGCAGTACGTGTGCTTGAATTTAGTTTCATATAAATCATATGTCATGTGAACTATACCAGTTTCGTTCACCTGCCAAACGTCCCGAAAGGCAGAGGACGGGCTTAGCCCTGATTTTTCCTTCACGTACCTCGAGGGAACAGTGGATTGGGGTAATGACCAGACCCCACCCAGCGTGATCAGATACTTTTATCTTTACGGCCGTAAAGTTGAGTTTGCTCATCTCAGTCGGAGGTAGCTCGCCTGCTAGCCAAGCTTTTCTCCACTCGCCGAAAACCCTAGTCAGACACAATGACCACACCATATATACTCGAACCGGAAACACTGGTGTGAATCGTAAGTGGTGTTTAAGAACAACACTTCCTTGATTTGCTCGTCATGAGCACAAATATGGAACATTTTTGGAAAGCACGTTAAGTTACGAAACATATCTGGACGTTGGAGAATTTGGGGTTTTATAGCAATGCTAGATTTGTCATCACGGATATCCAAGTTCAAGGTCTTGGTTCAAATTACAGCAGACGTACGTCTTCAAAAACGTCAGGCACCACGCAATATCCCTAGCTCAAAACGTCATGTAAAATATGGAACACTCACTTTAAGACCGCTGCGCCGGCCACTCACGCACTAAGACCTACGTCATAGCCATGGGAACTTTTCGCATGGCCAGCGAATTATGCTTTAGCGCAAATGAGCCTTTTGAAACGGAACTGTCTGTGATGGTCATGACTCGTTGTTTTTTTTTCAGTGCATCTCAAGAACGCTCGGTGGTATTGCTTTTTACTGGCCGAGCATATTCAATGTCTTCCGTGTCTCCCCGTCTGGAGTAATAATTTCGCGCCATAACAAAATATCTTCTTTATCCATTACCACACCGGATGACTTTGAAGAACAGTTATGATTAATTTTGCTACTATGACTCTATTTACACACAATACCATGATATGTTTGAGCAATAATTTTTTCAACAGTTTTAGTGTAATTCAGTTTTAATCTAAATTTAGGTATGGCCTGAGCCGGTGTCGACCGGGGGACAGAAGTCAATTCCCGTTAATGTTTCTGGGCTTAGCCAAAAACGTAGCGGAGCGACACACAATTTTCAGAACCTTTCATGTATTCATTTTGTGCGCGGAGGAAACTTTCCAATTTTCAAGCAGGCCACTGCACTGGCCGATGTCAGTCCGAGAGAAAATTGTTGAATATAACAAACTGTACAACAGATAGGTTGTTAATTACGTAAGTACGAGCAAAAAGTAATTGTTTTTTGCGATCTAATTTCGTGACCTAGCCTTTGTCAATGGTATGACCTACAATGAAGTTTAACATTGCGGACAATAAGTGAAAAATATTCAATGAAATGCAGGGATGTAGCCAAATATGGGGCAAGGTATGGTCCCTAGGCCAATATGTTTACACTACGCTCTGGGCGATTTCGCACGAATTGGGCTCAAATTTGCTGGATTTTGGGTAAATTTGACATTTTGCTCCGTAAGGAAAATACTGGTTAAATGTCTCAAGAGATGACATGGGAAGTTTCACGGGCATTGGGTCGTTTTATTTTAATGGTGCGCTGGAAACTATTTAAGGGGGTCACAAATGTCCCCACTCGCACCAGTCAGGCCCGGGCTAAAAACCCGTACCTACTGCACATGAAAGCATTCAATTCAACATGTGCCTTGTTTCAAGTCTATACCGCTTTAACATATCGCTGATGTCATACGTAAAAATCCCCTTTCATCATTTTTCCCTCTTTTCAAGTTCATAGTATTATTATTCCTGGTGGTGCGGTGGCTGCGCATACAAACATTACCGAGGCGCCCAGGGGAAGCGCCACCAGACGGGCAAGTGGGTAACCGGCCATTTGCCATTTTCCAAAGGGGCAATAAGCACCCTCCCTGTCCGTTCTCCGCAATGTGGGGCACAGCCACAGGTGTAGTTTTCCATTCCGTTGGGGAGCGGAATTAAGCTCCCCCAAAGCAAGATCTAGCCCTAGCTTTGGGAGTAATGTGGGCGCCAAATCTGTGAGATACCTGTTTATCGGCATATTAAAGGCGTTGGGTGATTTTTCACCGTTCAACCCGCCCACACATTTTGCGATACTAAACCCTTGGGCACAACGCGCGGTAATCCACCACTGAATTCGTTCAACTTCTGCGTCTCCCTAGGACCCTGTCAGCGAGTCCAGCCACGGCTGAACGCAGGCTCGGCGCACGGCACCGGCTGAAGGCCTGCTTAACTTTATAGTGACACGGAGAAGGATCACGCGGCACTGGTAAGGTCGCAGGGTCCTCCTCCGCGTCACTAGTAAGGCACGAAAATTGTTTCCGCCCGGGTATAGGGAATCCAGCTCATGCTGCAGTCGCTTTTGTGAGTACGAGTGGTACGTACTCACAGAACATTTACGTCACAGTACGTCAAAGAATATTTTGCTGCGCTATGGACTGTACCATAAATGGTAATGATGCAGATCTGGAAGGAGCACATAAATGTTGTGATCCTCAATCACTGTGCCATTGGGATACTTTTATGTGGATGTAACACAGGGGGAAGCAATTTCCTGTTAATTTTTCCCTATGAAAGAAAAAAAAACTCTTGGAATTAGGCAGCCACTTCACAGCGTAGCTCTGGAGAAGAATGCATAAATGGCATCTTGCAAAGCCTTTATCACCATCCATAACACATTTACACATTGCTATCGTCCACTGGCCTGGTACTCACTGCACTGAGAAGAAGCCACGGTGCTGTTATATTTCCACCAGCTTGGAGCAAGCGGTGTCCCCCCAAGTTTTGGGGAAAGATGCCGATAGCCGTATATATTCTTGCTTTAAAGTACACGCCCACAGGGCAAATGCTAACGTTTCAGAAAGTTGTGGGTAGCGTTGCCTGTCCCGCTCCCCAGTTCCCGCGCCCCAATGCCTTACGGTGGTGCAGCGCAAAGCACATACAATATTTGCATTGCAACACTTATGTAGGAGGACGCTATTTAATTAAACGTATGATTTATCACCCTTTTTTGTTATTTAAGTGGCGTTGCGGTAGTTTCGCAACCTTGTCCCCATATCAAAAATTGTTGGCGCCGCCACTACTTTCATATTGTATCCGCGTTGTTCCTACTCAGTTATAGCCTTATTGTCGTGTCCGTATCATATAGTCCAAGGTACAGAATGTCCAAAGGTACAGAATGCCTAAAGTACATAATTTCCAAGGTATAGAATGTCTAAAGTTCATAATGTCCAAGGTTCACAATATCCAAGGTGAGAAATAAGTTCCAAAATGGCGTGGAGTAGGAGGGGTCCATTTCATAATGCCCAATGTACAGAACGTCCAAGGTACAGAATGTCGAATTATATACCCCAGTCGTTCCCAGATTTCTCTTGACGAAATATCTCAAGACAAACCTGGCAGTTTTAGCTAACTGTGATTCGCCATTCACGCTGCCAGAATGCTGCCAACTCGGATAGTGATAGCTCGTACTAAACGTGAGTGCATCTCGCATGCATTAATGGTGCATTTTATTTTAACGTTTTTTATCTCCGAGTGATAAAAATGTCACATAGGGGACATTTATGGGGAGGCTAAAGCAAATGATGCCATGGATCGCTGTGGACTGAAAAAATGCTAAACGTGGTTGCATTCACAAATGCGGAGGGCGTCATGTGATGTTCCATGTTAAATGTGTAGCATCCCCAATTTAGGAGCCAGTTCCCCCACATCACTATTGTGCCTTGTGCGCTACCGTATAGCTTGGTGCGATTCCGTTGGACCCCGGTGGGACAGTTCAAATACAGACGCCAACTGTGGAGCGTCGTGTGTGTGATCCGGAACTGGGAGGGCGCAAACGAACAGATAACAAGACATGGTGTCAGCAGTGGGATAGTCTTCACGCCTCACTGTTGCTCTGAAGGCTTGTTTCAAGGAAATATTGTCATTGTAGACCAATTATTTCCCTCTGACAGGTGCCGGGTAGTCCGCGCCAGTTTCGCCTTGAACCAACTGCGATGTCTTCCTTCAGGAAGCCCCCTGAGTTAAATCTGGCTGGTCCGGCCCTTGCTAGTGCTTGGCGCACGTGGAAGCAGGACCGGCAATTCTTCTACGATGCCAATGAGCTCGATAGAACGCCAGAAAAATTGAAAATTGGAATTGTCTTTAACTGCGCTGGCCTCTCCGCCCAAGAGCGGTATTCCCATTTTGATTGGGAGGAGGAAGAAGATGCCTATGATCTGGAGAAGATCATTGATCAGTGTGACAAGTTTTGTATCCCAAGAGAGAACCCAATTGTGGAAAGGTACAACTTTCATAAGAGGGCCCACCAACCAGCGAGACTGGCCTGCAGTATGTCTCAGCCCTCTGCACCCCGGCTGACACATGCAAGTTTGCCCCAAACCTGGATGAAATGATCAGGGACGGACTGTGTATGGGTCTCAGTGAGACATTAACTATGATGCAGCTCCCGAAGCACCCTGATCTAACCCTGCAAAAAGCAATTGAGATTGCAACATTGGAAGAGTCAGCCCAAAAGGACCAACAGCTGTTGCGTGAAAGGGAACCTGAGGTGTGCGCTGTGTGCGCCATCAGTGGAGCCAGACCCAGGTGTCCCACCAACCAGGCACGGGCAAACAGGCCATGGGGCAAAGCAACTGAGCCAAACTGCAAGAACAAAAAGCCATGTGGTCACTGTGGCTTTACCACCCACACTGGAGGTCGGTGCTCAGCGAATGGGAAAGCATGCAAGAAGTGTCCACGGCTATGCCACTTCTCAGTAGTGTGCCGTAGCCGCATAGTACAAGAAGTAGTGACTGGAGACAATGAATCTGAAACCCAAGTGAGTGAACAAACACCAACATATTCCTTGGGAGCAGTGAAATCCCAGACAAATGATGAAAAGTCCTGGCTCATTCCTCCGACCATCAACAAAAGCTCCATAACTTTCAAAATTAACATTGGGGATGAGGTGTCAGTGATAACTGAAGATGTGCGGGGCTCAATGAAGAACCCGCCAACCCTGACCAAGCGGCAAACTCGCCTGACCAGCCCTGGAGGAGAACTGCAGTGTGTGGGTGAGTTCAGGGCCACCACCCTGCACAAGGGCCAGACCTACTCATTTAAAGTGGTGGTCGTGAAGGGCTAAATGGCCAACAACCTCCTGGCCGGAGATGCTGCTGTCAGGATGGACCTGGTGGCCAGACTGAGTGAAGTCACAACTGCCATAGGTGTAGGCCTGATGAAAACCACACCATGCTCCACAACCGGGGTCAGCCCTGCTGAGGCGCGGATGTCCTGAAAACTTCGGACGTGACTGCATGTGCTGTAAACACAGCTCCAGCCACGAGTGGTCAGCCACGCTAAGGTCAAGCAACGCGACTACCGTTCAAAGGAGCTACAGAAGTATGCTTACGACCGGCGTCACGGAGCGCGTGATCTGCCACCTCTTTGAGATGGCGACCAAGTCCTGCTGAAGACAGACCAAGAGAAGAGATAGTCACGTTCGGGTACCGTCACTGCCTCGGACCCAGGTTCCAGAACCTACTGGGTGACAACGCCAGCGGGAACGTTCCAGAGGAACAGGAAACACATCGCTCACGATGCACCGACGCAGCTAGCATTAATTCCAGACATCCTGGAAAACGGCGCCACGCCGCTGGGTCCTTCGATATCTCCCAACCGCGACGACATCACCGTGACGTCACTCGGACCAGATTTGTCGCCCGGTCCCAACGCCGCTCTGGCAGATCGTGGCGACCGTCCGGCTTTCCCCGACGTTCACAGTGCACCCGTCATTAACCGGCGCGCCTCGCTGACTACCTTTGTCAATGGGGGGGGGGGGGGGGAAGGAGATGTGATGTGATGTCTCATGTTAAATGTATGGCGTCCTCAATTTAGGAGCCAGTTCCCCACATCGCTATTGTACCTTGTACGCCACCGTGTACCTTGGCGCGATTCCGTTGGACTCCGACGGGACAGTTCAAATACAGACGCCAACTGTGGAGCGTCGTGTGTGTGATCCGGAGCTGGGAAGGCGCGAACGAACAGATAACGAGACAGAGGGGAGGCAGTTTTATTTCCTTGCAGTCAGCCCCCCCCCCCATGGAAATTATGCGCACCGAAGACGCACTCAGGGGGTGTGGGAGCTCAATCTGAACCCCTCCACGATTTTTTTTAGTGATTTCCGAACGGCGCAGTGAAGCCGCGCGAAGTTTTGCATAGCTGTAGACAACTGAAGAACAGATAGTGTGGTATAAGAAATTAAGATGCCTCTTGCAAAGTCGCTGACCTACGGCAGGCCAAATCCAGGCCATGGATTTAGCGAACACAATTTAGGAGGAATCGTTCAAACTGATACAATAGCAAGGTGTTAGACGAAGCCATACATTTCTAAGATGGTTTCTTAGCAACATAGCAACTGAATTAACAAATTCCATTGATCTAGAGTCAAGTATCAAGGTCAGACCAAGATCAAAACGAACCTGTTTTATCACTATAAAACTTGCCGTATTAGTCAGTTATTGATGCTCATTTTTTGATTTGTAGATAACAGGAACCGCATCATGCATACCTCACAAACTTTTTAAAGGTCAGAATAGGTCACTGACATACAACTGCCCGGGTCGACATCTTGCTTTTTGAAAACATACTGCCTGGCGTTACCCTTCACGCCCATTCAAATGCAAAGTCAAAGCAATTTTGGTCACCACAACCTTAGAAAGTTCAAACAAGGTCACTGACCTGAAATGACCTTGTGACCTTTTGCCTAGAAGAGGTATCAGGGTTCCAGGAGCACTTTGGACACTACCCCGGAGTTTGACCTTGTTTGGCCTTATTTGACCCGAAGGTCATGACCTAGGAACTTAAAAACCCGATACAAGTGAGTTCACGTGCAGGCCAATATATCATGTGAATTTAGCGTTTCTAACTCTTTTAGATTCTGGGATCTCAGGGAGATCAAGCTAACCCCACCCGAGCGACGAAAGAGCATTCAACCGACCATCCGGGCGCATGTTACGAAAGTTTAGAGGCTCGACTTCAGTCCACCATCTCCACCACCAACGCCTCCCGCAAGACACTCTACCATTTGCTCAGAGGATCCGCATTCCATAGTCACCTCTCAGCTCCAAGGCAGTACAGGGTAGCCAGTAGCCATCTAGTTCTTGCGGCCTACAAATATCACATTCAACGAGTTAGATAGAGATCGGCATCTAGCGCTGGAAAAGGGGAAGGAGACGAAAGGCATAAGCTGGATTTTCCATCTCGATCATTTCCATTACTCATTTCCATACTCGAGCATTATGATTTTGTTCTGCGGAAGACCTGTGAGCCGATGAACGACTTGTCACGTCTTGCTCGTGTGCGCGCGTGCTCGCAGTCATTCAATATTTGACCTTATCAAAACCTAGTCTCCCTACAGAATATTGTGCGCCTTTGTCGCTGCATGTCGTTCTATCGTTCAGGGGCATGATTTGCAGTGCCACAGTCTCAGCGAGGTTGTGAGTTACAGTCGCTCGTTGACCATCTGCTGCATTTAAGCCGTACTCCGCAGTTTTTGACATTTTGACCGGCCAATCAGCAGGCAAACGGGCCCGGCCATGGAAGTTAGCAGAGCGGCGGTGCAGCGTTGTCGTTGGATGGACGTCGATGCGTGTGACGCTTCTTCCCCGGGCTCGCGCACGGCCGTGCAGCATAGGATGCCGACCGGCGCTGCTAGAATGGTGCCAGCGCCGCATGACGGCGTCTGCAGTCCTCCCCAGTTTGGATCCATTAGCACCCATAAGCCGCTGAGCCAACTCAGTCCACGCACGCTGCACCCCGGCGCATTCCTCCGCCCGCTCAAGTGACGCTGTTCCTGACAGTCAGGGCGACGCAGGGTCGGCTGCCCCTGCCAGACCACTTGGAGCGGTGCTGGACGCTCCTGACAGGGCAAGAGACGCAAACCACACCATCCGCCAGTGCCGGAACCTGCGCGGACACATTTAGCCACTTTCAATCAGCTAGAATGGCATTTGAGAAACATTGTGTGACCAACACTGCAAACGCATAAGTTTTTGATGACTCCGATTGATCGAATTTATCCATCATATATATATATATATATATATATATATATATATATATATATATATATATATATATATAGTCAGTGATAGCCTCGGTAAGAGTGCTAAAAGGAGAGGTGAGTGCGTGGGGAGGGGGGGGGGCAGCGAAGGCGAGACTGCGAGCGGGCAGGTATATATACATATATATATAGCCATGAGAGCCAGTAAAAAATGTGAAACCTACCAAGTTCAGGGTGGTCAAAATCCCACCACAATCAAATGTTTATGGTTTGGAGATGCGAAACTGGCATACACGCCAGTGCGATAGAAAACGGGACCGTAAGTTTGCCTTGTGATTTATCTGAAACGGGCAAAACATACTGATTCACGAATACACAACAACATAGGCGGATCCTGGGGGGGGGGGGGCACGGGCCCATGGCCCCCAAAAAACTCTGAGAGTGTGTTTTGACCCCCCCAAACATTCCCAGAACTTCATAAAAGTTTCGTCTGCTTACCGTCTGTTTTAACTTTGATGGTGCGGTACCAAACATTTCTTTCCGTTCCGGAAAAACAAATTCGTGAAGAAAAGTTGGCAGCGGTTTGAATATGAAAACAAAACGCATGTTGACACGGCTTAGTCATACTCGGCGCGTTTGCATCGTGTTTGATAAGTGCACTGGACCTTGGATCCCACACCAGCCAGCTGGCGACGAACGGATGCCCCCCCCCCCCCCTCCCAAAACTCCAGGCTAGATCCGGCCTGAACAGCAAGAAATGTCGGAGACCTGCAGCATGACGATCATTGGTCTATCCTACGTCAGCAGCATCGTCGACAATGGCAAAGTGAGAGGAATAACTATTGGCAACAGAATAATACGAAGCACACCAAAGGTGCACACAGCAGCTTTCACACATCTAACACAACACAAAGACCCTGTCATTGAGTTCAGTGTTTGTCAAGGGGAATGATAATCTGAAAATGGAGGCATCAAAATAATAGTCAGTGATAGCCTCGGTAAGATTGCTAAAAGGAGGGGTGAGTGCGTGAGGGCAGGGGCAGATCTAGCCTGGAGTTGTTTTTTTTTGGGGGGGGGGCAACCGTTCGTCGCCAGCAGGCTGGTGTGGGATCCGAGGTCCAGTGCATGGTGCCTCTCGCGAGTACCTAGTAGGCACACCATTCAAGCACCGAAATGCTTTTGAATCTTAAACAGAAGTTAAAACAAAACAGTTAAAACAGTGAAGCTAAAACAGATGGTAAGTAGACGAAACTTTTATGAAGTTCTGCGAATGTTTTGGGGGAGTCAAAACATGCCCTCAGTTTTTTTGGGGGGCGTGGCCCCGTGCCCCCCCCCCCCCCTCAGGATCCGTCTATGCGTGTGGGGGGGGGAGGGAGGCAGCGAAGGCGAGACAGCGAGCGGGCAGGTAGAAAAGGTTCCTTGCGCCTCTAAAAGGTCTTGTGGACTCTCGGTTTTGCCATGGGAAGCTATAGCGCAAGTGCAACAACTCGACACATTTCCAGTCCACTGAAAAAGATGGCTGCAAAGGTTCGAAAATTGCTCTACGAGCAGAAGAAGCTGCAACAGGAGCTGCAGAGGCGCGGCAAGCGACCCAAATGCCTCAAAAGTACTATGGATGCCCTCAAAGAAAGCCGGATCGTCGATGCCGAGCTTCTCGGGGTGACCCGATCTCGATTTGAAAACCCAATGGTGTCAGCGCTTTTCACCAACGAAGTTGTCAATGGTGGCAGGAAGAAGTGAAGTGGCCAGAGGTATTCAGAAGAAATCAAGAAGCTCTGTCTCACCTTCCACTACAATTCCCCGAAAGCATATAGGTTCCTCTCAAAGAACTTCTCTCTGCCGGGTGCAACATCGCTATGAGAGTGGACGAGAAGCGTCAGCTGTGAGGTGGGCGCCCTCCACGAGGTGCTACAGACGCTGTGCTGTGAAGTGACAGCCAAGAAAATCGACCCCAACTGCTGCTTGATGGTTGGTGAGAGGGTGATCCGGAAGGCGAAGGTGTACTGGCAACCCAAAGACAAGTTCGTTGGTCATGTTGATCTGGGTGCAGGGGACGTGGAGGACACGAGACTGGCAACAAATGCCCTAGTGTTCATGGGCGTTGGTCTCAAAGGTGTGTGGCGCCATCCTGTCGCCTACTTTCTCATAGACCACATTTCAAGTGAGACTCAGACAGAACTAGCCAAGACTGTCCTGTGTGCTTTGAGCGATGCAGGACTGAAGGTGCGAGCGTTCGTTGCCGATGGACTCCAAGCCAACCTGTCCATGTTCGGCCACTTGGCCGTTCAGAACCTGCAGCCAAAACAACTTCAGCTTCCCATTGTTCCTAACTACTTCCTGCATCCTGCAACCAACCAGAAGGTGTATGTTCTGCTGGATGTGGTGCACATGCTGAAACTGCTGCGAAACCTCCTTGTTGAATGCAAGAGCCTTCAACTGGATGGTGAAGAGGTGTTCTGGAAGTATATTTAGGTAAGAGTATGCCAAATTTAGTAGTAATAGTAATAATAAATGATTTAGTAGTAATTCAGTCCCAGTAACACCAAGTATAATGCTAAAAGACTACTTTTTACTTAAGTATCACTCTGTTTTTCTGCATACATCTATCCGATCATCTGTGTAGTTGGCGTGTAGGTGCATGGGTAGAGACTTGAGAGACTTAACTTAATCTGAGAGCACGGCGATACTCTTACACTAATGACTAAACCTGTTCAGCTCGTTTTCAGTATTCTGCAGCCAAGGTAAAATAACAATTGTGGATACCTTCACAGGCGCTGTACGACCTGCAGCACAGCGAGGGCATCCGGGCGGCCAACAAGCTCTCTCGCCTGCACGTCCAGTACGAAAAGAACAAAATGAAAGTTAAGCCTGCTGCCCAGCTGTTCAGCAGCTCGGTGGGCAAAGCTCTGCTGTACCTAGAAGAGTCGGGCCACCATGAGTTCATCGGAGCGGGGGCAACGGCGCGCTTCATCCTGCTGGTTGATCAGGCATCCGACTACCTCAACAACAGCAACCCCTACGGGAAGGGCTTCAAGACTCCTGTAACTGCCAACAACTTGATGTGAGTTAAATAAAGTAGCATTAAGAACAGCCTGATAAATCGAAAGGGTGTGTGTTTTCTTTCCCCTAAGGAAATATATTACGATTGCCAAATGCCAGCTATCACTTACACAGCATCAACAATGATGCTAGTGAAATGTTCCTTGAGAATGGCGTTGGCATATGGCGTGATGTGCTTTTGTGTGTGATCGCCCGTTATCTCCATAGGCAGATCAAGCGATAGGAGCAAAATGTCCCTAAGTGAAATGTGGGGCAAAAATATGTCTTATCTCCCTGCCGCTGGCCACTTATGTCTTATGCTCCCCACCCCCACCCCATCACCCCTTCCAACCACCAGGCGAAATTGGCCATTCAGGTATGTATGGGCAATCCCCACCCCGGTCGTCGATCAAGAACGCGTGAACTGCCCGCTCCCCCACAAACAAAATGTAACGACTGGGCGACATCTGGTTATCACCAATTCATTTTGAACATCATGTTGTAAGGGCGGTTTGTGGCCCAGTAATTGCCTCAGTAAAGGCTATAGATGTTGCTGTTATTCCTTTTTGAGTGTGCTGACTGATAATCATTTCCGCAAGGCTCCGATGTGAGTTTCTGGCCGACTTCAGTTCCGTGCTGTTCCGGCTGCAGACAGCATCAGGCGAACCGGTACTGTAGACGCGACGCTTCACCCCGGTCCTGGGTCTCTGTCTCGCGACGCAGACCGCCATGGACATCAGTGAGGCCCTGCTGGAGGAGGGGTTCGTCTATGTACTGCCATACAAGGTGTCCCAAGACCATCTAGAGCTGCTGTTTGGCCGGATCCGACGTATGGGCGGCTTCAACAACAACCCAAACGTGGCCCAACTGCAACATGCCATGCGCAGACTCATACTGCACAGCTTCATATCGCCATCTGTCACCGGGAGCTGCACGTCACGGGATGAAGGTGACGACGGCCTGCTCCAGATCCGTCGTCCAAAACGGCAGCGGCCGACGCTCAGCGAGAGTGACCCGATGCCGGCGGTCGTGCAGCATCTCCTCACGACGGAGGACACCGGCTCGGGGTTCGTTGACAACTGTGTTGGCTACATCTCCGGCTATGTGTGCCGCAAGCTGATGGAAACGAGCGCGATCGGGTGTGGTGAGTGCATTAGTGCACTTCTGTGCAACGAGGACAACCCTCCGTCGCATGAAGTGATGGGTCTCGTAAAAGTGCGGGGCAACGGCGGGCTGCTCATCCCGTCGGCGTCGACGTACGCGATCGTCACGACAGCTGAGCGGTATTTGACCGCTTTGCATAAGTGTCGTAAGATGGACCGAGCGAAATTGTCACTGAGTATCAAGTGCAGTGTCCTGGCGCAGTTAATGACTGAACGCAGCCACGAACTGTTCCCTGGTGTGCAAGACCATATGTTCGAGCCGCGAGCGGATGAGTGCCATGCTGTGGTAATGGTAAAGCAGATCGTGGCCAGGTATCTGCGTGTCCGTCTCCATGCCTATGGACAGAATGCTACAGTGAGTGGAATGCTCCGCACCCATGTGAGGCACAACCTGTACAAGCAGGTGCTCTTCGCACACCAGTAGTGAAATACATCAGTAAACACCTGCGCTGGTGACCGCAAGTAGATTTAATAGTTACATTAGTTTTGGGGCTGTAAGGTGCGTGGACATGCAAGTCCTGTGCATTAGTATTGTTAGTAGTACGGTGTATATACTCTGAACAACATAATATACTATGCGTAGCTGTAATATGTGTCGACGTGTAAGTCCTGTGCATTAACGTTGTCAATAGTACGGTGTACATATTCTGAACAACACGATACACTATGCGCATATCTTGGTGCCTACACAGCTCGCAGGAGTACCGAGCCGACGGTGCTGGACGTAGCTTATATTCTTGTAACGTACCAAATCGAGACATGAGCTCTGGTCTTATCTGAGTAGATGGGGACAGACCTATTCTCTCACGCAGGTGAACAGCATGCATGCAGTGCACACAAAGGAATAACCATACCCTGAACTTAAGCAACCCACCGGGGCAGTTGCTTCGCCCATAAACAAAGACGTAAGAATTACCTCCGTCTCCCAACAGGCTGATGCAAATGATGAAACTGGCGTCTGCCGAAGTGCCGCCTGCGAAAAGATTCGCGCTTTCCAACGACTTTGGGTCATCGGTCCGACCTGGGAGAACCCAGCTGTCGAATACATTTAAAACTGGGTACAGCTGGCTAACATTCATGGCAATTATCTTTCTCGGCTTTGCTTCTGACTATCTCAAGTCGTAGCCACAAGCCAGGAGAGGGCGATACGACTGGCCCGGCCCCTCTGCCCGCTGGAACGTTGCAGAGGACCACATCCAGATGAGGGCTAAAACAACTGTTTCCAACGTTATCATGTGGTGTATGGCAGTTGTTCAGGGCGCCTAAGCGCCAGGCAAGTGGGAGTTGCGCGAGAGAGTTGGCCTTGGGTGGTGGCGCGTGGCGGGGGCGCGGCGTGTTCGGACGCCTCGGACGTTATATTATTGTTATTGTTGTTATTACCGAAGTATAGGGCAAATACTCACGGTAACACCTGACTTAATGTTTGGTCGGGCTGTGAGAGCGGACGATGCTACATATCGTTATTGCATCTTTTCTGTCTTAGAAGGACCATCTGTTTTCTTCTGAGACCAGATATCACCCTGCCTTCCCCTCCCCCCACTTTTGCTACGACGCAAAATTGCTAAATCAGTATGCCTAGATTAAGCCGTCAAGCCGCTACCCATGCCCTTGGAGCAACCTTTGCTGTGCCGTATTGGGTAAAATTGATGTCTTGAACAGCCCCAGAATTTTCAAGGCCTTCGCTCCCATCATTTCCCAATCACGCGCCTCCGAAGGTCGGCCATCCGCCATAGGATTACCATTGCGAAGCTGACTCTTGCCCCTCTCCGCGTCGTGGCGCTAGCGTCGCAAGACGGGAACAACCGGCTGGTCGCCGCGCCAATGGGAGCAGGCTGTCTAGACTTGTATAGGTCAATGGTGCACACATTTCCGCGGCGTCGCCATACATGCGTAAGGCTCGATAAAACAAGGCAATGCTGTATGGAGATCACACGACGGTGGGAGCAGTGACGTCACCATCCAGCTTCATAACGCACTACGTCACTTGGACTGGTCAGTGCGGCGACATTTGACCAGTTAGGGTCAAGAGCGCAATACCGAAATTTTGAACGTCACGATATGTCGGTGTTTTGCGTGCTTTCACAACCCCGCATCGGGCATCACTGCCCGTTGCTCCTCACCTCGTGCAAAGCTGTCCAATGAGCTCTGAGCAGGCCGGCCGTAAACCCAGCACGTAGGCGCCTCGGGGCAGGCGAATCGGCTGGATAGGTCAGAAAACAGGGTTTGGGGTCATATGACAACATACAAGCTAACAACCAATGGTAGTGGAGGCCACCAGGAACCAGAATGCTGGTAGAATGCATTTGTTTTTACATCCTGCACACCGAACTGGATTAACTTTGGAGTGCTTAGACTGGGGACCATGCAACCGGGTAAAACGCAAAGCACTATATTCGCCGTTGGCACACTATTGATCCCCTTCCAGTATGATACCTTCAGCTGGAAGGTATCAGCTATTATGACTTTGGCAGTGCGTATCCGCCCTCCAAAACGGAGGGCGGTTACGCAGCGGGCTTATACACCCTCCAAAACAGAGGGCACTGGTCTTATACACCCTCCAAAAATCTTTCAGATGGTTGTTCGTGTCAAGCACACGCGGATGGCGGCCTTGGAGGGAAGCAAGCGCAAAAATGCAGAATCCCGTGCGAAAAGTCGGCTCTGTGCGTGATAGACATCAAACGATCACGAAATCCATCAACTCACTCTGAACCAGTCCTATTCTGATCACGAATTATCGGCCGCCGGGTCCGCATCTCCAGTGGATCGATGGTTAGCGTGCTGGTCTCACACGTGGTAAGCCCGGGTTCAAATCTCGACGACGGCCGCTGTTAAATGGGTGGCTTCATGGTATATCGACGTGGCGTGATGATGTGAACTCGCTTCACTTCTAAGCGGATTGAATTATAACTTGGGACTTTCATATCGGACAGCACCGTAGTTTCTAATGCCAAGGGAGGGAGTCCGCGCCCTACAAAGATATTGAGGATCCCGCGAGGGTTGACCTTAAATCTAAATGAGTGTGACACACTCAATAGTAAGTGGAAATGGCGCATACGACGGCGCCGGCACGTAGAATTATGTTCGGCAATGGCGCCTAAAAATCCATCGGCGCGTATTCGACTGCTGCTCAAAGGCGAAAGCACCAAAGCCAATAGGGACGGAACCTGAGCGGTCATGGCTGCCGCAGGAGACCAACGAAGTGACTCCCGTCAACAAGTAAAGGGTTCTCAGAGCAAGCAAAAAGAACTCAAGGCCAACGTGGTGGGCCCCTAAACGATCGGTAGTGCCTTGACAGGCCGACATATGACCGGTCATAGCACAGGACCCTCCGAGCAAAGGGGAATTATTCAACACTATAACTTAATTCCCCTGTGCAATCAAGAGGGTACGGGCAGATTAACAACACGAGTCTCGATGGGAATGAAAAATCAGCCGCAAATGAGACCAAAGGGAGACGCCCTCGATCAAAGTAGAGGGCCCCTGAGTATCGAGTGTCTCCGTGCCTTACCTTATTAAAGCCCTAGGAACAGCACAAGGCCCTTCAAGCAAGTAGAAAGAACCTGAAATTTATATGAGCAGCTGAGTGTACTCTGGCATATGCGGCCCCGGAAAAAGTGTATATGGCATTTCGGACGAATGGGAAGAATCCGCGGAGGAAAACCCGACTGATCAACAGTGCTCAGGCATGGAGGCAGATAGCATTCCAACAGCACATTGGGCCCTACGAAAAAAAGTGGGAAGGTATCACGGGTAACGTGGAAAGCTCCTAAGCGATCAGATTGACGCCGGAAGTGGACTTATAGGGACAGGCAGCCAGCAGCGTAATGACTCTAGACAGCGTAAGGAGCCACAAAATTTTCCCCAAGCAACATTTTCTAAGTCAGCGAAGAATGATCTTCGTTTACTTATGAACTCTTTACTTTTGCTAGCAATGGTTCTTGGTCATCTGTAGGCCCAAAGTCATCCAATTTTGTTGTGCTTTTGTTGTAAGAAAACTCCGTCCGTCCGGCCGGTTATGCGCCCCTTCGGAACCTTAAGGTTCCCTCGGCATGGTCCTGTGACTTCCCCCCCCCCCCACACCCTCTGCATGCGCCACCAGCCCGAGCAGGTTAATGAATGGGGCCCACTAACAACATAGGGTCATCCATTCAAATGAGAAATACTCACGACGCAATGCGTAGGGCTCTGAACGATCGAGCGCGCCAGAACAGGTTAACATATATGGCCCCCGTCAAGAGTTTGGGGCCCTCCGTTCAAATAGGAAGTATTCAAGTCCCAATGTACAGGGCCCCCGGATGATCGAGTGTGCCCGAGCAGGTTAACAGACAAGGCTCCCAAAAAGAGCGTAGGATCCTCCATTCAAATAGGAAGTATTCAAGACCGAATGCAGAGGACCCTCGAATGATCCAGTGTTTCAGAGCAAGTAGACATACAGGCCCGGTGAAAAGTGTAGAGTCCTCGATTTAAATAAAAAATACCCAAGACCCAAGGTAGAGGGCCCCCGAATGATCGAGTGCGCCCGAGCAGGTAAACAAATATGGCTCCCAAATAGAGCGTAAGGCCCTCCATTCGAATGGGAAACACTGAAGATCCTAAATAAATGGCCCCATAATGATGGAATGCGCCCGAGTAGCGTGTCAGGAGCCCGACGAGAGCGCAGGGCTCGTCATCCAAATAAGAAGTACCCAAAACTCGGTGCGGAGGGCCCACGAAAGATAGAGTATACCCGAGCAGATTATCAGGTGACCCAGAGAGGAGAGTAGGGCCCTAAATTCAAACACCAAGACCCAATATATAGGGCCCCCGAACAATCCAGTGTAGCAGAAGCGGCTAACAGATGGGGTCCCGGCCAAGTGCGTAGGTCCCTCAATTCAGATAGGAAGTACCCAGGATACAACGTGGAGGGCCCCCGGATATTCGAGCGTGCCTGAGCAGGTCCATAGATGGGGCTCTGGCAAGAGTGTAGGGCCTTCCGTTAAGATATGAATTACCCACGGCACGATGTAGAGGGCCCCGAATAACCTAGTGCGCCAGAGCAGGTTAAAGGATAGGGCCCCCGAAAAGAGCGGAGGGCACCCCATTAGAATAGGAAGCACCCAAAACCAGACGTAGAGGTGCCCCACGATCGAATGAGCCCGAGCACCTCATCAGATGGGGGCCCTGACAGGAGCTTTAGATTAAGAGGTATGTAATTTTTAATACCTATTTTTTACCTCATTATGAGGTACCTAAAACCCCGTGCGGAGGGCCCTGAAAGATTGAGTGTACCCGAACAGGTTATCAGGTGACCCCGATGCTGGCAGAGGGCCCCGAAATTAAACACCGAGAACCAATGTGCAGGGCCCATCAGCAATCCAGTGTGGCCGAGGAGCGAACAGAGGGGGCCCCGACAAGTGCGTAGGGCCCATTCAAATAGCACGTGTCCAAGGGCCAATATAGAGGGCCCCCGAACGATCGAATATGTCCGAGCAGGTTATCAGGTAGCCCCCCCCCCCCTCCCACAGAGGCGTAGGGCCCGCCATTAAAAAAGAAGTACCAAAAACCCAGTGTAGACGGTCTCCGAACGACTGAGTGTGCCCAAGCAGGCCATCAGGTGGGCCTCCCCCCCCCCCCCCCCCCCCGACAAGAGTGTAGGCCTTAAGCAAGTGACAGAGAATTGGAAATGCCCTAGACCAATGTAAGGGACCCATGGGCATATGGCAAGTGTGTCGATAGGTTAAGCGATACCCACGTAAAGGGCTCCTGAGCAACCGAGAACACCCCGGCAGATTAAGGTATGGGACTTTGGCTACCGCTCACAGAGCCCTTCTGGCGAATGGAAATAATTCGTGGAAGGGCCCGTGATTGACAAGACTGCCCCGGCACGCTAACAGGAAGGGGCCCAACAACAGCGTAGGGCCCTCCGAGCAAATGCAAAAAAAAAATGAAGGACAGCGTGGAATGCTCCTTAACGACCGAAATGAGCCTGCAAAGGGCATATAGGTCCCCCGGAAACAGCATGGGGCCCTAGACGATGTAATGGGGGTTAAAATTGCCAGTTCACAACTTTTCTGATCATTGAGTAATTTTTGGAACTTCTCTAGGCACTTCACTTTCGCTTACAACTGTTCTTGGTGGCCTGGAAGTCGAGACACACAGTTTTGTTGCGCTTTGTGTTAAAAAAACTGCACCTGTTCGACCGGCTATGGGCCCCCTCGGAGCCAATAGGCCCCTCCGGGGCCCAAGGGGGAGGGGCATGCCCTGCGACTCCCCTCTCTGGATTCGCCCCTGCTTGTTACCGTACGTTTTTGGGGGATCCTTTTGTTACTTTCCACTTTTTTGCCCCTCCCCGAACTCAGTTTGCCCGTGATGTCGGACTTTCGTGGGGAGAAGGTGATTGATCCTAAGCCTAAAGTGGCATTCAGGTGACCACGACGAAATCTCAAATGGGAGCACCGAAAATCCGATATGGGACCCGAAGTGCTGGCTAAAGGTCATTGAGGGGGCGCGGGTCGGACCCTCAAATACCAGCCAGAGGGCCCGTTGCACCGATTGGGCCCCAGCCTGGGCCTGGGACCCCATTTCCCAAGCACGGACAAGGTCAGGAGCCGCGATTTACATTGGCCGGTGCACCCCGGGCCAATGAGGGGCTCCTGTGTCGGCCAGGGGCACACAGCGCCTAACCGGGGGTCCGGTGTTGACAAGGGCCCCGAGTTGGTCAGGGAGTGTACGAGGATGCACGAAGAGGGACCTATGCGCCCTTCAAGACTGACGATAAACGAGCGGATGGGAAAGCTGAATGACCGTAAGGCTGCAGGTCATCCGGGCCCGCATGGCTGTGATCCCAAGTGTCAGCCAATATGCCTCTTTCGCCGATTGTGGACCCCTGGTACAGTGCGGACACCTATTTCGGCCGGAGACCACTACACCGAATAGTTGACTCCGTGTTGTTCTGAACCCTGGGGCCACATTTCTCTAGCAGGAACGGGACCGCGGCCCGCGACTAGCATTGGTCGGAATCCCTACAGCAATGAGTGGTCTTTTGACGGTCAGGCCCCCAGATTGTCCAACAGGGGGTCCTGTGACGGAATGAGTCCCGAGTCGGCCAGGAGTGATCCGGGCCCCTTGCGGGACCCTTCACTCCGTTTTAGCCAAGGGTTCGTTGGCCAAACATGGGTCTCTGTGCCAGTTATTGGATCACCTGCGGTTATCAGAGATCTTGTTGCCCCAATGAGGGCTCTTGCGCCAATTCCGGGTAAAATGCCCCGGCCAGAAGCCGCTAGAGGGCCTTCCGCGCCAGAGAGGGCACCACTATAGGACGCACATTTGTGAGGGCCTGTGGACGAGCTCATCAGGCGAACCCGCCTCCATATCGCGAGAATGGCAGCTGGTAAACACTCCGGGCTGGGACGTAATGGTCTTTAAGCTCTTGCCCGGAAGGGTAGTGCGCACCTAACTTTTCATTAATTGATTATGACTTACGGTTGAGCATTCCCAGATGAAATAGGACTGCCTATGGTTACACAAGTTGCTGGCCTCATTTAGATTTAGCTGTCAACCTTCACGGGATTCTCAATATCTCTGTAGGGTGTGGAGTACCTCCCCCTGGAGGGAGGGAGTCCTCTTTATCCTCAGTCCTCCCGCTTGCATGAGAAACTACGCTGCTGTCCGATATGGAAAGTCCAAATTAGAATCCATTCCGCTTAGAACTGAAGCGGGTTGGCATCATCACGCCACGCCGTTAGACCATGAAGCCACCCATTTAGCACCGGCTGCTATCGAGACCCGAACCCGGGCTTGCCACGTGCGAGACCAGCATGCTAACCATCCATCCACTGGAGATGCTGGCCCGGCGGCCGAAAATTTGTGATCAGAATACGACTGGTTCATAGTGAGCTGACGGATTGCGTGATCGTTTGATGCCTATCACGCATAGAGCCGACTTTTCACACGAGATTCTGCTTGTTTGCACTTGCTTCCCTCTTAGCCTGGTATTTCGCGTATGCTTCACACGTACAACCATCTGAAATATTTTTGGAGGGTGTATGAGCCCGGTGCGTAACCGCCCCCTGTTTTGGAGGGTGTATCAGCCCGGTGGATAACCGCCCTCCGTTTTGGAGGGTGTATACGCGCAGCCTATGACTTTCTGCGTTGTTTACCGCACAATTATCTGCATGCTGTGTTCCTACAAGAAGTCACATGAGATGTTTGATATATCTATACGGTACACTTAAAATGTAAATGCCAGGCAGAGGACATCTGTAAATAAATCGCAGCGTGTACAATAGCTGCGCAAGGAACTGCTCATTTGTGGTGTTCTCATGCCACGGTTCACCTTGAGACCTTTTTTCAGAGAAATCGGAACTCATCGCTGAAAAAAAATCGCTGGATAAATCGCTTACTTCACAGACATGGTTCAGAAAGCGTAACCAACGCGCTCGAGACAATTGTTATGCTTTGCCGGCTGTACGAGTGGCGGGTTAAACTCAAGGCCCTAGAACATAGTAAAACTACCCTCCGGGACGGCGCAAGGGTTGAGTGTACTAATAAACAAGTTTAGCCCACCTAACATGACGTTTTGCGTGACATTCAGAGGCAAATTCCCCCTGGACGTCACTTCAGGCCCGTTAAGAAACCTCTTGCTGGCTGAAGCAGTTACACTGAGTTATGGTGATATTAAGCTGAAGAGCCGCATGAGACTGTTTTCCTGCTCGTATATGATTACATGTTCTGTCACCAGCATCTTGTTAATAACAAGGGATAAGGGCATGTTCGAGGCTATCGGCAGTGCATTGATGTGTGCGGTTTTGGTTGGGTCATTCTATCTGGATTTAGATGAAGGTCATGAGAAATGGAATATGTGGGTAATTCAATAGGTTACACATTTTGTGTATATTCAGTGTGACTCACATAATGGTTTTTTTAATTTGCTGTTACAATCTCTTTCACTTAACTTGATTTTCGGAATTTCCCTGAACAAATATACTCAATGGTCTGATGTCTAAATTAATTTTCTGAATTTCACCAAACTGAGTGATGAAATAATGCCTTTTTAAATGTTGCCCAAAGGAGACATTATTGATAGTTCTCTCCAATGCAGGACAAGCTGCAAAACTGCAGCTTCTCAGTGCCTTTTATTTTCATGATATTACTTATCAATGTTTGGTAGAGCTTGCTGGGGATCAGAGTACTCCCTAAGGAAAGCTCCCTCTGTGCCCTGAATCCCCACGCAAGCTAAGCCAGTCCACTTCAGAGTGCAATTGTACCTCTGTCTTTCAGGATGTAACAAGATCATTTTGTGCTTAACATATTGTTGCAGCTGCCTGTCCCAAGTTTGCATTGACCATGTTGCCCAGTTGCCAGCTGATCTTTCCTATCATTGAAGCCAAATAATCCATCTGCCCTGGAGCTCCTGCCCAGTGCTGCCAGATAATGAGCCTGTTGCCTTTTTCCCATATGATTGTGTGGCTCTGCTTTTTAGCATCTCTGGTTACTTTTGTTATGCATTGAACATGCCATATCATTTATAGTCTGTGGCATTGGTGTTCTTAAACCTTTTGTATTACAATAATTAATTAAGCATTTGCTGTGTTCATGCAGTGTGCCAGGTCATGTATCATGTATGTATGTCAGCAGGTCTTTCCTGTGCAATCATGTTCTTGCTTTTGATTATTTGTATTTTCAGGCTGGATGGGGGCTGTATTCTGCCCATTCAAAAATGGCCAGGGCATTCACAAAAACATATTCAAGGATACTCAAAGAGCCCAAAATATCATTATATACATCTTTCCTTTCCATTCAAATCTACAAACAATGCACTGTATCAGGAGGATTTAAAGTGCCCCCAGGGCAAGGCATTTCAAAACCAATGAGCATTCTGTATTTTGGGTCAGACAACTTTGCTATTCCCTCCTTACAAATGCTGCATTCCAAAAGGTTTGTATTGTGTGTGCATCTTTAAAATTGTTTGCTGGTGAGATCACTTTGTTTTGCCCACCAATATATCAGATGCCACTTCCCAGGTTTCAAACTTTTGAGTTAGTTTGTTCAGCAAATGTGTGTCTGCACCAGCTAAGACCCAGATAGGGTCTAAGGTTGACTACATCATCTTGGTATGCTATGTTGGCCTGGTCTTGTAGAAAGTTGTGACTGTGTCAGCCACCACTGCAATTTACATAGGGATAACTGTACCTGGCCTAACTGGTCTTTCTTTGCCTGTAACATCCAGCATACAATGCCTTACACCTTTGCACAACTTCTCCTAAAGACAGCTGGCACCAGCTTCAGAACGCGGAAGTTGCATGTCCGTTCTGGTTTGACCGGCGCGCCGCCGTCGGCAGGGAGCGGGGCGAGCTTGCGGACCTGGCCGTGGTGAGCGTGCGCCTTCGCGCCGGGCGCACGGCGGTGCGGCGGTACGCCGAGCAAAACGGCCTGCCCGTGCTGGACTGGCCGCCCCAGCTGGCCGCCGGCCGCTTCAACCTGGGCGTGGTCGCCTCGTTTGGCCACCTGCTGCCGCGCCGGCTCATCGATCTGTTCCCCGCGTACGTGCCAGACGGGGGCTGTGGGTGGTTATGACGAGCCTGGCCTCGGACATGCCGTCAGCGAGGCCAGCTGACATTTGGTTGGAGTCATGGTCTTGGGACATGGTCAGATGACGACGTTGACCTGTTTTCCGTGCTCGTGCTTGTCGAACAGTTACAAGGTTGACAAGGTCGCGTGTGACAAGAAGGTCGCGTATGTCGGGGTGTACTCGCGCCTGACTAGGCGGAGTTGGAGTAAGACATTGTTGAGGGAATGTTTTTGAGTCAAGATCAACCGATTCCATTTAATAATCTATGGCTCATAGTGGCAGCCCATTTTATCGGCCGGGAATCAAACACTGGTCCGCTGTGGGCGTACCGTCGAAGTGTTTGCAAAGCGTGCTGTGAGCCAGAGTCTCAAAACGTTAGTGGCCTAAGGGCGTTGACGCGTTCTCAGAATTGGAAGCTCAACCGGTATTCATTCTCCTTGCTACGACGCTTCCCAAGTACTTGTGACACTGCTTCATGTGACTCACGCCAATGCCAAAAGTGCGTTCTCATCAACTGTGGATGGGCGAAGCGCACAATGGGGTTACTCCGACCTGCAAATCCTATTACGACATGGCGTCACTCCCTACTGCACCGTGGCATTCCACCCTCCGCCGGCAGAGGCGTGATCAACGTGCACGCGAGTCTGCTCCCGCGCTGGCGCGGCGCAGCGCCGGTGGTGCACGCCCTGCTGGCCGGCGACCGCACCACCGGCGTCACCATCATGGTCGTCAAGCCCCACAGGTGAGCGACGAGTCCCGTCCGGTCGGCCGACTCCGGCGGCGAGTCTCGTCCAGTCGGCCGACTCCGGCGGCGAGTCTTGTCCGGTCGGCCGACTCCGGCGGCGAGTCTCGCCCGGTCGGCCGACTTCGGCGACGAGTCTCGTCCGGTTGGCCGACTCCGGCGGCGAGCCCCGGTCGGTCGGCCGACATCGGCGACGAGTCTCGTCCGGTCGGCCGACTCCGGCGGCGAGTCTTGTCCGGTCGGCCGACTCCGGCGGCGAGTCCCGTCCGGTCGGCCGACTTTGGCGACGAGTCCCGCCCGGTCGGCCGACTCCGGCGGCGAGTCTTGTCCGGTCGGCTGACATCGGCGACGAGTCTCGTCCGGTCGGCCGACTCCGGCGGCGAGTCCCGCCCGGTCGGCCGACTCCGGCGGCGAGTCTTGTCCGGTCGGCCGACCCCGGCGACGAGTCTCGTCCGGTCGATCGGCTCCGGCGGCGAGTCCCGTCCGGTCGGCCGACTCAAGCGGCTGGCACGTGCGCTGAGGCTGGCCGCATGCCACTCGCTGACTTGAGAATAGTCCAGTTGGAGTGTGCGCTGCTGCACATTGGCACGGCTGTTACAAGGTCTGCATGGCAGAGGGTGACGCACTCTGTACGACTTCAAACAGCTCGGCAATTCGCCTGCAGTGCAGACCGAGCTTCCATCTGCTGACTTCGGTCTGCTCACAGTGTTGAGTTGAAGGGAGATCATGACTGAAATGGGTACATTTCATGCCACGTCCGCTGTTTTCGTACATCTACTTCTACCAACTAACTATTCGCCGCTCAAGTATCACCCCCGCTGTCCATCTACCGGCGATTTTTTTTTTGGGGGGGGGGGGGCGGATGCCTGCTGGCTCCCCCCTCCCCATCACTCACCGACTCGAATCGGCCTGACTGGTGACGCGCGCAGGTTTGACGTCGGGGACGTTCTGGCGCAGTCGACGTTGCCGGTGGCGGCGTCGGCGGACGTGCACCAGCTGACGGAGCAGCTGGCCGAGCGGGGCGCCGCCCTGCTGGAGCGGTGCCTGGACGACCTGCCGGCCAGCCTGCGTGGCGCGCGACCCCAGCCGAAGGAGGGTGTCACGCTCGGTGAGCGGGGCCACACGAGACCTGCCACCGACCAGTGGGATATGGACTGAGCAGAAGGGGTCTCCGGCCGTACTGCGTCGGCCTGTCTAGAAAGGGCTTAAAGTCAGCGCAGTGTGTGTTGTGTGCATGCAGAAACATTATGTAAACTATTCTGATTGAGGCAGGCATCCGGTTCCCTTTCTGCCTACGCGCTGTCATTATTCGCTGTCATCACGTTGCACAATGTTATGTTCCCCTGTATGCTGTGATTCCGTCTCACCCCCACTCCATTAGTCCCGCCGCCTTCGTCCCAGCCCCCCCCCCCCCCTTCGGACGCCGCTGCCGACCCGTCAGCCGGCCAGTCCCTGTTGCAGCGCCGCGTCTGACGGCGGCCGACTACCGCGTGGAGTGGACGCGGCCGGCGGCGGCGCTGCTGCGCCAAAGCCGCGCCCTGCCCGGCCCGCTGACGGCATCCTGGCGCTGTCGCCGTGTCCGGCTGCCGGCGCTCGGCGACGATGACGGCGCGGTGCCGGTGGAGGCGGCGCGGCCCGGCCTGCTGCGCTTCGAGCGGCGCCGGCGCGCGCTGCTCGTGCGCTGCGCTGACGGCTGGCTGCGTCTGCCGCGGCTGCAGCTGCAGGGCAAGCCGGCCATGAGTGGCGAGGAGTTCTACAACGGCTTCCTCAGTGGGCTCGACGCCGACCAGCGCTGCTTCGATAGCTGATGACGGCGCGGGCTTAGGGACGGTGTGTAAGTCAGATTTCGTGAACGAAGTGCAATTAATACATGTTTTGCTGGGTTGTGCGTTTCACAGGGATTTCATGGAGATTTGACGATTTGCTGGATATTGGATTTGGTACAATGCGTCGAGAAACAAACAGCGTGCCACCAGCGAGAATGGCCTCAAGCCCTTGCATTTTTGGCGTCACAGTTATTTTGTTTAAAAATCGGCTTTCAGGATGCCGTAAGGTAGGGGTCAAATGAAGACAGCAGACGATCATGAAATTCATAGCAGTGATCTGATGGGATTTCTGCGAATTTTTCTCAGAGCTGGTTGTTTTTTGGATTGTTTGCCCACAAGTGGTGATGGGGTTTGAAATTAGTGTCGTGTACGCTGCTTTCCTGATCTCGTACTCACTCGTGCGTCTCCGTCAGTTGCGAGCTTGTTTCGCCTCATGCCGGCCGGTGTTTTAGCTAATCACGAACGCTCCGTCACTGGAAGGATACCGGCTATCGTCGCTTGAAAGAGCCATTAACCGCAGGGATCTCCAACGGGCATGGGCTCTCGCAGGATCGGGTCGTCAGCCAACCAGTGACAGTGCGGCTTGGACGCGCACATTCCTATAACTGGTCGGTGGTCGAGTGGGCGGTGCGCTGGATTGACGATAGTCACATCGTTGCCGCCACCTGGATTGATCTCAGCCGTTTCTTTGCTGGGGTTGGTTATGGCGCCCTTCGGAAAAAGCTGCGGTGGTATGGTAGAGTTTATTTGAGAGCTACGTGCTGGTTGACGGCAGGTGGCTGGCCGCAGGGGCGGATCCAGGATTTCGTCAATGGGGGGGGGGGGGGGGCACGCAACTTTGTGGGGCTCCCTGAAGCTTGGGGCCCACTCCAAAAAATATTCTTGCTTTCTGGCCGTTACATTTTAAGACAAGTCATATGTAATATATATACTTATTCATGTATTTAATAAATACGGAAACCCATCTTGCTGTGCACAACTCTATAAAGCTGGCATGCTACTAATTCATACACATAGAATTCACTCAATTTCTACAGGCCGTGTAAAGTGCCGTGATTTTCAGGCTAAGTGTTCCGGAACAATAGGCGAAGTAAACTTGAGCTGGCTGCTAACAGCCATCAAAACCAAGCACGGGCGTGATCCCTAGCTCATGTTTTTACCGCTAGCCGGCTGGGCGATGTAATCAGCTGATGGCTGATGACTATCGCAAAATTCTTCCTTTGTATAAAGGAGTACAACATATCCTAGCAGTCAAAGTACGTTTAGAGCGTGATGCACTAATATGATAAGTGTCACACACTCAATAGTCGATGGAAATGACATATACGACGTCGACGACTTGTAAAACTGCGTTCGGCAATTGCGCGTAAAAATCCATCGACGCATATTCGGCTGCTGCTCTGAGGCAAAGGCACCGAGGGCATTTGGAACGAAACCTGAGCGATCATGGGTGCTGCAGGAGGTCAACAAAGTGGTTCCCGTCAACAAGTATATGATCCTCAGAGCAAGCAAAAAGAGCCCAAGACCAACGGGGTGGTCTCCTTAACGATCGGTAGTGCCCCGGCGGGCTGGCATATGTTGCCTCACCCAGAGTGCAAGACCCTTTGAGCAAAGGGGAATTACCCAAGACCGCGAATGAATATCCCTGCGCGATCATTGGTGTACGAGCACGTTAACAAAAAGAGCCTCGATAGAAGTGAAGAATCCTCCACAACTGAGATCAAAGGGAAAGATCCTTCGATCAAGGTAGAGGGCCCCTGAACATCGAGTGTCTTGACGCCTTACCTTATTAGGGCCCCAGGAACAGCACGAGGCCCTCCAAGTAAGTGGAAAGAACCGGAGACTTATATGAAGGACCCCTGAGCAATTGAGTGTACCCTGACATACGAGGTTCCAGAAAAGTGAATAGAGCATTTTTGACGAGTGGGAAAAATCCATGCAGGAAAACCTCATCGATCAAGAGTACCCAGGCATTGAAGCAGATAGCGTCCCAACAGCAGCGTTGGGCCCTACGAGGAAATGCAGAGAGATCAAAGGTAGCATGAAAAGCTCCTTAGCGATCAGATTGGCCCGGCAAGTATACATATAGGGCCCGGGCAGCAGCGTAACGTCTCTGGACAGCATTATGAGCCGCCAAATTTCCCCCCAAGTAACGCCTTTTCAATCGGGAAAAATTTACTTCGTCTCCTCATAAGCTATTTACTTTTGGTAGCAATTGTTCTTAGTCGTTTGTAGGTCCAAAGGCGTCCAATTTTGTTGTAAGAAAACTGGGTCCGTTCGGCCCCCGAAAAATGAAGGGTACCCCAGCAGATTATCATGTGGCCCCAACAGGAATGCAGGGCCCTAAATTCAAACTCCAATACCCAATATACAGGGCCCCCGAAGAACCCAGTGTAGCCAAACAGGCAAACAGATAGGGTCCCTGACAAGTGCGTATGGCCCTCCATTCAGGTAGGAAGTACCCAAGACACAATGTGGAGGGCCCCCGGATATTCGAGTATGCCCAAGCAGGTAAACAGATGGGGCCCCGGCAAGAGCAAAGGGCCTTCTGTTCAAATATGAAATACCCACGACACGATGTAGAGGGCCGCGAATAACTGAGCGCGCCAGAGCAGGTTAACAGACAGGGCCCCCGAAAAAAGCGAGGTGCCCCCATTCAAAAAGGAATACCCAAAACCAGACGTAGAGGCGGCCCACGACCGAATGGTCCCGAGCATCTTATCAGAAGGGGATCCGACAGGAGCTTGAGGCCCTCCATTCAAATAAGAAGTACATAAAACCCGGTGCGGAGGGCCCCGAAAGATGGGTTGTACCCAAACAGGTTATCAGACGGCCCCGATAAGAGCAGATGACTAAATTTAAACATCAAGAACCAATGTGCAGAGCCCCCCCCCCCCCCAAGCAATGCAGTGCAGCCGAGGAGGCAAACAGAGGCGAACCTGACAAGTGCGTAGGGCCCCATTCAAATAGCACGAGGCCAAGGTCCAGTGTAGAGCGCCCGCGAACGATCGAATGTGTGCGCGAGCAGGTTATCAGATAGGCATTGCCACAAGAGCGTAGGGCCCCCATTCAGAAAAGAAGTACCCAACACCCAGTGTGGAGGGCTCCCGAAGGACTGAGTGTGCCCAAGCAGACCATCAGATGGGCCCCTGACAATATTTTAGGGCCCTAAGCAAGTAACAGAGAATTGAAAATACCCTAGACCAAAGACGAGGGCCCATGAGCATATCGCAAGTGTGTCGGTAGGTTAACCGGGGCCTACATAAAGGGCCCCTGAGCAATCGAAAATACCCCGGCTATAGCTCACAGAGCCTTTCGGGCGATTGAAATAAATCCGTGGAAGGACCCGTGCTTGACAAGAATGGCCCGGCACGCTATCAGGAAGGGTCCCAGCAACAGCGTGGGGCCCTCCGAGCAAATGCTAAGAAGTGAAAGGCAGCGTGGAATGCTCCTTAACAATGGAAATGATCCCGCAATGCGTGTGTAGGTCCCCCCGAAACTGCCTGGGCCCATAGACAGTGTAATGGGGCTTGAAATTTCCAGTTCACAGCTTTTCTAATCATTGAACAATTTGTTTTGACTTCTCATAGACCCTTCACTTTTGTTTACAACTGTTTTTGGTCGCCTGAAAGTACAAGTGCCCAGTTTTGTTGCGTTTTGCGTTAAAAAGAACTCCACCTGGTCGCCCGGCTATGGGCCCCTCGGAGCCAATGGGCCCCTTCGGGGCCTAAGGGGGGCTCATGGCCCCGTGCCCCCTCCCCCCTTCTGTGGATCCGCCCCTGGCTGGCCGCTGACTAACGGGGTTTCTCAAGGATTCTCGGTCCGCATTATCCTTTTCAGCATATCACGAACGCCCTTCCAGACCTGACTGCTAGACTCCGTTCACGCTGACCAACCATCTATTTTAAAAAGCCGACAGGAGGATGGCATCCAAGTGATCTAACCCAGTCCTTCTTCGCATCTAACTCATCTGGAATGAAGTCCTCCAATTCAGCCCTTTTGCTTCTCGTCACTCCAGAATCACTGAGGAAAACATGATATCTTATTACCTTGACATTGCTTGGCGTAAATAAGGCTCTTCGCCGCCTGTGAAAATATGGTGGGGGGGGGGGGGGGAGGGGGGAGTTGTTGCTATTGAAAGCGCCCTTTCTTGCGAGACGCACGTAACCATGTTGTCAAAAAGTGCAGCTCCATCCTTTTCTGCTTGCATATTATTCGTCACTACCTTACGCCCGAGGTTCGTTAACTCCTTACCCTGTTCCACGTTTTCCCCCATAAGCTACTTTGCTTGTCGGTCGGGGGTGGGACGGTTGCGTGTCACTGAAGCAAGATACAAGATGTCATACACTTTAGGACCATGATCGCCACCGAGGATCGTCAGCGATATTCGACGGCGGCGACTGCTCGAACGCTGGACTGGCGCGGTTTTGGTGACCGGGTCACCAATTGCGACAGCCGCGTTCAGGGCATTATTGACCCGCGGGCTCCAGTGGCGATCCGGTCGCTGTTTCTCTCGCGTGCCGCTGGATGCAAGTGTGCCAACCTGGCGGCAGCGGCGGGCCCCCGTGATCTGTCAGCTCTCCGCCTGTCGTTGGCACGCAGGGCCTTTCGTATCGCGCGGATTCATCCTGGAGCAGACTGCCGCCATCACCGCCTATCGTACGCACACGAAGCTTTGCGACGAAACTGGACGGTGTGGTTGCCGTTGCGTGGCATGTTTTGATGGTTAGTTATATTTTTGACGAAGTGCGCGATCGCTGGAGTGATTAAAAATGTTGAAATGTGGCCGCGTCGTTGTTCGTTTCTAATAATGCACAAATACATAAATTGTGGTCGTACCGAACAAAAACTCGACCACTTCCTGAAATGGAATGCGTCGCGCGAGGAGTTTCGCATGAGTCGTCGTGCGCCTTGAGCGTGATTTTACAGGCGGTTTGGAATTGAACCAGCCATCTTGGAGACCTTTCGGTGCTGTTCACAATCATGCCCTTCGTAAGCCATAAGACACTCCAGTTTCTGAGCTATACGTCCGCAAAAATAAAAGTATATCGAAGAGAGTACTTCAAGGTCACCTTGGCATTTATAACGTCATAATAACATCATTCAAATCCTTCCATACCAGAAGCCATGCGGTGATTAAGACCAAGACAAATGTAGCTGTCGAGACATTCACATCTAGCGTTCGTGTGCATGATTTCCAGAAATGCCGGTGGTCAATTGGCTCTCAATCGATATTGTGCAAAATGCGATGACGTAATCAGACAATGACGCATTGAGTAGCTAATTTACTATACAGAGATTTGTAATGTCTAAAGCGGCCTTTTTCACTTCAATAGTATATCAGTATTTAAATGTGAGCTTGTTTCATCATGTGCGGTGCTTGCCCCAATATCTTCAAATGTGAAGTATTCCCTTTAACACAGTACGATGAATTTAAACTCGCGCGTTAAGTTTTCTCCTCATGGGTGTTTAAGATGTTTGACTTTGGATTGGGTCACGATATTGCCGTCGTTTATTTCGTTCTCATGGTTATGCTTTAAAATATATTTAAATGCAACGGGATGACACAAATGTGAGCATGAACATGCCTGTCATAACCGCAGGTTCTTCAGTTACGCCAAATCAAGGCCAAACCAACGCCAAACCCAAACGAACTAAACTAATGGTCAACTGCGCCACGTTGACCGACAATGAACGCTTCAGCGACGCGAGGGCCGGCGTTTCGGCAAGACGCGGCCGCCAGATACGTGAGCGCGCAATCGGGGGAGTACCGGTGGACGCGTTGGTAGGTGCGTTATAAAGATGCTTTTGTTCAAGATATTTTACGGCGGTTTTTGGATAAGACTCGATTACTGCGTGACGCTATAAGGCTCCCCGCTTTCTGAAAGGAGTGGAAGGCACTTGTTTAATTTTTAGACCACCAATTCATTGCAATTGTTATTGAAAAGTAAGTCATTCCCTTACACCATAGAAAAATGATGAATAGATGGACAGATGAGAATGATTCCTAAAGACAGCTGTTCAACTCTAACAGGTTCTGAGTGGCATTAATATTTTCACTTTTGTTTGGTCTTGACTTAACACCATTTATGGAAAAGAAGGGGAGTGGAATGTGCTACCAACATATTGCAGGATTATTTAAGTGAAGTAGAGAGGGTCAGAAAGAAATGATCATCTTTTCTGAACATCTGTATGCTTGGAAAACAGGTTCATAACTGGTGTTTGTTCATTCGACATAACCGAGGCACACTGAGGCACAGAGAGCAACCTAAATCACCTAAGACGAGCCTAAGACCCTACCTAAATTATGAAGCATTTGTAGGTATAGTCTTAGTTTTGTAGGATAGGTGGGTCATAATAATATCTATGTTGCATTTTATTTATCCCAGCTTTTGTATATAGATGGGTACTGGGGGATGAAGGACCATGCATTGGACCTCTACCGCACAGAGAATCAGCATCCTTTGCATCACATGTGCATATTAAAATACAGACCACAAGAACTAGAAGAAGCAAACATGGTGTCCCCTCTCCATCCTCACATAGTCTAACTTAGTCTAACTCCTCAGCTTTCAGAACATTTCAGGGATATTAGGTGAATTCCTGATTTATGTTAAAAAATAAATGCTAGATGCGCAGAACCATGCATGGAACTTCTGTCTCACAGACTATCAGTATCCTGCATGATGTTAAAATATAAGTATTCACTAAAAACCATGCTAAATGGATGTGGTCTCCCTTGCTTCTTCCCACAGGACTTATGATGAGGAAAAAGGTGATACAATTCTTGCAATATAATGAAAGAACTTCTGGCAAAAAACAACAACAAGGCAAAGGCAGTAGGTTTAACCATCAGCCTTTTGAGTGTATTTTTTCTTTTCTTTGTTTTTGTTTAAAAAAGACTATGCTACTCAGAATGTCAGCCTGCTGAGTTGGTTGATAATTAGGGAAGCATCCTTGTGTATAGGTGCAGTTTACTGAAGGTACCCATTCTCATGATGGTTGTGTAAATCATGATGTCTGTGATGAACAGTTCCAGTTTGCAGAATGCTGTGGATAGAATTGCTAGTGAAATGCTGCTCTGAGTAGGCCTTGTTAGAATTGAAAAGTGACTGCAGAAAGTGTTATAGTATGTTTAATTCTGCAAGACAAAATGTGTGATTCAAGAAGCAGTTCTTCCAGATCCCACCCCCACCCCCAATGCAAACCAACTCTAATAGGTATTGTCTGTTTCACATTAGGAGCAAGCTAGTAATTTTTACTGAAACCTGCCATGATGCACTTGGCATTGACACAGTTGACCCTTGAGGATTCCTGTTGCCCCCAGAGTTTGCTCTAAGCAGCAACATGTGATGACAAAGATGGCCTGTGTAACATTGTCATCCACCATGCCATTGTCACATGATCTGTGGTATCGCTGGTGACCAGCTCCAGAGCAGTGCCAGTGGGCAGAGGTTGGTAGAGGAGGGTTAGCAGTCTGCAGCGGTGCTGGTGGACAGGGGTGGGAAGAAAAGGGTTCATAGTCCACAGCAGTGCCAGCTAACAGGGGTGTGAAGAGAAGGGTTCATAGTCCACATTGGTGCCGACGGACAGGGGTGGGAAGAGGAGGGTTCACACTCTGGGGCGGTGCCGGTGGACAGGGGTTGGAAGAAAGGAGTTCACAGCCCACAGCGGTGCCGGCGGACAGGGGTGGGAGGAGGAGGGTTCACAGTCCACAGGGGTGCCGACGGACAGGGGTGGGAAGAGCGGGGGGGGGGGGGGCTCACAATCCAGAGCAGTGCCAATGGACAGAGGTGGGCAGAGGAGGGTTCACAGTCCACAGCTGGCCCGGTGGACGGGGGTGGGCGGAGGAGGGTTCAAAGTTCAGCCGGACGCTGGGTCTCTCCACCGTCACCCCACGCTCGGGCTCGCCCCGCCCCGCCCCGCCCCGCCCCGCTGGGCGGCTCGATACGGCACTATCGTGGCGCGCGACCCGTCCGTGGTTTACGTTACGCGTCACGGCCCGGCCGGCGGTACTCGCCGGGCGCCGCATGGACACGGCGGGGGCCGGTGTAGCGAGACGGCGAGCGTGGAGTTTTACTGCCAGTGCTGTGTGCGTGGTACCGATGTCGCCGGTTTGCTGTATAAGGGCGTGTATGGCTTGAGTTCTGGCGACGTTCGAGCTGTGGTCCGGTGGCGTACGTCGGGTTTGTCCCGGCCGGGTGCAGCCGGGTGTCCGACGGTGAACATTGGGTGTGTCACGGCTGGGCTCGGGATGTCACTCGGGATGTCCGGCGGCGCGCATGGGGTGTGTCCCGGTCGGGTGCAGCGGGATGTCCGGCAGCACGCGTCGGGTACGTCCCGGCCGGGTGCAGCCGGGTGTGCGGTGGCGTACGTTGGGTGTATCGTGCTTGGGTGCAGGCGGATGCCCGCCGGCCCGCATGGGATATATCGTGGTCGGGTGCAGCTGGGTGTCGGGTTGCCGTCTCCGTGTGACGCCGCTGTGAAGGTCGCCGGGGGCAGATCGGTCGCAGGGGGGGGGGGGGGGGGGGATCTGTTGGAAGTTGGCTCGCGGGCGGGCCCGTGAACGGGTGGTTTGTGTGATTCTGGAGAGACATTGACTTTGTAGTGGCTGGCTGGCTCTGAAGGAGGAGCTGCGACGTATTTATTGCATTGCTGGAGGTGGAGCGTTACTGTACACCCAAATGAGGCCGCAGACCGAGTGATTCCTGTCTTGCCAGCTGCTCTACTATCGCTCCGAAATCGGCCAGTGCCACCTTTTTTGAAATTTACCTCGAATACAAGACACTGGGACATAAACTGAGAGTGATTGAGTCATGCCAGGTACACCGTTATGTAGTTCTATTGTTAACAATACCCCAATTTTTTTCGCAATGTTTCGCTGGCAATTTGCAAACTGCATACAATTGCCCATTCTTCAAGTTCGCCCGTGAAAGTTGTCGGGCCTGACCGGACTTATAGCGAACAATTTTCAAGCAACGTTATTTTGCAGAAGCGGGCGAACATTATTAGTGAACATTGACCTGAATGGTGGACTTTGGCCGATTTTGATGAATCGTGGACTTTCGGCAGATTGATCAAGCTGATTTGCTTTGCTTGTCAAAGATGGCCGGCTGTATAAGCCTTTGGCGCCGTATGCATTATGAAAACGGACCGCTCTCGCGTTTGTTGTTGCGTCGTTTTGTGACGACGTTGTGCTGCTACTCCTCAGAGTACTTCAAGATGGGCGGCCGGTCGAGAACAACGTCCTCGTGCTCGGACTTCTCCGAGTACTTCCACGAGATCAATGAGCGCCAGGTGGACGACATATCGATGGAGTTGTTCTACAAGCCGCACACCATCACGCTACTGCTGCTCTCCATCGGGTCCATACTCTACGTGGCATTCACCAGGTAGGCGCCCGCAGATGTGGCTGTCTCCGGCCGAGTTGGCCCGCTGATGTGGCTGCCTCCGGCCGGGTTGGCCCGCTGATGTGGCTGTCTCCGGCCGAGTTGGCCCGCTGATGTGGCTGTCTCCGGCCGAGTTGGCTGCCTGCCGGCGTGATCGCTGCTCAGAGCGCCGACGTTCGTTTCAGGAGAACGTACTTGACTTGCCGCCGGCGTGGGGTTCCGCCAACCTCCTGAATCTGGAAGTTGTTTGGTGGAATAGATCGTTCGTACCGGATTCGAAGTGGCTTAGGTTATTAGATTTGATCCAAGTCCCTACTCGATGGGACCCAATTGTCAAGCGATTGGGGCTCGTTGCATTTTTTGTCGAGTTTTTCACTATTGAGGTATAAACGGAGCACGCAATGAGTTTGAGCACGTTGTGTCTCCAGATTATATCTGCGTGAGTACATGCAGCTGAGCTCAAGCGCGTAAAATAATTTCACCTGGGTTGAGACACTTAATTTTGATCAGCCACATGCCTAAATTTTAAGCAAAATGTCTGGAAAATGTGCTGAAAATGAAAATCCCTTGTCCTCAGAAAGTGTCCTCGACCATGTGCTGAGTAGAGACTGTTCCTGCGAGGTTTGATGACATGATTGATAGTCACGTGGTCACAGTGTCAGACTGTGCTACCGAAGTGACTTGGACTGGAGCCTGGCCTCGGCCACATGACGGTAATCGAGTTGCTTCGGCGTGTCCCAGCGCGGCATGGGCGCCCGTTCATGTACGCCGGCGCGACGTCGGTAACACATTGCCGTCTTCTATGATGTCCACCGCGTTGCTCTTGCCTGACGGCGGTTTGCCGTCTGTCCTCAGAGACGACAGCATCAGCCACCAGAACAACATCTGGACGGGCATGTGCTGCGTCATATTCTTCTTCCTCATCGTCTCGGTGCTGACGTTTCCCAACGGGCCTTTCACGCGGCCGCATCCGGCGCTTTGGCGCATCGTCTTCGGCTGCAGCGTCCTCTACCTGATGTTCATGCTGTTCATCCTGTTCCAGGTACGGTCCAAATTCAGAGATGAAGTGGCTTAAAAATGCTTTACTGAACAGTAATGGTAGTTGTTCTGTGTTGTAATTCAGACGGCCCATGTCGCCATTGAGATGGTGTGCATACCAACTGCATTTAACGTACAGTGTACGTGCCGCAATTGAAGGGAAAATGTTGTTCGCCGTTTTGTGTTGCCGTATTGTGTCATATATACGTTAGCCAAGCAATGTACCATGTGGCCGGTGTAAAACCTTGCATCGCGTATAACCGCCCATTACGTGAAGAATTTCTGTGAGTGTGGCGCCAGGATTTTGTGCGTGATGAGGACTACATGCATGAGGTACCATTTGCTTGCAGGCTGCTCCATCCGAGTGGTGCCGGGGTGACTGGTTAGGTTATGTTTGTGTTAACAACCCGTTTCTCCCATCAGAACTACGAAACGGTTCGGAGCATTCTCATATTCTTCTATCCAGACTTGGAGAATTTCACCATCGACATGGACGAGGTACGTGCGAAGCCGTTCACGTGTCAAGCTCGTTACGTGCGAGGCTATTCACGTGCCAAGTTCGTTACGTGCGAAGCTGTTCGCGTTCTAAGCTGATTACGTTCGAAGCTGCTCACGCCGCATGGTGGGATATGCCGGACCGCCCGCTGCCGGTATTTGTTGTACCGCCTTTACCCGCTCCCAATGTAGGATTTCTACTACACATTTTTCCAACAAGAAAAACAACCCCGGCGGCCTGCGTCGCAAAGCGAGGCCCGCCAGGGCCGCGCTCGTCGCCACAGGGTCCGGCAACGCATCACAGAGGCAGCAGGGGTGGTTGTAGGCTTTCTTGCTCGAGCCACGACGTAAATTTTAGCCCGTTCTGTTAGTTTCATATTTACTTTCTACTTTTAAATTACGTAGGTTGTTACGCACGTTTGTGAGGAGCGTCTTGTTGAGGAGCATTTCTCCTCCTTGTAGAATGACCAGGAGAAGGAGACATAGATACATTCACATTTTGACTACCTGCCCATATCGAAACGAATATGGGTGGCAAATTCGATGTTCAATTTTTGTTTTGAATTTATCACTCATATTCGGTTCGATGAAGGCATGTAGCCGAAATATCAATGCATTTATATCTCTTTCTTCCTGGTTATTTACGAGAAACAAGGCTAATATTACCGTCTTACCCATCTGCTTCTGTTTCGACTGGCGACTGAATCCATGTCCTGTTGCTGGGTGGGTTCTAAAGATCTTTTGTAAAGGCTGCCAGTGGTGAGCTATTCTCACTAATGAAACCGCGTTTACTGCGCATTGACTTTGGTAGGTGCCATCTCCCCGCTAACATCGGTAAGCCGCGGTCATGGCGGCCCCAACGCAGTGCCGCTGCGCAGTGCTTCACCGCAACGTCACGTTTGCCGACCGCTCCACAGAGCAACTGGGGCCAAAACTGCAATCCGCTGACGTTCGACAAGATCTGGAGCAGCCTGGACATCTTCGCGTTCGCGCACCTGTTCGGCTGGATGATGAAGGCGGTGCTGATCCGCCACTACGGCCTGCTCTGGACCATCTCCGTCATGTGGGAGATCACGGAGGTGGGCGGCGGGGCGGGGCCGCCGCGGGCCGCGCCCGACCGCCGGTTGAGCCCAGACTCTGTCGGGGCGGACGGGCCACAGCGGCCGTTTGACGTGGGGCGGCCCAGGGGCACTCGCCGAGTCAGTTGAATGATGCTGCGGTGATTGATTGCCTGCCAGCTGTGAATGCGTACCTGATGCGTCGTGGGGGTCTGTGTTTGCTGTGTGCATATCGTTTTCAATGTCGTGCGGTGGCGGGCGTTCTTGTCCGTCAGTTGCGCTATTGGTGTAGCTAAGTTGCGCTGTTGGGCGTTCGCAGCTGCTGTTTGCCCATCTCCTGCCGAACTTCATTCGAGTGCTGGTGGGACGCCATCATCCTGGACATCCTCATCTGCAACGGCATCGGCATCTTCATCGGGATGCAGGTGTGCCGCTGGCTGGAGATGCGCGAGTACAACTGGGAGAGCATCAAGTGAGTGTAGCGGGCCAACGACGTGGGCAGTAGGCTGCGAGATATGGTCCCCATCTGAAACGCTAGGGAAATCCAAGTGCTCGTGAGTCAAGTGGGGTAGTGCGTAGGTTTCTGCTTGAGTCGTGCCAGGTTCTCGAATTTGGGGACGCGTAGATGTTTGCGTAGATGTCTTACGACGTGTTTGGGGGAATCTGTCGAAATATCCGAAACCTACACCGCCTGGGGCCAAATATCGCACCACCGAACCCGGGCGTACTAGCACCCCTCTGTCTAGCGTGTGTAGCAGCTTCAACTCAACTGTCGGTGCGCGCGCTGTTTCGGATGGCCTGCAACTTGCCCAACCGCCGACAATGTCGCAACTACCCCTGCCGCTGTCAACCGGTTGTGGCCGCAACAAACGCGTCTCTGGCGATTTCGCTCTGTCGCTCACGATCGATCGCTAGCCACAGTCGTGTCACTGTTCCCACGCAGGGACATCTCGTCGGCCGGTGGCAAGGTGAAGCGGGCGCTGATGCAGTTCACGCCCGAGTCGTGGACCCACCTGCGCTGGATGGACGCCGACAGCCCGCCGAAGCGCGTGCTGGCCGTCTCGTTGCTGGTCATATTCTGGCAGCTGACCGAGCTCAACACGTTCTTCCTGAAGCACGTGTTCCAGATGCCGCCGCACAACCCCTTCAACTTCATCCGCATCATCTGCTTGGGCCCCATCGTGGCGCCGACCATCAGGCGAGAGCGGAGATGAGGCGTGCGGTCGGACGGTCGCTGTTGGGAGTCAGTATTGCCGCGCTTCGGCGACTCACTGAGCCGTACGAATTTGTCTGTGTTAGACCTCCTCTCCTTCGGTCAGTGTAGTCACAAGCGCGGCCACCCGCCCGGCGGCGTCTGCCCGGGCTGGGGTGTCGCCCGCGACCGGCCGGTCCGACAGCGCTCGTGTTGTCTTCTGTGGACTGGGCACCAGTGAGGCCTACAGTCGCGACTGCAGCCTCCTGCCCGCCTGCGTCGCTCCCAGATCCGGCGCCATGTTGCAGTCGGCCACGGCGGACATGGGCCCGACTGTGCTGCGTCCGCCGCCAGGCAGTTACGCTTCGCGAGCCAAGCGGTCGCTTGTAACGTCTAGCTCATGATGGAAATGTCTGGGTTTGACTGCCACTGCGAGGAGCTGTTTGCCGACGGCGGGTCCCACCAGGATATGGTTACTCCAATAATGATGTGATCTGCTCAGGCGTGGATACCTGACGTGGCTGTTATGGTTGCAGGCAGTACTATTCGTACGTGACGGACTACCGCTGCAAGCGCATCGGCACGCAGTGCTGGGTGTACATCTGCATCACGCTGGCCGAGGCTTTCATCTGCTTCAAGTTCGGCCGCGAGCTGTTCAAGCAGACGGTGGTGAAGAACGTGCTCATCTGGCTGGTGCTGCAGATGGCCATCACCTTCCTCTGCGTCTACCTGTGCATGGTGTGGAACCGGCGCTCAGCTGAGCTGAAGGTGTGTGCCACACCCTGGAAGCGGCCTGCAGCCGTGTAGCGGGTGTGATGGGATATTGGGAATGTCGCAACGTGAACTTCTGCGGTCTTGCCGCTACAGCTCGCTCGTGCTTCGATGCGATCGGTCCCCGCTCGAATTTTACGTCTGTTTCGCTGCGGGGTGGTGGTGGCTGGGCGCGGGTGCTGCTCTGCCGAACCGGTCACGGACCAGCCGGCGGTGCCGTTACAGGACGCCGGTAACGACTCGGGCCTGGACCTGAACTCGAGCGTGCTGGACACGCCGCGGCCGGCCGACCGGGACAGTCCGGCCACCGAGCGCAACTCCGAGCGGCTGGCCGAGCTGCGCCGCCGCACCGGTACGTGACGTCCGGTTACGTCGCCAGGCGGGAGAGGGAGGTGACGTCCGGCACCGTTACCATGCGGAGGATTGGAGGTGACGGTCGGCACCATTACCAGGCGGGGGGACGCTCGGGGACAGGTGGTGACGTCCGGCACCGTTACCAGGCGGAGGACGGGAGGTGACGTCCGGCACCGTCACCAGGCGGACGACGGGGGGTGACGTCCGGCACCATTACCAGGCGGAGGACGGGAGGTGACGTCCGGCACCATTACCAGGCGGGGGGACGCTCGGGGACAGGTGGTGACGTCCGACACCGTTACCAGGCGGGGGACGGGAGGTGACGTCCGGCACCGGCACCAGGCGGACAACGGGGGGGTGACGTCCGGCACCATTACCAGGCGGAGGACGGGAGGTGACGTCCGGCACCATTACCAGGCGGGGGGACGCTCGGGGACAGGTGGTGACGTCCGGCACCGTTACCAGGCGGGGAACGCTCGGGGACGGGAGGTGACCAGGCGGGGGACGGGAGGTCCTGTCCGGCACCGCCACCAGGCGGGGACACCCGGAGACCGGAAGCGCTGTCCCGTACCGTCACCAAGCGGGGGTCGTTCGGGGACGGGGAGTGCTGTCCCGGTACCGCCACCAGGTGGGCGGGTGGGCACGGGGCCGAGATGCTTCAGACGGTTGGATCGACCGAGACGGGCGTGCAGGCAGCGCAGTGGGATTTGTTGTCGATCCGAAAGTATACGTGGCTGGGGAGCCTGGTGGCATGTGTAGTGCGCGAGCACTGTGATTATGTAATTGGTGATGCTAATTAGTGTTATGTTAGTGTCTTCAGATTGTGTGGTAGGCTTTACGCCAGACAGGCAGGAGCCGTATAACGGCACTTGTCTCGCGTCGGTGTGCAAAACCCACTTGGGCCGCTGTGCGTCAATGAGAAGTTTGCTCGAAACTACTACAGTTATGTTTAACCCCTCCTGAAGCTCCCAGCCGATTACACGGACAACTGCCCCGCGGCTTTGCACGCAACCGCGCCACCGGTGTTAGAAATTGCGATTGGACCTGGATTTTGCGGTGTTAAAATCCGTATGTGATATTGTATGCTGTTCGGAGTGGCATTTCACATCAGAAAAGTCGTTACACGGTGTTCGTTGTTGGCAGGAGCGCTGTCGGATGTCAGCCGTCGCAGTCCTGACGGCGGCGGTGCGCGCCGCTCGGTCCGGCTGGGGGGAACCATCGACGAGCACGGACTGTAGACGGGCCGACGCGGCCGGAGCCGGCGAGGCGGCCCCGCCGCCGCCGCCCCCGCCGTCGCCGCCCGCTGTGTGCTCGCCTCACCAACCACCGCCGTGTTCACTTCTGGTGCGGCCGGGCCCTGCTGGAGGCGACTGAGGCCGACTCGAGCGACGCGACCGACCAGGACGGCACCGTGGCGCATGTGGGACGTGGCCCGGACCGGGCGGCGCCGGAGCCACCCGCCCGGGTCCAGAGGAGCGTCTAGTCAGCGTGCCGCCGAGGTGCGTGTCCTCTGGGGGTGGTTCCGCCGGCCGGCGTCAGGCTCGCTCCCGCTCCAGCGGGCGGCGGCCGTGGTGCCGCGCCGCGGCTCTGACAGCCGCCGCAGCGGTGCTCAGCCATCGTGCGCCAGCGCTTGCCAATCATGTGGCCGCGCGCCATAGAAGATGGTGTTTGCCGCGCATTCTCGCCAGCTGATCACCGCGAAGCGCTCTGCCATTGGTGCACCGTCTCGGGCATTCGAGCGCAGCGTGTAGTTTGCAGATTAGCGGGCTGAATCATCGCCCCATGAAAGCTGGCTTCGGGGCAGCACAGTGCTTGGGAGGGCGCCAAATAGTGCGCGACACAGCCTGTCAACACTTGCCAGAGCTATTCCCGCCGCGTCGCGGCGTACCGTGCGTTGTCGACCGCTGCTGTCAATTCAGGGAGAGGTCGACAGAGGCAGTTGCGTTGGCGGTGCAGGCCACACAAATCACCCTCGGCGACCGACACCGACGAGCAGCGTCCGTCTACAGGGCAGTGGGGACGAATGAAGAGGTCGGATCGATCTCGTGTGGTCCGACTAGTGGGGTCGTGTCGCATTGTGGCGGCCATTGTGGCCCGTCTCGTGCCGGCTGATCAGCCCCGCGCCTCTTGCAACCAGTGCTCTCCTCCAGTGCCTGTCTTGATGTTGACCAAGTCGTCTCGCTCGTTTGTTGCTGTTTTCCTGCAGGTCGCTTTCCTGGGCTGGATCCAAAGACAGTGTACACGCATCCGTATTGGTCATCATGCATGGCCCTTCCGCCTACGCTGGGCTCGATGCACGGCGTAGCCATTGACTTTAATGTGATCCGTATCATCAACCACCTTCCTGATGGATGATAGCACCACGTGGACGTCCGTTCTCGTCGGTACCCCGTATCCAGAGAAGTCCTTAGTGAACTCCCGCACCTTCGGAGGCCCTGCCATTCTGTTGCCGACCGTGCCGATCGCAGCGCCCTCACCTGGGCGCAGACCGCCACCGACGGTCGCTGAGCCGCGCTGCACGCGCCTGCCCAGCTCTGAGGGGCCTCGAATCTCGCACCAGCTCCCCGGCGACTCGCTGCCGTCCCGCTCGCATGGCACCGGGCTGCCAGCCGCGCACGAGTGTAATCAACTGGCCCCTTGTGATCCGTTTTCTAGCCCCCATTGTGCGTGTTTCAGCGTTTTGTATCCGCAGTCGCACGCGCGTGTTTCAGTGTGCTGTACCCGGAGCTATGCGTGCGTGTTTCAGTGTTCTGTATCCGCAGCCGCGTGTGCGTATTTCAGTGTTCAGTGCGCTGTTCCCGAAGCCGCGCATGCGTGTTTCAGTGTTCAGTGCACTGTGTGCAGAGCCGCGCGTGCGTGTTTCAGTGTTCAGTGTACCGTGTGCAGAGCCGCGCGTGCGTGTTTCAGTGTTCAGTGCGCTGTTCCCGAAGCCGCGCGTGCGTGTTTCAGCGTTCCATTCACAGCTTGGGAAGTGCCGCTCTGCCGGCCAGGTTGGCAGGATTACCGCTTAGTCACAAACGGGCTCGCGGGGTTATCGAGTGCCTCGAGTCTCTATGCATTGGAGTTTGGTGGGATGCATTGCTGTGAGACCCCGCCCGCCGGTATGGCGCGTGTTATCCACTGGCGCCACCGGCCGGGAGGGGACTGGCCTTGGCCGGGCGCACAGCGTAGTGGCATGAATGTACAGTACATGTACGTTGGCGGCCGTGAGCACACGGCGCCGCCAAGTCGGGTCTTGTATACTCACTGGCTTGTGTGACCCAACATTTGTTAGTGTGCATGCATGCAATGAAGCCCAATACAGGCACCGGGCTGTGACGCCTGGCTTTGATCATCACCACCACTCTGAGCTTCGGTCCTCCGCTGAGCAGCGGCCTACGGCGCTCGATTAATCTCTTTTGTTGTCGCATGCTCGCCATCAGCAGCTGTTTGCAGGTTTTAGGCCAGACTCTCCTGCAGATAATTTACGCGAAATAATCATTTGCTCGCAACACGTTCGTTGCAATCGTTGTGTTCTATATCTTTCTGCGCCAACCCTTCACGTGTCCGCGTCCGCAAAAGCAATACATTTCCGTCTCGGAATTCTTATTTGCCGTGTCTCACTTATAAATCGGTGACCGATGTGCCGTGCGCAGCACGATACCTTCATTGATTTTGCGGCGTACCGACCACCCTGAACAGGGCTACAAGCACGTTAATGGCTCGCGCTGACTGGGCCAGTGGCTGGGATATCAATGTACGGAACTCGAATGGTTTCGTGTCGTAGCCTCTTAGCACTGGTGGAAATTATGTAAAGCAGCAGTCTCCTTCCGAATGGCCGGGAGCCAATAGTTGGAAAGGAACGCCTCACATGGTGGTATCGCTGCCTGACATGAAATCGGGACCTTTGTGCGATGCGTTACTGCTCCGTTGTTGAGCCGTGAAGGCAAGAGGCCTGCACTACATTCAATATTTGTGAAAAAGGCAAAGGCTTGTCTGTTGGGCGCTGAAGCACTTGACAAGGGCGACGGCTTATGCACTAAGTCATTCTTGCTCGCAAACCAGGGGTGTCAGTTTTTGTAAATCATTGGAGGCCGAACCGAAGTTCCAGCAATCTACCCCCGCCCCCTATTTCACCACCGGATTTAAACCCACTTTATTTTGATTGCCGGCTATATATATATATTTTTAGCTTTGCATGATTGTCGAGCAATTTTTAATTTAAGCAGCGTAATATAGTCATGCAGGGGGGAGAACTAGGGAGCAGGCACTGTACGCACATGCCTCTTCTGCTCGGCTGGTGCAGGCGTCCCTTTAGTGATGGCTTTAGGGCGCCGAAGACGCTCTTTATAGCGGCCATGGGAGGCGGCACGTATTTTGGTTGTGGGGTACAGGGATTAACCACGGAGAACTCAGGTCATACTCGTTCTCCAGAGCTTTTCTCTGAAACCTCACAAACCCTCGCGTGTCTCATGGCCCTTGGTGTGCAGTTTATTGCATCGTTTATCCGCTCAGCTGTTACGATTTGTATCTGGTGGTGAGAGCAACCACGATCTTTCAATTACGGGGGAGGGATTGGTCTGGTGTTAAGGTAGGTGCACAGCTACATACGAGAAACGTACGGTTCTATGGTGAGGTAAGCATCCGGTTTCATTAATGGATTCAGCTGCAGTGTTTGGGGCCCAAGTCACCTGGCCGAATTACACAACCTCCTCCAATTGTGCTGCCCTTAGGCACAGTGCCCCACCATCCCCCGCAAAACAGCGCTGCTTTATGACAGTTAAGATTTTTCGTGAGATACGAGCAGGGCGCAACAATTTTGGCTTTATTTTGGCGCCGTGTCCATTTTTCAACTAAACTTTTTGGCATTGCATCACCGAGTTACATTGATCAACACTTGATGGGATGAAAACTTAAACCAAACTGCTTACATTGATGCGTAAAAATACGCTGCAAACACGACGAGGATAAGTTTGGATGGTGCTGTAAGTGTGGTTTAGAAAATGCGAGTAGTATTGGTGAGACCGCCACATACCGGCTTATTATTAACACGCGGGCGGGTCAGGTTCAATGCCCCCCCCCCCCCCCCCAGGGTTTTCCAGAATAATTTCCGACCGACGCGGCGTACCCGTTCTAGTGTTGGTAGGTGTATATTTAAGAGGCGCACCTTTCTGTAGGGAGGTAAGCATACGAGCATATTAACAACCAAGTTTTGGCCAAACTTTGCGTTCAATGGAAACTGAATAACGGATTTTTAGGCATAGAAAATTAGACATCCATGGTCAGCTCGCTGACCTATGGCAGGTCGAAGCCAGGCCATGGCTGTCAACAGCGGCAATTCTTGGGGAATCGTTCAGTCTGATGCGACAACGGAATGCCAAACGAAACCGTATATTTCTGAGACAGTTTCGTAGACAATTAGCCAATTGAAGTCAGAATTATGACTAATTTCATTGGGCTGGGGTTAAATGTGAAGGCCGGACCGAGGTTAGAAACAAAATGTTTTTTTTTCAGTGAGGAGCGTGCCCAATAGCGTAGTTTTGAGGCCTTTTCGACTTTCTCAAACACAGGGGCGTCAACAAGCATCTCATATAAACTTCTTACAGGTCAGAGAAGGTCACTGACCTAGGATAACTCTTATCAGCCGTTTTCTTAGGAACATGTCACCTAACGTATTCCTTCACGCTTCTATCAACTAAAGATCAAAACAGTCTCACAAAGGCTTGTGGGTGATATAGGTTCTCAACAGATTTTTGGCCACTATGACCTCTGAAATTTAAATGAGGTCACTGGCCTAAAATGAACACCAGTGACCTTTGTTCCATAGTCACCATGACCGTCTGAAATTCAAATGAGGTTACTGGCCTGAAATGAACACCAGTGACCTAATGCTTAGAACACGTTTTTATGGTTAAAGGTCTCTATCGTATTTCGTTTTTTTACGTCTCGGAATTCAAATCCCTGCGCGTCGTATCCAAACAGTCAACTGTGCGCATGTTGGATTGTCGTGACGCGTCTGAGGCGCACGTAGATGTCCGGAGATTGACATGTCATCTTTAGACAGACAAGACATTTCAGTCTAATGTGGGTTAGCTCTACCTCGGCATTACAAAGTTATAACAGACCAGTCTACGAAATCAGTTTTACTCCATTGCGTGCGATGGGGCATTTTTGAGCGGTAGAGCTTTTTATTCGACGCATCAATGCATGTCTTCCTCGCAGTCTGAAAGTCTGATTTAAACTCGAATCGTTGAATTCTATGGAAATGGTAAAAGCGCTCAGCTGAACATCTTAAAACACGATGGTCACAGGATGCCAGACGAAACTTAATTTTTTCCGTAATTTTGTCCTAATAAGTGCGGGACAAGTGTGAGTGTAAAAAATGCGTAACAACGATACTAACATAGTGATTAAGGGTCACATGCGTTAATCCGAGCATGGCTGCATGCTTTCTAGGTTACAGGTGATATACTTGGACAAAAATAGGTGCGGTGATGTGGCAGTTAGCAGAAATTGCATTTCTTCGAACCCGCTGGCTGCAACATGCAAAATGCTGGCAAAATTTTGCATTGCCGCTAAGACACACCAATCACCGCTGCCGAAGCAAGACTTGAGTAGAGCGTTGCAGTCATGCTGACCACATTCGTGTGTGGCGAAACGCGTGGTGCGGGGCTTGCCTTCCAGAACAAATGTTCGTATATAGCTCGCCAAAGGGGACCATTTGGTCGCTGGCTTGACAGTGTCAGCCTGGTTACGGGGCAGCCGAGAGTCATGTGATTGCATGACACAATGAAGGTCCTTTCGTGCTTTTTGCGATAAGGGCCCGAGGAGTGATGGGTCCGTTCGACTTCCATTACAAGAATGAAGTGATGTTATGGGGTGCAAGCAACAACTCATTTTCAGCATACAACCCGATTCAAAATCTGTCCCAGCAACATTGTTGCTTCGTTTTGTGCATGGTGCATCAAATTTCAGAACTGAACCTATCTTTTAAAACAACGATGCCCAACCAAAAAGTGCATTCTGCTACCTGATTTTATTTTCTCGTCAGACCACACAGCAAAGAATCTCGAAGTTTGAGTGAAACATTGTTAGATCGTAGCCTTTCATGGGTAGCAGATAAGATATCGCTTGGAATCAAAGACTCTCAGTCGCGTCAATATCATGTTTGGGTTGGACAACATCGAGTTTGGGTTACGTTTGATCGGCATAAAGTAGCCCTTTATTAAAGGGTGTATTCCTCATTATCACAAGTTTCTGATAATTTTAAGAAATGATTTTGGGGTTGCGGGGATCAAGTTACCGCGCTGCATCTTACCTCACATTTTGTCCGTGTCATCTTTGATTTGTAGCCTGTGCAGGTAGTTGCAATTATTTTCTTATCTACGCTTTAGCTATCATGTATTGACCAGTGTAATTGTGTTTTTACCTACGCTTTATCTGTTTTTGCCTGTTTTTACCTCCGCTTTAGCTATCATGTATTGACCAATGTAATTGTTTTCTTACCTACGCTTTAACTATCGTTTATCGACTTTCATATACTATGAGCACATGGTGGACAAAGTATTCCGCCATCATGTATCGACGTGGACATCATGTAACCCATGAAATGGAGGTATATGATAAATTGCTATCTGTATCTGCATCCTCCATGGCGACGCCGCTACGCACAAGGATAACAAAACTAGCTTTTGTATGATGGTCAACTTTTCAGATGATTAACTCCCAACAACATTGGGGGCGGGGACAATTCAAGAGGGGGGAGGGGCAGGACATTTACAAAAGAATGCAAATCGACGACCAGTGCCGCGAACACTTGCAAAATCCACACAATTGTCGACGAAACTACTTTGGTAAGACGCTTTGTGCGACGCGGAACGCGTAAGGCAGTAAGAGACTTGAAAGCCATCAACTCCTATGGAGATCATGCCGAAAACTAAGCGTATGGAGTCAGATATAATTGTTAACCCATTACAATGGACCTGATCAAGGGGTTAAAACGTTTGTCTTTTACGAAACAGCACAGTTCACTGGTAGCGTGTATGCGCAAAATTCCAGGTAGCATTGTATCTAAATTAGTTGCCTTAGTTGGCGGGCGGTTCCCGCTAGCTACAACTACTAGGGCAAAAGCCAGGCGACGCCATGTTGCCCCAGCAGCTAAGTGCGTCGCAAACCACTATGACAACGACCATGGTTGCATTAGTCGGACGAGGCCTGGCAAGGTCAGTGAAGAACTTCGGTGGATTTCAGTGATTTATTGTTCGGCAATGGTAACCAACACAATGCGGGGACGCAAGTATTTTTGGTGGACATTGGTCCCAACGAAGAGCATTACACACGGCTATGAGATTCGTGTGG